TTCATTATAGCAAGGGTAGCTTAAAACAAAATGAAATTAGTCTTCTATATCGTTCAGATTACAAAGTGTGCACTTTCTTTCACTATGTTCTATTAGTGAACACACCAGATAATATTGTTGAAGAGGTGTGACGACTATAGAATATGGAGAAATAAAAGGTGATATATCTAAATGTTTTTTAAAATTGGAGAAAAAAACTGTGACCTCTAGAGAATCCACAAGCCAAAAATGCGATTTTTCGACCAATCAGGGGCCATAATCCAGGAAGTTACGTTCGGATATGTGTGATTATCAACATGAACCAAGATCTTTACGATAAAAACATATATTTAAAGTTTCATCCAATTCGGATAAAACCTTGATATACCATATTTTTACACTATTTGCGTACAAGAGGGGGGGGGGGGCGGCATTATGTCCGTCAGTTTTTGTTCGATTTTCACGAAATTCGAACTCAACCATCATTAGTGTATAACTGTGATATATTCGCACGTTGTTTTTTTTTTAAATCGGATAAAAATTATGACCTCTATAGGGACCACAAGGTAAAAGCGCGATTTTTCGTACAATCAGGAGACATAATTCAGGACGTTACGATCCGATATGCGCGAATATCGACAGGAACCAAGATTTGGGGTTATAAACATGCATTTCAAGTTTCATCAAAATTGTGACCTCTAGAGTGGCCACAACCTAAAAAACGAGATTTTTCGCACAATCAGGGGCCATAATCCATGAAGTTATGGTCCGATACATGCCAATATCGAAAGGAACCGAGATCTTTAACAGATAGACCTATATTTCAAGTTTCGTCAAAATTGGATAAAAATTGTGACCTGTAGAGTGTCCACAAACAAATTGTGGGCGGACAGACGGACAGGGGCGACTACAATATACGTCCACATTATATGGGCGTATAAAAACAAAAGAAACTGGAAATGGTTGATAACGCTCGAATCCGATGCGATTTCCTACCAGGGTATAGGGGAGGGAGCGGGGGTGGTTATGTGCCCTCTCTTCCGAAAATGTGCCCTCAAATTTCGACAGAGTTACTTTAAATACTGAAGAAAATGTCCATCCCAATGAAAACATTGTGCACCCTTCTTCTGCCGCCCTTCCCTTTTTCCATCTAAATTCAGAGATACTACTAACCAATCGCACTTAATGTATGGGCCCCACGCAAGCTCAGACCCTGATTTCCACGGATGACTTCCAGAATAGATTTCATAGTCGGATTAATATTTCCATAATATTCAGAATCAACTAATTTGTCTTAGTTTTATTTATTTATCTAAATAAATTTAGGAAAAAGGCAACACGGTGGACGGGAATGTTTTTGCAGGTTAGCATACTCAAGGCCAATATGCTAACCGTCACCACGAACTCTATTGACATTTGATCTGTCACCAGTAACTTCCTTGGTCTGACTCACTGTGTATCTTGATCATCTTCTAATTCTTGAGGATGTCAATTCTACCCCCCCCACCCTCTCCTCATTTGGGAGCAGAATCGAGTGAAACTTGGCAGGAACCCTTTGTAAGGAATACCAGCCCTTTCTTATGCTTGTTTTTCTTTACTCACGGGTCGTTTAGTTCTTGATTGCAGCTAACTATGTTCGTGTTTAGATCCTTAAGACATAATGATAATCCTTTAACCGAGTGTCAATGTATGGTATGCCATGGCTCACCTAGATGTCAAATCGCTTCTACTATGTGCCACAGAACTCAAATTGTCCCGATCCTGCACTCACCCCCCCTCATAAAGTATCCTAACTTTGATCTGCCTACCCCCATTCGGAGGCCGTAGCACGCCCTTGGCTCATTGTCAAACTTTACACCAAGTTTTACACTGTCCTAAATTCTCTGCCATTGAAATTGATATTTCCGCTCATTATTGAACTTAGGCAAGGGATCTTAATTGGCTCATTATTGTCGGCCTTCAATGCCCGTTATCTTTCCGTCATTTTCGGAATGACAGTGGGCAGTTCATTATCAAATGGTTCACTGCATATTTGACAAACAGGCGATACTGTATCCATCTGTGTCTCAACAGTTGAACCATTTTGTCAAATAAACTCGCCACGTGCCTCAATGGGTTTGGCTATCTTGGCTCAATTTTTGATCTTGGTGATCGAAATCGGACACGCCCACGACGCTGCGTCCACAATGGGCTGAGTGGTCGGCCAGAGCGTTTAAATGAAATTTAGTTGATGCTTGATGAATGCCATCGTATTTGATTTGAGGCAGACTCGACTAATCTTAATCCCCAAATCTCCAATGGGATTTTCATATATTTTGACCCTTGGGAACCAGTTAATTACCAACGTATATTTTGACATCATATTTGGTCATTTTGTAAAACTAATCACCAAAATGTGTATGGAAATGGATTCAGCTACCCCGAAAGGATAATATTTTGATATCAAACTGGATCATATTATGATAAGTGGATAACAATTGTCATTTTCCAGTCCAAACTGACGGCTATTTTGGATTTTTGCCAATTTGACCCATTTGGGCACGGATTTCGGACTGGGATAATATAGGCCTAGACTGACCATAAACCGTGGTCGGCATTTCTTTTGAATCAACTACCCGGAATGGTGCAAAATTAGCTAAGTATTCTCACTTACGTTTAAGAAAACCTTTGAATACGGGCTCGGGACAAGGAAATCATAAGAAGACCATAGTGCGTGGTGGTGGATATCTATGTTTTAAGCTTCGGGAGCATGTATTTTATATTACAAAAGATGAACAAATTTGAATGGTGGCTGTTAAGTGTTTGAAACATTCCCCTGCTGTACGACTAATCAAACAAATCCAACAAGTTTTGGTGACAGGAACAATAACTCTGCATTATGGTGGGGGTTCCTGCTTATATAAGTACTAGCCGAACAATCTCAGACAGTTTGAACAAGCGGTTGCCATGCAAGATTCGCCAACTTTTTGCAAGAGATGGGCAGAGAATAAACTACAAATACGAATGTTCGTACAGTCAGGGGCTACAAGCCAGGTTGTTACGGTCCGACAAACGACAATATCAAAAGGAACCGAGATCTTTGGGATATAAAACTACATTCTCAGTTTCATCAAAATCGGATAGAAATTGTGACTTCTAGAGGAACCACAAGCTAAAAACGCGATTTTTCGAACAATGAGGGGCCATAATCCAGGTAGTTACGTTCCGATATGAGCGAATATCGACAGAAACCGATATCTTCGGGATATAAACATACATTTTTAGTCTCATCAAAATCAGATCGAAATTGTGACCTCTAGAGGGTCCACAACCTTGACATTCCATACTTTTACACTTTTGTGTACATGGAGCGGTCATTCTGTCGGGTAGTTTCGGTCCGATTTTCACGAAATTCGAACTCACCGTCATAGGGTATAACGGTGATATTCAAACGTTGGGTTTTTTTTGTAAATCGGATAAAAATGGTGACCTTTAGAGGAACCACAAGCTAAAAACGCACAATTTTCGTACATTTAGGGGCCATAAGCCAGGAGGAACTTGCGGTCCGATATGCACGAATATCGAAAGGATCAAAGACCGTTTAGTTATAAACAAACATTTCAAGTTTCATCAAACTCGGATATTAATTGTGACCTCTGGAGTCTCCACAAGCTAAAAACGCGATTTTTCGTTCAATCAGGGACCATAATCCATGAAGTTACGGTTAGATACATTCCAATATCGAATGAAACCGAGATCTTTGGGAGATAAACTTATGTTTCAAGTTTCGTCAAAATCGGATTAAAATTGTGACAGAGTGTCCACCAACAAACGTAGACGGACACATGACCTGACAGGGTCGACGACAATATACGTAATGTTGAGCTGTGTGGAACATGCTAGAGTCGATTTGTAGCATACATTGTATCTGACCCACGGTATATGTTTGACACTGGCTGGGCATCATGATTATGATTAAATGTTGAAAACTGCATTGAAACCGCGTATTTTTTTTTTTTTTTTTTTTTTTGCCATTTACAAGGGGTGAAAAAACTTAAAAGGGCGACTGAACTCAAAAGCATGGCGCAAAGGTCGTCATTGCGTCCCTCTCACTTAGCCCCAGACTGACGGACGGGAGTGACAACAATATAGCCTCCCGTGAAATGTGAACATATAAACAAAATAGATTGTAGTAAGTAGCCAACGTGTAACCTACGTCTAGTATCCACAAAATCACAGACTTTTAATTGTTAATACATGTGTGACAAGGTCATTTAGCACAAGTGACACACAGTGTGACCATAACATCACCAGAAATTCTATAAGAACACCAAAATCTAACTGTCAGGTTTTGTCATAGTTTGACTTGGATATTGTAAACATGGATGGGCATCGAGTAGAATATGCAGTAATTAGTATTACTAAATTTAAAATAAGGTTTCCGTTCCCAGGAGTTTCCATGGAAAATATTATGTCAAGAACGACAACTTTGAATTGTTCTTCTCTGTCCACGCCCCTTTCGCAAAATTCACCGAAACAAAATTCATTTGCGTCAGTGAGCTATCGCAGATATCAACTTCGATCTCGAATAATTGTTAAGAAACAGAAGCGTGAAAGTGTGTTACATCCAAAAAAGAAGTGTTTAACGGTAAGTACTTTCTTGATACTAACGCCATATTTAGCATATATTGATTGACATGCCGGGGTAATCAAGGGGTCAAAGCTAGTTCTTGAGGTTGTGCCGCCTCTCTATCATTCAATATAGCGTTTGCTATATCTAGTGAAGTCGACTGTGAAACACGTGAAAGAACATCGGTGTTTTCTCCAGTGATTTTTATTGTGACATAACATGTCAGATTGACAAATGTATACTTTTTGTTGATAAGGATATGATACCCAATGGGATATTGTCTTGTGTTACGATATGAAATAACAATACATTTTGAGAGTTATTTGTTTTATTTTATATATCTCTAATATCTTATTGAATAGTTTCGATTACTATTACGCAGGTAGGAAAGGCCTGTTGAAATTATTTCTCTCTTTTTTATTTATCTTATCAATATAATCTTTTGATTATATCAACCATTTATGGCGGAGTAATATTAAGCAACACATAGAAAACTGACCATGCTCCTCCCCATTGCAAGTGTTATTTTTTTCTATGAGTTAATAGGGTCAACTTTGCAAAAAAACCAATGACGGTAAGGTTCTATTAAAAGTAAACTCAAGTTGCATTTAATCACATTTATTAACGCGTTTAAAACGATTATATCTACTGTTCACCAAATACCGACAAAGATATTATTTTTGTTGTGATTATCCGCCAACACGATCAAGGTCGCCATTATCATTTGAAATTTCAAGTATCAATATGCACCAAACATGACGCCCAACTTAGGGCATGGATCCTAGAAATAAATATCAGGTAGGCGTTTTTATTTTCATACAGTTGTTTTTAATAGTTCTTGTCTATTTTTGTCTGCTTCTACTATAAAACTACAGATCGTACCATTTCTTTAAAAACAAAAACATTCATTTAACATCTACATAACAAAATCATATATCCACATCAAAGTGAACGCTTGGTGTTAATTTCGGGCGATTGGGTCATAATTCTGATTTATAAGCCGGGAAATTTTTGGTTCTAAGCCATGGCAGCTTGACATCTACGATCAGATAAAAACAAGAACGAAATGTGACCGGTAGGGCCTATTCCTTTCAAAGTTTAATTCGATTATGTTCGCTAATGAGAGAAGGGTAGCACTCAAAAGTAAACTGACAAAGAACGAGAAGATGATCAAGATTTAGACATCGGTCGTGGCCCCTGTGTAGAAGGTTCAGTTTTAGCCTGGCCAAAGAAGTTAATGATGACAGAATGAATATCAATAGGGTTCGTGGTTCTTTCGTTTTCTTATACCTCTTTGACTGGAATGATAAGTGTTTCTACATCTCGGTAGAAAATCAAAACTGCGCTACTGACAATAATGTGCGAACATATGAAACGGAAATAAATATGTCACAAACTGTTTATAACATTCAACAAATTGCACGTTTTTACTCCGCATGGGTTTTTTCCATGACAAATCGGAAGAAAAGGTCCCAAGATTTTGCCAATTAATTTACTACTAATATAATATTTTATAAAAAAAAATTAATGTTATAAAATCTGAAAAGACACAATTAACCTAAAAACGTAAAAAAGTATATTTGTACATATTATTATCAATCTTCAAAGAGCTAAGAATAAATTCGTTTGGCTTGTTCTCTCTTTTCTTATATCTCTGTTAAAAGTAACATGTAACAAATTGCACTTTTTAGTCCACTTGCACTCCCCAGGTAAAAAATAAGTGCAGTCACTGCAGTCGTCTCAAAATTATGCATCAGCGACTCAATGAATTAATGAGATAAACAAACAGTGCTAAAATTTGATTATTTAAGGTAACTCTTTCGAAATTCTAGGGCATTTTTTCGAAAGGGAGGTCTCTTTTTTCAAAAGGGCCAACATGTATCTGTTATAACCTTGACAACAACACAAATTAATAGTTTTTTGTCAATATCAAACAGGAATTGTATTTGCATAGACTACACCAAAATCTATCTTACATATGTATTCACATACGGTTCCAAGGAACTAATTTACATAAAGGAAACACATAATTAACAATCATAAGCAAAATGATTCGAAATGAAGGTCATTAGAAAACGTAAATGCTGATAATCTCTCAATGATTGAAGGGAGATAACTCTTGTTTGACTAATGGAGGCAGACCACCATTAATTCTTCCATTTCCTCCAATGTTAAATCAGTGGTGTTCTACATGCTGTAGCTCATTCCCTAAATTTTGTTGAGAACTTTCCTTTACAGCACAGCAAGTATGACATCATGGGATCATCAGAGTACTAAATTTTGTTGAGGTTGACCATCAAAATTTCAATTCACTGAAATTCATAGCAGACTGGAGTCAGAATAACAAAGCCTCTTTACTCGTTGTATTCTTTCGCCTTAAAAGTCTCAATCTGACACCAGACCAGGCAGAAAATAGAAATTCAATGCCTCTTCATCAATTCTACACCAAAAAGTCAATACAGATAAGCATGCAAAATGGCAGGAAAGGAGGGAGAAAAATATATCTAATAATAGCCGAAACTACCGAGATATGGAAAATTAATGGTCGTCTGCCTCCTATAGAGAATCAATTTCTTTGTTTTCTTGCACATTAAGTCTGAATTATAAATAAAAACATATTTCTAGAAAAATTACCACAGGAATTAAAAAGACAAAAAAAAAATAGATGATCAGTTGGCTTTTTGCTGATGGGCACATTTAAGCTATTTCACTGCGGAAAACTGGCATCGGATTTACAAAACAAAAAAACTTCAATTAAAGTTATTCTGTAAACTGATTTTGCAATTTCAGAAATGTATTTCGGTGGGCAACGTTAGCACAGGCCAATTAGATTTAGATAATGTAACACTGCAACAGGTTTATGGAATCCTACAAATGGCTGACTAATCACAGGTCTATAAAAAGAAATGATGTATTAATGGTGGTTTGCCCCCTAATGACGCACTAAAAAGAATTCAACGGTGATTTTAGGTTTTAAAATATATAATACTACATACTTATAACTAACTTGCATATTACACTATCTACACTAGATTGACAAGAATACATAGTATATGTTCTAACACTCAATATTAGAAAGCTGATTTATAACATAATTTAGGGTGACTCTCATACAGTGGATAATACCTCGTCAGCTCACTTTTCATAGCAAATAAGTGACAGATAATGAACGAAATACATAATATATACCGTAATATAACTCGAAGGGCTAAAATGTTCATATGATTACCAAACGATGAAGAACTGGAGAGGTCTATAATCACTTTCCGAGTTATTGTCATTGACCACTTTTAAATTATTAGTGCCACCCCCCCCCCCCCCCTATATTATAGTAGCTAAAGTTATTACCCGCATGTATTGTACATGTCCATTAATTTTCAACAATTTCCCATGATTCATACTTGATATAAGCCGATTTTCCACAAAATATGTATTCTTCTTTCAGTTACCCTCTACATTACCAAATACTTATACCGTTGACGATTCATTAAGCCCGGGTAATGACCAAAACCCTATTTCGCCTAACTGGAATTATGGTCATCAACAATCATCAAACAATCAACTGACAACATATGACTATAATGGTTTTGGTCAAGCTCCAGCCTTTTGTGGTATACAAAACCCAGTTTATACTCAATTGAACGCGTCTGATCATTCCGACAGTCAATCGTCCAATCATTTTTTATACGATGAGCCTGCCTTGAATGGCAATTTCACGCAGTCATACGCAGTACGAAGAACGCCACCTGATTTCCAAGGAGAAAACGATGATTCCCGGGACAGTCCATTGCAGTATAGACGAGGTAAACGAACCTTGAATCCATTGCCCCGTCACAAACGAGAATCACATATTAACGCCGAATATCGACGACGAACGAAAATACAGGTAATAAATTTAACAAGTTTTTACTGCAAGGTTATTTCAGGTACTTGTGTAAACTCTTCGAGGGTTTGGAGGTTTTCGAGAGCCGTGTATAGTCAACGATTGAATATCAGCATATTATTGTGTAATTTGGACATTTGCTGAAAAGTAGGCGTTATACCCCATTTCGGACAGAATGAGGGCGATTTACCCAATACTGCCCAATACCACCCAATACCAAATACTACAACATACTACCACACACTACCTCAATATGGTGAAAAACTGGCAAAATATTTCAATTATATAAAAAAATTGTTTTAGTTAATTCGTGAAAAACATGCAAATAAATGTACGACAAATGTGATTGTCAATGTCTCGCTATTCGAATAATCCTTGATCATCCAATACTCACAAATATTAACCCATGCAATCAAAAATCAATCCATTTCTGTAAAATAATGGTCCAAGATTACAAAAAAATGAGATAAAAGTAAAAAATTTTGGATACCAATATCTTTGTTTGTGGAAAATGAATTATTTATTCAAAGTTTCACTGATACTAATAAATAGAGATTTCAAATGTGTACACTTTTATAAGAATTAACTCATTGATATTGAAGTAAGTGAAGAACTCTGTCAATTTTAATAATATAATAAGGTGGTATGTGGTTGTATTTTGTAGTATTGGGTTAAAATTGGGAGATAGTTGGTAATATTTGGCTAGTCAGTCAAATGCTTGAGCAACCGGGTACTGATACTAGAGTCTCTTCCAGTTTATCGTAAATGTTTTGCTAATTCCACAAATTAACTCATTTTATTTTTTGCATAATTCAACAACCGGGATAGTTTCTCACAATAATGAGATGGTGTTGGGTGTATTGGCTTGTATTGCGTAAATCGTCCTGTCGTGTCCTTAATTGGACTAAATTTATCACGTAAATGGTCCAGGTGAACATAAAATGCACCCGATTTGAAAATAGATTTCACAGGTCCACCCATAACAAATCATTCTTTTGTCAACACATAAAATATATATGCATTTTAATTCTCTAACCTCCCAATTTACAAACCGCTTTTTGTCCCCAGCCTTTCGAATTAAGCAGGGGACTATTAAAATGGGTCCGTCCGTCCGTCTGTTTATCCGTCACACTTTTTGGCAAACAAAAACTCTCCTTATAATTGAGCTTGAATGCTCAAACTTGGTGTAGGTGTTTATTAGGCGAATGTCTTGATGGAGTTCGAAGATGCGTATTTTCTGCTTAGACTAAGCAGAGATAAGCAATTTGATTGATTGATGCTTGGAATAAACTAACTCTCCTTCTAACTGAGCTAGAATGTTCAATCTTGGAGTAGATGTCTATTAGGTGAATACCTTGACAGTGTTCGATCATGCGCATTTTCCAATAAGGCTAAGCAGAGATGAGCAATTTGATTGGTTGAGTCTTTGGAACATGATAACTCTGCTTTTGTTCTAATTGCTTGGGATTGTTTAAACTTGGTGTAGATGTTCATTAGGTGAATGTCTTGACTGAGTTCAATGATTTACATTTTCCAATAAAGCTAAGCAGAGCTAAGCAATTTCTTTGGTCAATGCTTTGCTACAAGATTACTTTTATTCTAACTGATGGAGAGTGATGAAATTTAGTGCATAGTTTCACTACCAAGTACTTCAAGATCTTGACAGTTCAGTCGTGAACATTTTCTGCTGAGACTAAGTATAGATAACCCGTTTGATTGTTCGATACTTTTCAAAAAGATAAACTTGCAATTGATTAATATAATGTGTCATCTATTTATTTTGGGATTGCGGCGGGCGACATCGGCATCACTGTTGGCTTGTTTCCTTTAGACCGGATTTGATACTTTAAAGAATTTGGTGCCTGCATTAAGAGATTCTGGCGGTGTTGAGTTAAAGGAAAGTAAATCGGCTATGCTTTTAACAGGTAAAGGCCTATATTATGTTTTACTTACTTTTATACGCCTACATTGGACGTGTATAATTGTCTACAGGTCACAATTTTTATACGATTTTGACGAAACTTAAACTATAGGTTTATTCCCCCATAGATCTCAGTTCCCTTCGATATTGGCATTTATGGGACCATAACTAGTTCATGGATTATGGCCCCTGATTGTACGAAAAATCATGTTTTTAGCATGTGGACACACTAGAGGTCACAATTTTTATCCGATTTTGATGAAACTTGAAATATTTATAGCCTAAAGATCTTGGTTCCTGTCGACATTCGCGCATATCGGACCGTAACGTCCTGGATTATGGCCCCTGATTGTAGCTTGTGACCCCTTTCGAGGTCACAATTTTTATCCGATTTAAAACACCGTTCGAATATATCACCGTTACACCATAATGACGATTGAGTTCATATATAGTGAAAATCGAACCGAAACTACCCGACCGAATGGCCGCTTCATGTATGGAAATAGTGTAAAAGTGTGGAATACAAAGGTTGTAGATCTTCTAGAGGCCACAAATTGATCTACTTTTGATGAAACCTGAAATATATATATTTTTATATCCCAAAGATCTTGATTCCGTTCGATATTCGCGCATATTGGATAGTAACTTCCTGGATCATCGCCCCTGATTGTTCGAAAAACTCGTGATTGTAGCTCGTGGTCCCTTCACAGGTAACAATTTCTATCCAATTGTAAAAATTGTTGAAATATATCACTGTTAGAAGTTCGTAAAAATCGGACCGAAACTGCCCGACGAAATGGCCGCCCCTTGTACGCAAATAATGCAAAAGCATGTAATGTCAAGGTTGTGGGGGCTCTAGAGGTCACAATTTTTATCCGATATTGATGAAACTTAAAATATGTTCATATCCCAAAGATCCCGGTTCCTGTCGATATTCAGGCATATCAAACCGTAACTTCCTGGATTATGACCCCTGATTGTACAAAAACATTGCGTTTTTAGCCTGTGGACCTTCTAGAGGTCACGATCTTTATCCTGTTTTAAAAAGCATCAGTGTTACAACCTAATGACGATTGAGTTCGAATTTCGTGAAAATCTGACCAAAACTGCCCGACAAAATGGCCGCTCATTGTACGCAAATAAAGTGTAAAAGTATGTAATACCAAGGTTGTGGATCCTTTAGAGGTCACAATTTGTATCCGATATTTATGAAACTTAAAATATATGTTTATATCCCAAAGATCTCGGTTCCCGAATATATGAAAAAATCGTGTTGTTTTCTCTAGACGTCACAATTTTTATCCAATTTTAAAAAAAAAGGAGTTTCAATTTATCACCGTTACTCCATAATGACAGTTCAGTTCGAATTTCATGAAAATCGGACCGAAACTGCCTGACAAAATGGCTGCTCTCCCTTTTGTCGATTTCAATTAAAATATATATTTATATCCCAAAGATCTGGGTAATTTTGGATACGTGCGCGTTACGGATGGTAACATCCTGGATTATCGCTTTTTTTTTTAGCCTGTTCTCTGTCTTATCATTTGCAAAATGTGGACGTATCTTGCCTGGCAACCGCTATAGTTAGATTGATTTTCGTGGTGTTCATTTATTTGATTACATACAAAGAATACAAATCGAAACTCTAAAAATATTAAATAGGACACATATTGAATTGGTTTGGTGAAATAATTCTACCTTTTAATTTAAAAAAAAAAAAATATTAGCTGCTGAATATTGTGGTCAGTTGAAAAATGAAAGTTGTAGATATGACGATGACAAAGCGGCGTTGAAGCAAGAAATACAGGTCCTGAATAAACAGATACAGTAAGTAGACAACAGCTACCTTAAACTATTTATACAGAAGACTAGTGTAGCCTTGAGGCTACTTTAACTCAAGTTGGGGGGCTTTATATTATGGTTTTAATTATTGAATACCCCATACAACCTCCAAAATTTGATTTCTTTTCAGGCAATATCAGAGTGACCTTCCAGCAGGCGGGGTTTGTGGTGTAGAGAAACCTCACTGCCATCTAGATCAAATGCTTAATAAGTATATAAGTGGCAGAGTTACTGAAGATTGGAAATTCTGGATCGTATCCTTTACAGTGGGTCCAGTTGATAATCAAACACACAAGTTCTAGAGTTTAATACGCCCACATTAAAGTATGTCCGTCATTCTCACTTCATATGTAACATAAACCCGATGGACCTCGGACGTGAACTGGGTGGTGGACACCTATCCGTTATGTTATATGGTATAATAATTCAAATAACTCGTCTTATTATCGAAATACAAGTTCTGACATAGTTTAGAGCAAATTATTTTGAACGAGGATTCACTGAACGCTTTGAAAACTACGTCCTGTAATGGATGTTAAAACATCTGTCAAATCAGGTAGTTCGAAAATTATTTTTTTATACGCCCACATTTTCATGTGGACGTATTATGCCGTCGCCCCAGTCCGTCCGGACCTCCGTTCAAAATTCGTTTGCGGACAATCTACAGGTCACGATTTTTATCCTATTTTGAAGAAACTTGAAATATAGGCCTATCTCCCAAAGATCTCGGTTCCTTCCGATATTGGCATGTATCGGACCATAACTTCATGGATTATGGTCCCTGATTGTACAAAAAATCACGTTTCTAGCTTGTGGACACTCTAGAGGTCACAAATTTCATCTGATTTTGATGAAACTTGAAATGCATGTTTATAACCCAAAGATCTTGGTTCCTTTTCGATATTCGCGCATATCGGATCGTAACTTCCTAAATTATGGCAAAATGACCGCCCCTCGTACGCAAATAGTGTAAACAAATGGTATATCAAGGTTGTGGACCCTCTAGAGGTCACAATTTTGATCCGATTTTTAAAGAAAAGCGTGAATATATCACCGTTACACCCTAATGATGGTTGAGTTCGAATTTCGTAAAAATCGGACCAAAACTGCCGGACAAAATGGCCGCCCCTCGTACGCAAATAGTGTAAAAAATATATGGTATATCAAGGTTGTGGACCCTCTAGAGGCCACAATTTTTATCTGATTTTGATGAAACTTTCAATTTATGTCTATATCACAAACATCTCGGCTCCTTTCGATAATCGCGCATATCCGAACGTAACTTCCAGGATAATAGCCCCCGATTGTTCGAAAAATCGCAGTTTTAGCTTGTGGAACCGCTAGAAGTCACAATTTGTATTTAATTTTATAAATGAAGGTTGAGTTTGAATTTCGTAAAAATCTGAAAGAGACAGCCAGACAAAATGACCGCTCCTTGTACGCAATTATGTCCCAAAAAACTCGGTTCCTTTCGCTATTTGCGCATATCAGACCGTAACTACCTGGATTATGACCCCTGATTGTACGAAAAATCGTGTTTTTTAGTTTGTGGATTCTCTAGAGATCACAATATTTTATCCGATTTTAAAAACCGTTTAAATATATCACCATTCCACCATAACGAAGGTTGAATTCGAATTTCTGGAAAATCGAACGAAAATGCCCGTGAAAATGGCCGCTCTTTGTACGCAAATTGTGTAAAAGTATGCAGGAGTAGGGGTCACAATTTTTTCCGATTTTGATGAAACTTGAAATATATCTTCATATCCCAAAGATCCCAGTCCCTTTCGATAGCGACCAGAGAAGGACTCCAAGGCACATACATCCTCGGTATACCAAACACCTAGTTACGTATTACAAGTCAATAAAAGGACAGTTTTGACTACATCTTGAAACACATTAATATTACAGAATTTATCCTTATCACTCTATTAGTTTAGTTTTTTAGTGCGACCCTTATTTCAACATTATAAAAGAATGGTATCATCTAATACATATGCAGTATTTTATAGTTCCATTAAAACCTGGTCGGATGAATATTTGTCGTTAACTAATTTAAGACCCGGTATGTTTATTTTATCTATTAAAAAATAACGAAGAAAAGGGGATTTATCGCACACGCCAATGGATTTATCGAAATGGCCCCATTTAATGACAACCTTTATAATCACGGTTCATCGTATATATTTCGTTAATCGAACCGTAATGTTTTGCTTTGTATAACTTATCATATACATATAAACATGCAGCATGATGCACACCTGTATTATGGTCGTTTTGGGGTACCTTACGTTACCTTCTATATAATATCATCTTATCTTCAGGTATAGCCATTTAGGGAATGCCTCTTCCAATCTGCAATACTGCAATTATATACTAGATGATTTATATAAGCTTACCTTTTATTTACGTTTCATTTCCAGAAATCCTTAGCCTTTTAAGACAAATTAGCACAAAGACGTCGATTATGACAACACCAGATCTACTTCCACAAGAAGCTTTTGAAGATTGCTTTGACAAGAAATGTTAATTCTTTCAACAAAAGACAGTAAGACGGGGCGATACTCAAAGTTGACTGTCGTGGAATAATAACCAAACAGCTAGCGCCCTGTGAATAATATTATACCTATAAAAGTTCAAACCCATGAAATGGTCCAAAAATATATTGGTAGTAATATAGTAGTATAGTATATTTCTATAAAGACTGGTGTTACTAACACTAATAAGAACACAAAACGTGTTAGTTGAAAAGTATATGACCGAATTTAACTTGACTGGAGCCCAGTGTATATCATTTCTTGGGGACTTTTCTATTTTTGTTCAGCCGATTCTTTTCAAACAAATCAAAACAATAATGAAATATTGATAAAGTTATTTTTTGTTAATCTATAGATCCAGAATCTAGCCTTATGTAACATAATAAAGTATTAAACAAATTGAAAAATATGTTTGCCCTGCCTGCAAATAAGGCCCTGATATTAGTGATTAAGTATTATTATCATAAATAATATATATATATATGTATGGAACTATGTAAAAATGGCAAAATAAATGGTTTAAAGAGGTTCCCAATTGAAAACCCGGGGACAACGTAAGTAATGATAGATAAAATCACCATCAAAGCCAGTGTCGACACTGTACAGCCCTGGGTGCAGTTTCACAATGCAACGTATAACGATGAAAAATTTGCGCAACTTTATCCTTTGGGCAGGCTGCTACTGAGTTTTCCTTTTAAAGTTCCATAATTTGCTCAGCGCCCTCAATTAAAATACCGAGAGGTGCAGAGTTCCAGTTTTGTTTACGCCTTTTCTGGTTTTTGACAGACTGACACACGACGTATGTCACGCGCGATGACCTAGTATTCATGGGCGTGAAAATAGAATTTTATTCATCTATTGGCAGTAAAGTCTTACCGTATATAGGAATATATATCATTTTCGTAGTTAATGTTCACAAAGAAAGGATATAATCAAACACTGCGGCTATAGGCCTAAATGCAGACATTGGTGTTTAATTCGAAGTTGTTCCTAACGTGAGTTTTCCTCTTAAAATTACGAATTTTTGTGAAACTGCCCCCTAGGCCAGTAGTAATACAGGCTTCACTGACAATGAAAACATTCACAACAAGGTATAGGCAATCCAAAAGCGCTAAACGAAATAACGTGAAATGCAATTTAACGTCCAACTTTTCTGTATCAACCAGGATAATGACGGGTAAAAGCTAAGCCACGCAGTTTTGTCCGGGCTCATCGTCAAATTCAAACTGAAATGGTTTTTACATGGAGGTCAACGTCTATACGTAACCTTGGGTTTTCGTGCCATCTGAACGACTAGACACTGTTCCTTGCAGACACCCCATACACCACTGACTCTAGTGGATACCAGACTGGAAAATCCCGAGGAGCAACCATGTATCCACAAAAAAAGGACATGTATTTATATGTAAATCAAAAGCCAAATCTGAAGAAATAGCCATAGCTATGTCAGTACCTCTGAGATTTAATATTGTTGGATATGCATAAAAGCAGTTACACAACTAAACTGAAATTTTCCATTTATTATACTAATTACGGTGGCTGATAAGGGACATGAAAAATAATATAATTTGTTGTTTTTTTTAATATTCACCCAAGTCAATTTTAATATAATTTGTTTTTTATAATTTTTACCCAAGTCAATTTTAATTTTCACCCAAGTCAATTTTAATATAATTTGTTTTTTTTTGTAATTTTCACCCAGGTCAATTTTAATATAATTTGTTTTTTATAATTTTCACCCAAGTCAATTTTAATATAATTTGGTTTTTATAATTTTCACCCAAGTCAATTTTAATTTTCACCCAAGTCAATTTTAATATAATTTGTTTTTTATAATTTTCACCCAAGTCAATTTTAATATAATTTGATTTTTATAATTTTCACCCAAGAATTTCCACCCAGCGCGTGACGTCATCTCAATTAGCCTCGTTTCCAAAACACTGTTTTTAGAAAAGAGATGGTACTATATACATGTAGTTTTAACTGATGCGAATCACATTGGGCTTCAAACAGCTTCAATCTTTTCTTCAAAACAACGATCATTGCTATTTATAACATTTCTTCCCCATCCAACCACAAGAGATACACTGTCAAAAGTGAAAATGGACGTTTTTGATTTTTGCCTTAATAATGAGTAATTGCTCCACCAATCTTCAGACATTCAGCAATTCGTCGTGGCATGCTCCTTATCAACCATCCAATCACGATTTGGGACAATGTGACCCACTCCTCTTGCAGTGCCTCGGCCAATTCTTGCAGTGTTGACGTTGACGTCGACGAACACGTCTAACGATCAAAATAAGAAAGAGAGACAGAGGGGGGGGGGGGGTAACGCCCACTCGACACAAACAAGGTCATTTCGGGACTAACATATGGGGTTTAATTTTATTTCAATAATTCGCTGGCGCCTAGGGATCTTTAGCAGTGGGAGGAAACCGGAGGACCCGGAGAAAACCCACGAGGTTGGACAGGCGACCCTACTCCTTATCACGGACAACCCCGCCAGTTGACTCAATGACAGGCCTTATGATACAGCGCACACGTGCTAAATTAAATGTAACACACCAAAGCAAAGATTCGCTAAACAGTAAATCGTATGCAAGAACCGATAGGAAAGCAAACATGGATAGGATAAACCAGCACGCGGCAGTTTTCATCAACCCTTCCTTGAAGTGTCAAATTTGACAATAAACACCTCCCACGTGTATGGCGCTATTGTGTGCTGCATTGCAGCTCAATGGTTCTGTTGCCATATCGCAACCTGCATACAGGGACGGATCCAGAGGGGGGGGGGGGATCCAAACCCGCCCCTGCTCAGCTACATAAAATTAGTTGTAAAACAACCCTTTTTATGAGAAAAGTGTCATAATGTGCTTTATCATTTATCATCAGATGGTGCGACGGATGGGCACTCAAAGCGCGAGATAATGATATAGACATGTATAATATCACAATTAATGCTTTGCATCAATAAACTTGATTCACAGTGTGATCATGTTAATTCATAATAAAAATTGATGTCAAACAGGATGTTGGATTTCTCTGTTTAAAAAGCTCAATGTGCATCGCCAAAATGACGATAGAGACCATGTATTTCTCAAAAAATTTCAAGCTGAGGCGGGGGGGGGGGGGGGAGGGATACATTGCCTCAAGGAACCTGGCAAACCCCCTCCTGCAAAAATTCCTGGACCCACCTGCCCCCCCCCCCCGGCATAGGTATTTGCATTTCAATATCCCCTACTTTTTTTGAAGAGTATATATGTCGCAAGTCGCAACAGATCTAACAACGTAACCATCATATTATCATTTGTTAATGTCGTGATTTTAAGTTAGGAGAAGGTGACGGCTGTCCTAAGTAGCCCTAATCAATGCTTGTTAATGTCATGATTTTAAGTTAGGAGAGGGTGACGGCTGTCCTAAGTTAAGATTGATTTTAGTAAAAATTGTCCCTAAAATAGCTTTGTGAAACTTAAAATATTATTTTAGTGGATTTTTTTTATCTAAAATGCTTAAAATCGTTTTGTGAAACGGATCTATCTTAAGTTAGGATGAAATTTTAGTTTAAAACGATTTTAAGGAGATTTAAGTTTTTGTGAAACATCGACATTGGATGATGCCGACACACGGTTTTATTTCTGTTTTATTTTGGTTATAAAGGTGTAAGTGTGATATCGTGTTATCGGAAGCCAAATTCTGGAAATTTTCACGGAACTTCAAAACTATAATAAAAGGGCCTAAGAATTATATTATAGTCTTCGAGTAAATATTAACGGCATGCAGAACAAACGTAAATGGTCTATAAAATAAAAACGTTATTGATTGAATGGGCTGAAATTATTTGGTATGCAGTCACCATTAGTCACTCTTTATTAACATCTCCTGGTCAGGGAAAGGGGGCGAAAGTACATTAACGCCGTTTTATTTATCGGAGGCATTGGGGATTTTGCCTCTAATGATTTAGTTTTTTTTGTTTTCATTTTTGTTTTGGGGTATACTAGGACTATTGAGAAAATTTGCTGAAAATTCCAGTCAAATTGATCCAATCTGAACCGAGAATTTAGCGATTGAATTTTCGGCCTAGCCTCGATCATCATTACTAAAGTCAGTACGATAAAAAAAAACATATTCTTGATTATCCACTTCATGATTAAATCATGGATGAAAGTTAAGCTGCAAATCGGATCCTAATCCAGTAAATATCGCAGGCTAGCGATGACATCGATAGTTGATTATAGTCTGGATAAGTTAACTAATGTCTAATTAATAATTTAGATAACATTTCAGGCCTAAAGGAAGAACTGCAATAGGCCGATTTAGCTTGTGTATGTTTAAGTTCCTACTTTTTATTATCTTTACGAACTATCTGTGGTATTAATATTTATTTGTTTGCAGACAATATTGAACTTTGCCTTACATAAATTCTTGCTTGGGTGACAGAACATTTCTTGAAATAAAATATATTACCAGCAAATATCTCCGTTCTCAGAACAAAACATCTTCTAAAATCTCCAACTATTAGCTTACAAATTTGTATTTCAGTGAATATGAAGCACTATAGCCCTGGAAATTGCAGCCCTGGAAACTGCTCTTCAATACAAACGCACTTTATAAATCACGATATTATTTATTTTAAAAAAAACCAATTGGAACCAACTGGGCTAATGGAGATGAGATTCGCGTATATAAAACTTATGTCTAATTATTTAATATGTGTGTTAATAATTGACTTAATAAAACAAGAAAAATATTGTGGGGTCGGGAATATGGTTTCAAAGCCTTAGTGCTAGTGTATCCGTGTCAAGCTGTGGTTTAATTCCATATGTATGTTTATCGGCGGTTATCTCCCCTTTTCCAAATAAGTAAAATGGCTTCCGTTGAAAAGATAGTCAAAGTATGACAGAAGAATTTCAATGTTTTAACTATTTAAAGGAGATAACAATCCGGGTTTCTCACCACTCCACAGCTTGTGATGTTTCCTTCAATACAGCGCAGACAGTATGGCTTGGAGAAGAAGTCTAAATTATACGACATTGCAAGTAAGTCTACTTCGGATAACTGCAGTCGATGAAAATTTGTAAGTCACTGCGAAGTTGAATACAAATTTTGACATGTCTCTCAGGATAACTCATTCATGCATGAACCAGGTGCTGGTTGTTGGCTGGCCCCGGTGCATTTGCAGTCACTGCAATACCAAATTCATTAGAATATCTTGGAATAGGCCATAAATAAAAAAAATATAAATTAAATTAAATGTAAACAAACCTGCTAATAGCCTATATTAAAATTCCCAATCATTAATGGTTATAACTATTGTAGTATTCGTACAGTAGCCCAGACATGTTTATGCTTCAAAGTAAAGCCCAAAATATTTTATAGACATATTGTTTGGGAGTTGCATAATTGTATGGTAAACATTCCCAATGACTGAATGAGTGATGATGTTCTGTTTAAAGAAAAAAATGTAGGCCTAAAGGCTAAATTTCTTTCGGGCATTTCTTTTTTTTAGCACTTAATTGTTAGCATTATTCAGTCAGGTTTGAACAAAACTAAACAGAATTGTTATTGACATACAGTAGCGTATGTACTAATATGCATAAGTGTATAGGTAGGATGTGGTACGGTACATGTGTTGCTTCCAATTAGATTTTTTCATGGGAAACATAAATAACCACCTTGTTTAATTTGGAATCTGATTGGTTTCATTGAATTTTTAAGGATTAGCTTGTATGTAAACCAGTGACTTAGTGACTTAGATTGTGTCCTTCTCTGAGCACGTCAAATACTTAAAACTGGCCTGTTTATTGAAATTCCATTTTATTTTTAAAATAAATGTACCATCAGACAGAAATGATGAATTTCCCTTATATTTAAAATTGCCAATTGAAATGAAAGTCAGGGTAGTGTATATCTTAGCTAAGTTAGCTTGTGCCGGTAATATGAATGATTGATAAATTGTTTGACTTAAAAAATTATGGAAATGTTGTTGTGTAGATTAAAATTTAATTAAGCTTAATCAGACCTGCTTTCATCATAAACATCCTGTTAAATTTTTAAAAAATTGAAATTAGGCTTGGTTGATATACAGCTACTAAAGATGGTGAACAGGTGGTAAACGGTGAACAGTACATCTTCATTCCTCCCACTCACATTTATCATATGGAGTGGACCTATGTATAACTTAGGCAGCATGCCAGAATTATAATGATGGACATACATACATGTACATAAAGTACCAGAGGTCAAAAGATTATAATAAATGTTTTCTCTGACCATTGTTGGCATTTAGCCAAACTTTTTTGAATTTCATTTTTAAAGGTCCACATTTAAATGCACCAAGAAGAAAATACAAAATTACAATCCATGTTTTCACTTGTCGGGAAGGGATAGGATGGCACTTACAGGTTGACAAGAAAGTGTGTCTAGTTGTATGGATGGAATGGTAACTCAAGATCCACCTATGCATGTACATTCTCCTCAGAAATACAATATGACAAGATGTATTGGAGATCTTAATCCCTAAAAAAACGTTTTGGGCATTTCACTGTAGATTTCGGTTACATTGTACATCAAAAAGTACAAATTTTTATTACCAGTAGTTTTAAAGAATGTTTTAAATATGATTTATTAGGCTACTGACATTAGCTTACATTTATTTTCTTGGTAAGACTAAGAGTGTCAAACAAAGAAGCCTATTGAATTTCATCAATTTTCGTCAATTAAAGAATAAATGTGTGACAGCCCTTGTCGACTGCTCAAACAATTTAACTGATGGGGGCGTGTTTCATTGACTGGCAATCTATCTTTTAACTTTTAATGTGGTTGTCGTCTGTAACTTCTATTCCTTATGGAAACTGGTGGCTAAGGGTATTTTTTCTAAAGACTTAACGTTGCATTATTTTGTTTATAGGATCAGATTCCAATTGTATGATATTGTGATAGCATGTATTGTCATTTATTTGTATTATAACCAGGATATGTGTTTTCTAAGCAATGAACACAACTGCCTTTCACAATCCATCTGTAAACCCCAGTGTTGTTTAAAAGGTTAAATATAAAATTTTGTTTTTTTCTTTCCTCAGGAGGTGTAAGTTTTGTACAGAGACTCAAATTAGACAAGAAACTTGAAGTACATGCTGGCTGTGTAGGTTCAATATTATTATTCTTTAACAAACATAATCATGAAATGGTTAAAGGGACATGAAGCAAACAAAAATGCTAATATGATGATGGGCTTCTCTCATTTGTTCATAGCCCCAACATCTTATGGATTAAAAAATAATTGTGTAGCTGACAAATATCAGTGGAGAAATTAACGGAAGAAGGGGGGGGGGAGACCATAAATGCTTTGCACCTGTCCTTTGCAAACCAAATATGCAGTGACCTAGTAACATCAAAGGCTATGACGTAAAATAAATTGGGTCTGGCAATTTACTTCATTTAAATTTTAAAATTCATTAGAAATTGATTGTTAATAACTGATTTTAATAAAAGCAAAGCTTGCAAAAATATGGCTTTCTTTTAATTCTTACGGGGGGTTGGATGACCGAATGGTTAGCACATGGTCTGTCATTGAGTCAACTGGCGGGGTTTCGATTCCCCGGTTGTACGTGACAAGGAGTAGGGTCGCCTGTCCAACCTCGTGGGGTTTCTCCGGGTCCTCCGGTTTCCCCCACTGCTAAAGACCCCTACGCGCAAGCGAATTGTTTAAATAAAAAATTGAACCATGTGTTAGTCCCGAAATGACCTAGTTTGTGTCGAGTAGACGTTAAACCCCATTTCTCTCTCTCTCTCTTTAATTCTTACAGGTTTAATATGATGCTAAATTACCTGGAATCAGCAATTTACTTCATTTCAGTTTTAAAATTCATTAGAAATTGATTGTTGCTTCCTTTTAATTGTTAGAGGTTTTTTTTTTTGTAATATAAATCCAATTTCCGTAATTATCAGTTCACTACATATGTATTTGTTTTCTTTTTATTTAAATTTCAGGTTAATACAATATGCTGGAGTGATTCTGGAGAATATATTCTGTCTGGTTCAGATGACCAAAATCTTGCCATTACTAATCCCTTCACTCAAAAGGTACTGTACGTTGAAAACTAATAACCCCCTGGGGTGTAGGGGGTGATAAGAATATACCCTTCGTATGTCAAGACTAAAAGGATCCCTGTAATGGGGCAATGTGTTGGCCATGCATTGAGACCCGTGTCGGTGGAGAGTGGAACCCTGGTAATAGAGTTCACCTAGAGGGGAGGTCAGAGTGACCCACTCTGATCAATTGGCTTTGGTCAATATAGCTTTGTAGAATGTACCCTTTCTCAATTTAATCCTTTGTTGTTTTATATACTCAACATTGCCCATGCATTGAGACCCGTGTCGGTGGAGAGTGGAACCCTGGTAATAGAGTTCACCTAGAGGGGAGGTCAGAGTGACCCACTCTGATCAATTGGCTTTGGTCAATATAGCTTTGTAGAATGTACCCTTTCTCAATTTAATCCTTTTTTGTTTTATATACTCACCAAGTTACCCTTGTGTCCTTAGTACATTCTACAGGGCGACAGCTTGGGTCAAATAGGTTGGATATGTATTTTGTACTTTCTGGCTTTAGTATAACCGTCGTTGAGCCCTGAGGCCACACGCAGGTTATCAGTGCTGGTCCTCCCCTTAGCAGACAGAGAGATAACCTGGGGGACGACGAGGGATGAATAAAGAAAAATTATGTTCATGGATCCCCCCCCCCCCATATGAACGACAAAAACAGAAGCGTCGTAATCCAGAACATGTTTCTAATATATTTAAAAAATAAAATGGCAAAGTCATGGCCGATGTTGCTCTACTGACTTGTCTAAAGTCTCTCCATTTTTGATAGCTAAGGGTATTGTCGACTTGGCCAGTGAGCCCAAGGCTACTAAAAAAATGAAAAATGGAACACTCTTGATAGAATGTGTCAAGGAGCAGCATGCTACCATGCTTCTTAAATCAACAACATTGGCAGACATTTCTATCAAGGTGTCTCCACATTAAATTCTAGTATAAGTGTTATTCAATGTCGGGATCTTGAAGGCAACAGTGAGGATGAAATTGTACAATACCTTTCTTCTCTTGGCATCCAACAAGTTAAAAGAATTAGTGTGCGCCAAGGAGGTAAGGTGATTCCTACAAGCACCTGTATCCTCACTTTTAATTGTCCCGACATACTGAAGACAATCAAGGCAGGTTATTTAAATATACCTGTTGATTCTTATATTTCCAACCCTCTTCACTGCTATAAATGTCAGAAATTTGGACGCAGCAAGACCGTCTGCAGGGGCAAAGACACCTGTGCTCGTTGTGGTCATGGTGACATCTCTGTGATATTGTTTTAATTTGTCTCATAAAACTCACCATATCTTTGGCGCAACATAGCCCGGTTGGAGCTGACATGCCATTAAACAACATTTCATTTCATTTCTTGAAAACTAATAAGAGGCTAAATAATTGAGTATTATTGTTAATTATAGGTCCTAGATACAATTTAATGTATAAAAAGGATGAAGTATTCTGTAATCTTCTAGAAATCTTTATACTACTCTTGTGCAGATTTCACTTTTAAAAATTGTTTTAATTTTTTTTAGACTATTGCCAGTATAAGATCAGGTCACAGAGCTAATATCTTCAGTGCTAGATTTTTACCAAATTCCAGAGACAGACATGTAAGTATATCTCGCTGCTATAACAAAATTGTGTAATTATTCAGTTTCTTATTGTCTTCACAGTTCTAATTTCGAAGTATAACCTTTTATTTGGGGCCCAAATTATATAATCTTTTTGTCACTGCAAATTTTCCAAATGCCAATCAATATCAGCCAGTTTATTCTTGGTGTAGTGTAGGAAATTTGTAAGGAGTGTTGTTTTGCAGTACATATTTGTACATCTATGTTTATTGAACTTCAAGAGACAGCACATTACGTTGAATTAACCCCTACTGTGAATGAACAAGGTAAAAAAGAAAGATATATCAATTATTCAAAACAATTTATTCTTGTTTTCTTTGATCACAATTGATTAAGCAATAGTTAGATAAATCCTGTGGTCCCTTTGTTCTGTTAAATATTCAGTTTCAAATGAGAACATTTCGAAATGTGTTGAATCCAATTTTTTTTATAAAAAGGACATCATATAGGTGCTATAAATACACATATAAATGTATTGATTAAAGATACATTATTCAAGGTCTTTCTTTATGCCTTCTTAATGTTATATACTATTCAAAAAAAGTAGGGGATATTTGATTTTTAAGTGTTATTAAAGTCACCTAATGAAACTGACGAAGAAACAAATGACAAAATGAAATGAAGTTCACATTCATCGATTTATTCCAAATGATCGTTAGACTAAGTAAGGCACAGACTGACCATTATAAGGGTAAAATGATACCCGGGGTCAAACAGCAAAGTTACCACAGCATCACAACCAAGTCAGTAACAGGTAAAACCTCCTCTGTTTGCCAAACAAGCATTGATCCGACGTGGCATACTCCTAATGAGACGTAACATTCAAAGTCAGAGTCGTGCAAATCTTGGGTTGGACCCCCATGATGATCCCAAGCATCACCTGCATTCCATGCGGTAGCTATTGGTGCGTTTGGGCGTCACATGTAACTGGAAATGTTTCTTCTGTTAGGTTCTATAGTGACTTTTTTCGTAGTCATTTGCATATTTTAGTATTATGCCCCCAAAATCAAATATCCCCTACTTTTTTTGAATAGTATATAATTATTAATTAAATATTTATAAACATGACAATATCATAATCAACTCTCAGTGCCATTGGATGCTCAAGATAGTAAATAGATTATAATGCTTCGGCCATTTAATGATTTAATTTAAAAAATAGAGTCACTGTTACAATAATGAACAATCAATGCACACATCTTGTCAAAACTACAAAAAGTGATAACTTGGCTCAGAATAAAGTAATTTAAATGATATTTTCAATATATTCAGTTTGTATTATCTATTTTTGAACTAGCTCTTTATCTAAATCTTACGTAGCTATTCAATCTTCATGCATAATGCTTCAATGTTTCAAACAATAAATTAATTGCTATTGATTAGTTCATAATTTATAGGGAATATAATCAATACATTTACATGTGTATTCATAATACTTATATGAAGTAATGGATGTTCTTTTCTATATTAGTATACCGGTATTTAATATACTAATATAGAAGAGAAAATTTGCTTCCTTTAAATACGGTTGTGTACATGATTGGCTCATAATACTTAATTTTCACTGTATTGTAATGTATACACAATTTTCATCAATATAGCAATTTTATATTCTAATTCTATAGAATGATGATCTGTATTTTTTGTTTTATTTAATTACAGGTGATATCATGTTCAGGTGCTGGAAAGATATATTTCACAGAAGTAAACAGAGAGGATACATATGGTAAAAATAGATTTGATTGTCATGTTGGTACAACATATGAGGTGAGAAAAAGAAATGAAATATATAATTTCTCTTTACAGCATTTAATAATGAATACTACATGCCCATTTTCCTATGGAATGATGTTTGATGTTTTCATGAATGTTTTTATTAACCTGTAAAATGTCAGACTGAAAATAGCTGTATGGAATCATCTGGTCGCACTGGATGTCATAGCAAAGCACTGACACTATTGTGACGTCTGTCTCAAAAGAGTATGCAGCTGACTGGTTAAAGATCATGATTGTTCAGATTACAATTTACAATGTTGTGCATCACATTGGGTGACCAGATGGTCTTATGTGTGTGCTTTAGATCATAAGCTCTGTCTAACGGATTATTAAATGACCTACATGTAGTTTGTATATTAAACCTGTTTCTGTCTTTATCTTTATTCAAATATCAAGACTCTTGATTCAAGAGCTAATTTCAGATACAGAACTCATTTATGAAGTTATTCACAATTAATAACAACATTAACATATGACATAATATATTTATATTTCACTGAAAACTTAATATCCAGAAAACCGCTGAACTAATTTATATAATAATGCATATGTTTTTGATTTAGCTATTGTTTTCACTGTATTAAACAGGTTATTACTTTACCTAATGAAGCAACAACATTTTTATCATGTGGAGAAGATGGTACAGTACGCTTGTTTGATCTACGTGCCAAAACCAGCTGTAGTAAAGAAAACTGTAAAGATGTAAATATTAGTTTTATACTTGGCTTTTAATATGATTGACTTACGGGTAAACAGAGGATAAGGAATTATGACATATAAGTAAGGCAACACAAGTAAAAAAAGGTGTTTCTCGGGCACCACCGGTACTCAAAAATGGTTGCATGTGCAGTCTTTTCATTGGTCTTGATGAAAAAAATATATGCGTCATACATGTATATCCATTCAAGTGTATTAAACTGATTCAGATGAAAATACTTTTTTATGGATCTTTATTATCGATATTGAAAGAACCTTCATTTTTTTATCATGTGATATTAGTTACCTCCCCTGATTTGTCCACACCGAAAATCGTTGAAAACAATACAGTTGAATTCATATATTGAGGTATAGAAAAGGGCTTTACTTTGTCATGACAGAATATACCTTTGGTTATTATGATTGAATGTGATTGTATGAAAAATCTGTCCTGGAGAAGTTGTCAATGTGTGAAAACAGTAATGTAACAAAATCGTTTGTAAATGGACCACTCTTATGCGCATTCTTAACGAAAATCGTGGTCTCGTAAGTAATTCAAGATTTACTTAGCTACAGGGATGACTTCTATGAGGTTTACATATTATAAGTCTGCAATTTACCACTTAATATATACCACTTTTTGTTTGTCATGTCTTTATTGATTTCCATCCAAGTTTAGTCTCGGTCACCTAGTACCTCCTCGTCTTCAACGTATGGAGGGTCTGGGTCTATTGTTAACATTTGACAAAAAGTTCCATTGCCCATGCGTAACCGGGAATTTTTTTATATTTTTATGTGGTTGATTATCCAGTAAAATTTGCCAAGTCAAGTAAGAGTTGCACCTCTTCCAGAAATAAATCCCATAAATCATGCATTATTATAAACAAACATGAATCGTGGCAACGAATATTAATTAAAATATTTAAAAAACATAGATATGGTCCATAAAGAGAGAAATTTTACAATGAAAAAAAATAAGAGGGATGGATATTGAAGTGGCAGTGCAAATGGATTTTCTGAAATGGCAGTGCAAATGGATTTTCTGAAATGGCAATTCTTAGATTAGTTTCATGGACATCAACATCTTGTTTTAGGGCTAGTTATAATTATCTGCCTTAGATGTTATGCATGATAATTTAAATGATCAGATAATCTAGCCAATGACCTATTATTCACAAATGTTAACAACCCATCCGGACCAATATTCATAGAATATTTGTCTGAATGATAGAGATTAATCCAAGTTGAGAAAGGCAGTATACCTGTTTCCCTGTGGACTATTATTGGAGATGAAAAGGCGACGACGGTCAGTATCCAGTGCTTGAGTAGGCTTGATTTTTCGGTTTATGTTCTAATTATGTATAATAAATGAAAGCACAAGCATAAACAAGTTATCACTTTGTGTAATGTTCTTATTAAAAAAAATATAAATAAATAAAAAAAATAAATGTTCTTATTAAAAAAAATATAAATAAATAAAAAAAAAAGACCGCCCTCCAACCCATGCAATTTTCAGCAGTATTAAAATTTTATTATGCACCATCAATGAGGTAAAGAGAAAAGAGGCTGCCCTCCCCTCCTACATTTTCAGCTGTGAGTTGCCTAAGAAACAATACATTTATTTTGTGTGGCCTAATATGCTTATGTTTATGCTTTCATGAGACAGACATGACTCTTTGCATCAGAATAAACCACAGTGTCGATACATGAACACCTCATAATGCTTCTCATTTCACCAATTTTTAAAACACTTTTTTTCCCAGCGAATGAGAATAAGAAACATTTTTGTTATTCTTTAAAAATTCTTAGCATATCTAATATTTTTCTTTTCCAGGATGTGATGATAAATTGTCGTCAAGCAGTTACGTCCCTGGCTGTAGATCCTATAATGCCATATCATCTAGCAGCTGCATGTTCTGATAGTTCCGTCCGTATCTTTGATAGACGTATGTTAGGTACAAGAGCTTCAGGTAAATTATTATTGAAATATTAACTGTCGTTAATGGCCTAAGGGAGATAATTGAAAAATGTTTTTGACACTCATGCGCTTCTAATAATGTAGTGTGCCCCATGCATTCATAATTTGCTCTATTTAAAGTTGAACTCACCACAGAGAGATGAGCAATTTGATTGGTTGAGACTTTAGAGCACAATAACTCTTCTTTTAGTTGAGGTAGAATGTTCAAACTTGGTGTAGGCATTCATTAGGTGAATGACTTAATGGAGTTCGATGATAAACTTTGGGGATACTCGATTGAACATTCCGGAATTAAATTCTCTCCATTCCCTAAATAGTGTCAATCGAGTGAATAGGAAAATTTCGGAGTACAACGCATGCGCCGACTGCATAAAAAATATCCCAGCCAATCATGACAGCTGAAACATATTTGTTACTTAAAATACGTCACGATTCTACTCACACCACCTCAGCTGTCGGGACTGGTAGAACTGTGACAGGACTGAATTCCGTATCACTTGATTGGAATTCTGTCAATTCAGGACGTTCCGGACTGACAATCGAGCACCCCCATTGTCTGCTTATGGTAAGCAGAGATAAGCAATCTGATTGGTTGATGCATTAGGCCAATAACTTTGGTTTTAATTAAGTGAAAGTGATGAAACTCCGATTATAGATTCATTATATCATTACCTTGACTAAGTTTGATGATGAGAATTTTCTGCTTAGGCTAAGGATCGATAAGCAATTTGATTGGTCAAGACTTTGGAACTGAGGTAGAATGTTTAAACTTGATGTTGATGTTCATTGATGTTCATTAGGTGAATGTCTTGACTGAGTTCAATGATTAACATATCGAGCTTAAGCTAAACAAAGCTAAGCAATTTTATTGGTCTATGCTTTGGGACTCGATAACTTTGATTCTATCTGATAGGAGTGATGAAACTTGGTGTATAGTTGATAATCGGTTTGATTGCTTGATACCTTTGAAAAAAATAAATGTGCGATTAATTAATATGTGTCATCTATTTATTTTGGGATTTCGGCGGGGGACATCAGCCTCACTGTTGGCTTGTTTTTTATTGATGTTTAAATGGTTATAACTTACAACATACAATATTGTGATATAATTGTCGAAATATTTAGAGATATATATTTATGGTGGGGGGACCCTAAATAATGTAATGTGTTTTGTAGGTAATTATACAGGGCGTGGTATAACTGGTATGATAAGTAGATTTACAGCACCATTAGAACATAAAGCTTACAGAATAACATCTTTAAACTACAGTGATAGAGGTCATGATGTCTTAGTCAGCTACTCATCAGAAAATATATATTTATTCTGCACAATGGTAAGATTCTCTTTGCTTTTATAGTGACCTTGACTCAATATACGTTAATTAAATATAGTATCAGAGAATTTAATCTGCCAAGATTCAGTAACTGTGAGCTGAAATCATCTCTGAAATTGTGCCTTGTTCCCAGATTTGATCTTCTTATTTCTTTATATCAAAGGCCATAAATTAAGTTTGGTGGTTTCAAGTTTTCAGTGGTTTTAATGCAATGGACATTATGTTCCAACTTTGAGAAATGTATTTTAGACTATGTGCTACCTCTCTGCAATCCAAAAAAACAAGGAGCCCACTTCTCCCTCAAGTTACTAATATAACACCGACTCCCACTTGCTGCTGGGTGTTTCCAGTCAGTATGTAATATGTTTTGCAATCCAGGTGCTGCTATACACTTTGATTTGTACTCACTGGATGGTTTGTTATATCGTTGTCCCCCATTTTGATTTTTACAGGAGTTATTGCTTACTCCCAATCCCCCTCCCTATTTTGTCTGTATATTGTGACTGTCATTGGTTTTAAAGTTTCTATTAATATTATTTTTAGGATGAAAGGAAACCAAGAGTATTGAAATCTAGGAATACACCAGAGGTATTATTTCCTTTTTATCTATTTTATAAATCTGGGTGACTTTTTAGCTCATTATGCAATTTTTTAAAATGAAAGTTAATTTAAATGGTAGTGGATTTTTGTGTTTAATCCTAAGTTGAAATGTGTTTTAGGGTGATGACAGATCAGCAAGTCAATCATCTACATCAGGTGATGCAGCTAGTAGGCAACCACCAATTAAACGATTACGTCTGCGTGGTGATTGGTCAGATACTGGTCCTAATGCTAGACCTGAAAGAGAGAGAATGCAAGAAGAGAGTGGTAATACCTTCATTGCTTTAAATATATTTCTGAAAAGCTTGAATATATTTTGTTTACAACGTCAAAATGAACTGCACCCAAAAATCAGTTTTTCCATTAATTCTAGAGTGGATGCTCTTGGCATAACAGTTATTATCTGATCTGTGTGAAATTGATTCAAATTAGTGTAACGAAGAATCCTATTGAGTTTCAACAAATTCTAGTAATTACCTTTAGTTTTTGTCCCTTACTCACTTTGTAGAAACATATGAATGGTTTAAGGCAACACAAATAAAATAAGTTGTTTCTCGGGCACCACCCGCACACAAAAATGGTTGCTTATGCTGTCTTTTTATTGGTCTTGATGAAAAAAAAAATGTACCGCCCACAAATATGTGAATTAAATATGGAAATTATTTTCCTTTCTGTCAGTATTCCGTGCTTGAGAACGCTCAATGTTCTAAGTATGTACAGTAAATGAAAGCCTATTGAATTTCAGCAATTTCTGTTTATAACTTTAAGAGTTATGGCCATTGTTTCATTTTTCTGGACCTTGTGAACGCTCTATCGATATTAAATTGATATGAGTGTCTTGTAAATACAACCATTACCTACAAAAGAATAAAAATGCGAAAAACCTTGGCGACTGCTCTGAGGATTTAGCTGCTGTAGGTATAATTCTAGTTGTCTGACAGTCTATCTTTATTTACAAACATAATGCAACTACCTTTATGGACTGCTTGGCAACCTAGCTGTTGTCTGGGTACCGATCTTTATTTGTGCTGTACTACGTAATTAATTCAGTCTGAAATCATTTGATTACCGGTAGTATGATTCGTTGTTTAAATGGTTTGATTTATTTTTCAGGTAATCAAAGCCCACATGCTACTCTGATGCAACGAATGTCAGAAATGTTAACACGTTGGTTAGACGGTAGTCTACGCAGAGATGATGATCCTGCTGTTCCACCAGAGGGAGCTGTAGCAGCACCCATTATTGGGGAACCTGCACTTCCAAATCCAAATATTGAGCAACCCCCTCTCCCACCAGAACCCCCTGTGGAGATACTCCCCCCTGAACCCCCAAGTTTAGACACAAATGTCGAATCTACTCTTGAAGAAAGTAGTGTTGATATGGGAGAATCTTGTAGTAGAAAAACTAATGATAGTGTGTCCAGTTTAAATGTAGAAATGTGTAGTTTAGAGAACAATCTTACTGATGCTAAACCCTCTACATCTCAGAGTGTAGCTCAGAATCGTGTGAGACCAAAATCTCTGTATAGTTTAGATGAGTCTAGTACAACTAGTGTGTTTTCTTCTAGTCCCAGCACTGATGAACCAGTTTCAACACCTTCAGAACGTTCAGCTTCAACATCAGATACTGTTTCTTCTGTGAAAACTGGTTCGATCAGCATAGAGCCAGATGAAAAAAGTGCCTCATCAGGAGTTGATCCTGATTTAGAACTCATAGATGAAGGTGTAACTCAAACTAAGACTCAAGATAATAATACTATAGCTGGTTCTCAAAATAACGAAATAAATATATCAAAATCTGACTTAAACAAAAAGTCCCGAAGCCAAGAAGCTAAAAGCTGTGATATGGAGTGTGCAACTACATCTGATTCAAGTGCAATACCCAAATGTCTTTCAAGTTCAACCCAGACTGATAATTCTCAAAAACTAGAGCCTATTATAAACTTGCATTACTCCAGTCAGGGTACAAGTGCCAGTACTATTAGTGTAGGGTTTGCCTCATTTGATTTGACAGGCACTTCCACATCTGCTCAAGCAAGGACAGATAACTCTAATAGTGTACCTACTGATCTTCCTTCTACTTCTTCACAAACTGTGGCCCATACGGAAGCTACAACTGTTAATAACATATCTGATGATGCCACACACTGTGCACCTAATAATAGTGATAATTCTTGCCAAGGGCCAGGTGCATTTACAGGACAAGAAGAATCCTTATTGGAACATTCAGAGGCTTCAACATCTCATACGGAAGTCACCGAACAAATAGATTCCAATACTGGGTCTGTAACTGAACAGACCACATTACTAACTACAGCAGATCTAGCTTTACCGATTGCTAGCAGATTACAAGATACTATAGATAGCAGTGAGGGTATGGTTACTTTTACTGAATCTGAGAGTAGTACTAGTGGAGAGAGATCCGAACAACCTAATCGTAGAACTATCCAAAGACCAGGTAAATGTTTTTATACGCCCACATTTTTATGTGGACGTATATTGTCGTCGACCCTGTCCGTCCATCCACAATTGTTTGTGGACTCTCTACGGGTGGCATGTATCAGACCATAAATTTATGGATTATGGCCCCTGATTGTTTTTAGCTTGTGGACCCAATAGAGGTCACAATTTTTATCCGATTTTGTTGAAACATGAAATGTAAGTTTATAACCCAATGATCTTGGTTCCTTTCAATTTTCAAGCATATCGGACCGTAATTTCCTGAATTATGACCCCTGATTGTACGAAAAATCGCATTTTTAGCTTGAGGTTCCTCTAGAGGTCACAATTATTATCCGATTTAAAAAACGTTTGAATATATCACCTTTACACCGTAATTTTGATTGAGTTCGGATTTTAAAAATCGTTTAAATATATCACCATTCCACCATAATGAATGTTGAATTTGAATTTAGGGAAAATCGAAATGAAACTGCCTGACAAAATGTCTGCTCTTTGTACACAAATTGTGTAAAAGTATGCAATACGAAGGTTGTGGACCCTCTAGAGGTCACAATTTTTATCCAATTTTGATGAAACTTAAAACATATCTTTGTATCCCAAAGATCTCCGTCCCTTTTGATATTTGCGCATTTCAGACCATAACTTTCTGGATTATTGCCCCTGATTTTACAAAAAAATCCCGTTAGTTTTTAGTTTGTTCTCTATCCATCTCTTGCAAAATGTGGGCGTATCCTGCCTGGTAGCCACTGGTTATTTCAAAAGATAGGAATTGATCAGTTTTTCTTAAGCGTTACTTAAATACTTTCGTTTCAGACGATGAATAATTTCTTAACCCTAGATTTAAATGTCCACATAGCCTTTGATGTTTTTAAGATTAGTATAAATTCTTCAGTAAGCAGAGCCTCAGATGTTATTGACCCGCTAGAGGTCACGATTTTTGTCCAATTTTGATGAAACTTAAAATATATGTTCTTCTCCACAGATCTGAGTTCCTTTGGATATTTGCACATACCAGACAATATCTTCCTGGATTATGACCCCTGGTTGTACGAAAAATCACATTTTTAGCTTGTGGATCCTCTAGAGGTCACAATTTTTATCCGATTTTAAAAACTGTTTAGATATATCACCGATGAACCCTAATAAAAGTTGAGTTTAAATTTGAGGAAAATCGAAAGAAACTACCCAACAAAATGGCTGCTCATTGTACACAAATTGTGTAAAAATATGTAATACCAAGGTTGTGGACCCTTTGGTTTCTACTTGTACTACCATAATCAAAAACAGACCGGACTGGTGGGCCAGTCTGGACAGTTCGATCTGGTTACACCGCTGAGAATTTAGCAGTATGGTTCCAGATCTGGAGTGAGTAGTCTACATGGGTTTTATTTGGATGTAAATAATTTGAATTTTGTTGTTATTGTAGAGAGAAGAAGTATATCTAGTAGTGGTATAAGACACAGGCGTATAGGTATTAGTGGGCCACCAACAGGACAGCGTGAAGAAGAGGAGAGTAGTGATGAAGATATTCTTCCAAGACCTATTCCAAGGTGCAGATTCTTCAGGTATTTTTACGTGTATCAGTAGAGGTGACACAATTGCATCCATACCTGTTTGAAAATAATAAACACTATTCACCTGTTTGCTGAATCAGCTGATTGATTGATAATGCAAATAAACTTATTTGCAGGATTTCCATTAAGAGTAAAATTTTTGTAAATGTTATAAATAATTCTGTTTAAAATGTCTTTAAGTTATTGGGCTAACTGTCAGTCAACAAAACTATGTGCTCGTGCTGTAATAGCTACTCTTCATGTGGCTTTGACTAAGGACACTAATAAAGTCTTTGGATCAAGAATATTATAGAATAGCATCACAGCCTTCCTGTTAATGTGTATTCATGTATTTGGTAGTATATGATCACTATTTGCTTGTAGAAGCCATTTTCATTAGCCCATGTTTATGTATATGTTTATGTATTAAAAGAGATGAAAGTGATGAAGAACGTCATATAGCAGCATTTAAACTACAGACAGCCTATCGTAAACGACAGGAAGTTAGAGAACAACAAGAAATGAAAGATGTCTATCAGCCTAAAACTAAAAGGAAATATAAAGGTCATAGAAATGCTAGAACAATGGTATGTGTACTCTTGTCATTTATCTTAAGTGGCAATTATTTTCATGCCTCTTACATTTTTCATTATTTTCAGGGAATCTCATGGAACTTTGTACTGTTTGGTATCAATAAATAAAAGATCTTTTTCTGACACATGATGTGTGTTTTAGGGAATTTAAAATGGTTCCTCATCTAATTTGTAACTTCTACTCAAAAATAATTGTGGATGCAGTAAAATGTTGGATTTTTTTATTGCTAACTTAAGTACTTTTTGCTATCAAATCTGACCTTCTTGCTTCTTTACTTCCAGATAAAAGAAGCAAACTTTTGGGGGGATAATTTTGTTATGAGTGGGTCTGATTGTGGACATATATTTATATGGGATCGTCAGACTGGTGAAGTTGTTATGTTATTAGAAGCAGATAGACATGTTGTAAATTGTTTACAACCTCATCCTTTTGACCCTATATTAGCTTCTAGTGGTATTGATTATGATATCAAATTGTGGGCGCCTTTAGAAGATCAACCAATATTTGATTGTGAAAAGGCCCAAGAAGTAAGTCAAAATAATTTTATTACTTGTTATATGTCCACATGTAAATGTAATTATACCGATATATTGTCATTGCTCTGATCACATTTATCTATCATACTCCTTGCAATCACTGTTGGGAGATTTTTTCAAAGCAAACTTTTAGGTTTACCCACCTACCTATAGATGAACATATAAAATTCAATTGTGCATCAGTCATTTAATTATTGCCTTTTTCATAACAGCAATGTATTCGCACTTTGGGTTTTTTAATGGGTGTTAGACTATTCGCTTAAGTAAAATTTGATTGTTTAATGATTTTGTTGTGTTTACAGGTAATAAGAAGAAATGAGATTATGTTAGAGGAAACGAGAGATACTATTACAGTTCCTGCCGCCTTTATGTTACGTGTTCTAGCTTCTCTAAATCAAATACGTGCAGGTAATACTCTTCTGAAAATCATAATTTGAACATAATGCCACTTATTAAAACAATTTAACAAATTTTTAGCTAAAGAAATCTTCTTTAGAATTTTTTTCCAAAAATGGTGGTTTTTCCTCCAATCTCCTGGGAACCATCTAAACGTAAATACATTCCTGTAGATGAAGTTATGATAATCAACTTATCTTGTATTTTTCAGGAAGAAATGTGAGTGCACGTCCAGAAGCTAATCGTGAGATATCTAGTGATAGTGATTAGAATATGTCACTATTTTCTCTATTTTACTAAAGAAATCGGAATTTTATGCCAAATATTGATATGAAAATCTACAGCATTTATATTAATATCATGTTGTTAATGAGCTTTGATTATTTCATGGAAATATCCATTTATTAAAATTTATTTTGCAAAAAATTATATTTACACTGACACTTTGAGATATCAATTCATTTTAAATTAACTTTCTTTTTAATAAAAGAGATTGTTATTGCAGTCTTCAATTTGAAATTATGTCTAATATTAAAATACAAGTCAACTTATTCCACAGATCTCCTTTAAAATGAACAAAATTTATACATGGAATTATTGTTGTATGAATACGAGATTACCAATTAACATACATGTATTTAATGTGTAGTCCAACTCATTCTTGGAACCCTATAGCTTCTCGTTGACATAGGGGCATAATAAAAGTGTCACTTATACATTTGAACATGGACTAATCCATGGATTTATTAACTATTTGACATAACCTCAATCATGCACCACACAGAAGTCAATGTGTTTCTACCCCCCAGAGTAGAACATATAGATAAAAATACAGTCTTATTATAAATATAATTGACTTTACTATGCAATTTAATTCAGTTCATCCAGGTATCTTTACATCTGTAAATGAATTTTTTCACTTTCTTTTTTAATAAAACAGATTGTGACTAGAATAACCCAGACACTAATCTTATTAATGTTGTCAATTATAACTAAACTTTAGATCATGGACAGAGGGGATAAACAGGTGACTCCTGATAAATAGTTATTTCACTCCAAAATTATGTTGCAGCACCAATATGCACTAGTTACATTTCTAATTTAAAACTCCATACAGTTTTGAATACTTTTCTTAACAAATGTTATATTTGACATTCAGTATAAATGAAAATTATTCTAAAAATATTAAGAAACGCTCTATTTTACATAGAATTTATTCTGGAGAATATTCCAAAATATTTTGATTTATATCGTGGAAAAATAATATGGTAAATAATATTAATCGACAAGTATTAAACATATAATCTCAAATAATGCAATTTAAAGGGGCATTGTACACGAGACTAAGACAAGATGATCTACATGTAATGTAGTTATTATATTTTATGTTATAGTTATTTGTTAAGATATATATATATATATATATATATATGTTTTGATGTTATTTTGTAGCAGTGTGTGATGTAGGTATTGGTAATGAGTATGTTTAGTTGTAAGATAAATATTACTGTAATGATATGTATTTATGTAGGTATGATTGTTTTAGAAGAAATACTCTCATCACACTCATAGGTGACCTGAAGAAGGAAAAATTTAAACACTAGAGGTTGATGTCCTTATAATGGTTGAGACATTGTGTTATGGGTCAAACATATGATTGTCGATTTGATTAGATTTTATGTGATAATTTTTTTTTTGTGGAATGACAATCTGCTTTCTTTCAAAATTTTATAACCATAGATAAAGCTAGTGTACAGATATAATTGATTGTGTATTTTTATGGTGACAAAATAAGTCGAAAGTGAAACTAAAATTAGAAAACAAACCTACTTCCACTTAAATGTAAAGTTTGTCCCACCACTGTTTGAAAAAACACACCACTTTAAATACATTGTTTTGACTAAATCAAAGAAGTTTAGTGCCTTTAATTAAAAAAATGTTTTTTCAAGCTATCCCTAACTGATAATGATATGTCCTTTCCACTATTATTATAACAGATACATTAACTTTGTATAGCTTGTGGTTTTATTAGAGGACGATTAACATAGTACAGAATCTTTGCAACAACCCACCCGATCAATTTTTTTTCTTTATCAAATAAAGTCATTATGTACTTTAGTGTAACAATTTTATCTCATTCAGTAAATTATTCATAGGTTATGTATAATGTAAAAAAAAAAAAAAAATTAAAAGGACTATTTGTAAACAAGTATGTAAATTGAGGACATATTATTGTGCTAAATAATTCACGTGAAGAAAAGCATGTGTTTAACTACAGCAATACTATAAGTAAGACTCTTTCTAAACAATTCAATTCTGTGATTATCAAGTTTTATTTGTATAATGTTAAAGCAGACTTTGTGTGACATGATAACGTTTGTTTTAAATAATTCATTTTGTTATACAGCCACATTGAAACTGTGTTGAATATTGCTGTTGCACCCTGTCTGTTTGTCTGTCTGTCATATACAATTTCTGCTAATTATTTCTAAAGTTATGGCCCTTGTTTCATGTTGTAGAATTTTGTGAATACGTTATCGTCCGATCTGTATAGTATGAAATTTATGAGCATTATTGAGATTAATGAAACATAGAAGACTGTTGCTATTCCAAAATATCTGTGAATTACTTCTAGAGTTAAAGCCCTTTCTTCACTTTGTAGAATCTTGTGAATGCTCGAATGCGAAATGTTTTTTCTGATCTGTATGAAATTCATGAGCATTATTCAAGTTAGCTAGATTTATAGCCCTTGATTCACTTTGTGGAATCTTGTGAACACTTCATCATCTGATCTTTGTTTCAATTATTGTCATGGATAACCTTTGCAACAATTTCTGATAATCTTGTGAATGTGCCAATGATACACAGTTTTATGATTTTGCTTTTATTTACATAGATTTACAATGCGACAACCTTTGTGGACTGCTCAGATGAATTATGTACTGTGGGTGTATGTTTTGTTGACTATCTTTTTATGTATCTTTATCAGCTATATGTAAAATATATTATAACCATTTATTTACTATTTATTGATGGATTGTTTAATAAATAAATCATATAATGTATTAACATCATTTTATTCAAGCCCCCTCAGTTAAAACATATAAGTAAAATATTTTTATACGCCCACATAGAAATGTGGACGTATATTGCAGTCGCCGCCGTCTGTCCGCTGGTCCGTCCATCGTCCACAATTTCTTGTGAATGCTCTAATGCCAAAAGTTATCATCCAGTTGTTTTAAAATTGATATATGTTGTTTGCATTAGTGAGATGAAGAATCCTATTTAATTTCAATAATTTCCGTTTATTACGTCCAGAGTTATGGCCCTTGTTTCACTTTGTTGAACCTTGTGAACGCTCTAATGTCAAAAGTTAACATCTGATCTTTGTGAAATTTATATGCAATTTTTAAATTAGGGAAACAAAGAATCCTATTGAATTCAAGCAATTTCTGTTTATTACTTCTAGAGTTATGGCCCTTGTTTCACTTTGTTTAACCTTGTGAACGCTCTAACACCAAAAGTTATCATCCTTTCTTTCTGAAATTTATATGCATTATTTAAATTAGTGAAACGAAGAAGCCTATTGAATTGTTAGGGTATCACTAACTGGCATCCCGACTGTTATTTGCCAGCTTATTGTGTGTCAGCTTAAGTGAGGGAGCGGTTGTTATTTCTTGATCAAATGGTTAGGCGGTTTTGGGAACATTGAGGGGTGTCGACGTACAAAAGACTCTGCAATTAAACAGCGGAAAAGGAAGTTGACAGAATTAATTAAGAATTTACTTAGGCCTAAGTATGTATGATAAATGGACAGTAAGTAATGAATAATACATTCTGAAAAATGGACCCTCGCACAATGAAGTTGACAGACATTGCGTCTAACAACAGCTTATGTATAGGTATCCCCGGGGAATACAAAGATTTGAGAGGGAATTAAGGCAAATTTTTGATAGATTGGTTACTTTGAATATGTTTTTAGTCCAAATATATCATCAAATCACAAAGTTTGTACGCGGGAATGTATCTTTAAGCATAATAATGCCAACAATGAATATGACCTATTAGGGCTTTCTTTTTTTTAGAACTACCATTGCAATAATTTCACTGAATGCTACATGGTTCAATTCTGGAGGGAAAAACTCAGCGGTTGCCAAGAAATATACACCCACATTTTGCAAGAGATGGATAGAGAACAAGCTAAAAACAAAATCGATTTTTGTACAATCAAAGGCCATATACTTTTACACAATTTGCGAACAAAGAGCGGCCATTTTGTCAGGCAGTTTCATTTCGATTTTCCCGAAATTCGAATTCAACCTTCATTATTGGGGAATGGTGATATATTTAAACAGTTTTTAAAATCAGATAAAAAAATTGTGACTTCTAAAGAATCCACAAGCTACAAAAAAATACGACTTTTCGTACAATTAGGGGCCATAATTCAGGAAGTAACGGTCTGATATGCGCAAACAGCAAAAGGAACCAAGATCTTTGGGACATATAAAAATATATTTTAACTTTCATCAAAATATGATAACAATTGTGACTTCTAGAGGGTCCACGACCTTGGTATGACATACTTTTACACTATTGCGTACAAGGAGCTGCCATTTTGTTAGGCAGTTTAGGTCCAATTGTAACAAAAATTGAACTCAACCGTGTCATTAGGGTGTAACGTGTCGTTAACAGTGATAAATTTAAAGCAGTTTTGGTCCGATTTTCACAATTCAAACTCAACCATCATTAGGATGTAACAGTGATATATTCACACGTTTTTTTAAAATCGGATAGAAATCGTGACCTCTAGAGGGACCACAAGCTAAAAACACGATTTTTTGTACAATCAGGGGCCATAATTCAGGAAGTTATGATCCGATATGCGCGAATGTCTAAAGGAACCAAGATCTTTGGGTTATAAACATGCTTTTCAAGTTTCATCAAAATCGGATGAAAATTGTGACCTTTAGAATGTCCACAAGATAAAAACATGACTTTCCGTACAATCAGGGACCATAATCCATGAAGTTATGGTCCGATACATGCCAATAACTATAGGAACCGAGATCTATTGGAGATAGACCTATGTTTTAAGTTTCGTCAAAATCTGATAAAAATTGTGACCTGTAGAGTCATATTGACGGACTGGGGCATCTGCATAATACGTCCACATGAAAATGTGGGCGTATAAAAATGTTTTAAATTTAACTAATATGCATCACAACATTTTATTGCGTTCACTCTTTTTCCAGCTAATCACACATGAGAATCAGAATATCAACAAACTAGTACAGATAGTTTATGTAATGGTATTCATCTTCAAACCAGATATAAAAATCCCAAAACTCTATTGTTACTGATAATATTAACAGTATAAACATCTTCCACATTATGTCTGTTAGATATGAAATTATGTTCTCCACGTTATGTCTGTTAGATATGAAATTATGTTCTCTAATAATGGTAGCCTGATGAAACTACTACACATATGTTCATAATTCAATATGCGTTATTCACTGATCAGTTCTCATCTAAACCAAGGTGGTAAACTGAGTTTATCCCAAAGTTTTTGATTTGCACGTTCAATTCTTCTATTTTCTACTTTATAATCTTCCATCTGTTTTCCTGTGTCTGATGGTTTATCAAATATACCAGGAAACTCAAATGTTTGACCTTCACCCTGAAAGAGAATTGAAAATTTATATTAAAACTAGATAATGTAAAGGCAATTTGCTGAAAATTTCATTCAAGTTGATCCACTATGAACCGAGAACTAAGCGGTTGAAATTTCTGCCTAGCCTCGATCATCATTACTAAAGTCAGTATGATAAACAGCATAGTCTCGATTAACCATTTAATCGTTAAATCGTGAAGGAAAGTTATGCAGTAAATCGCCTCATAATCCACTAAAGATCCCAGGCTAGCGATGCCATCTAGAATTGATTATGGTCTGAATATGTTAATTAATGTCTAATTAATAATTTAGATAACATTTCAGGCCTAAAGAAAGACCTGCAATGGACAGATTTAGCTCTTGCATAATGTATGTTTAACAACCACACAAACAACTAATAGAACAATAGTACAACACAATACAATATCACATTTAATGACGAAGTCCTTGGAGCCATGTCACAAATTCAAGGAAATTCTCAATACTTAAAATCACAATCGCATGTAGACAAAAAAATTTGTGACTGTGTATGGTAGTAAGAGACTAACTCAAATCAACTGCATTGTTGGTTGCACTATTCAATTAATTTATTAAAATAGAAATTTTATGAATCCATACCATAAGCATGCCAAACAGAATAGAATTAGACCATAAGTCTATGCCTTGGCTAATATCACACAATGAAATGGTAACTTACAAGTACAACAAAGGCTATCTTTTTATCATCTTCCCGTGTCACAACACTTCCTCTTAAAGGGTGTTCAATAGGTTCACCTAAAAATATAACAGTATCAAACATTGTTACAATTATAAAGAATATAAAATGTTGAAATCAAGAGTTCAGTTTATTTCATCTATTATCTTTCCCCATAAACATTTATTTATTCGATAAATGTATCTGTAAATTGATACATTCGTTCAAATAGAAATAGTTTCAAATGTATATTCTCAACACAAAGCATCATAGGTTGTTGACCTGAAATAAATAATTCTATCACAAAAATTGAAGAGTGTCACTAAAATAAATACCAAAGAGATTGTTATGGTAATGAGTTCTACATTTTCGAAGCAATCTTTCTAATGATGTACAGGATGCCATGACATCACCCAGATGAAATCTCTCAAGCTATCCTGTCGCATTAGCCAGGCCAATCACTTGTTTAGTATAAACCTATTCGATTAGGATATAAATATGGGCATAGATTCCATATACATGGAAAGTGACGTTTGATGGTGTGTGTATGCTAATTCAGGTTTGGTTGCCATTTTAAGTAGGAAATGAAATAAAAGTTTTGAGTTATAGGGGGTGCTCGATTGTCAGTCCGGAACGTCCCGAATTGACAGAATTGCAATCAAGTGATACAGAATTCAGTCCTGTCACAGTTCTGCCAGTCCCGACAGTTGAGGTGGTGTGAGTAGAATCGTGACGTATTTTAAGTAACAAATATGTTTCAGCTGCCATGATTGGTTGAGATATTTTTTATGCAGTGGGCACATGCGCTGTACTCCGAAATTCTCCTTTTCACTCGATTGACACTATTTTCGGAATTGAGAGAATTTAATTCCGGAACGTTCAATCGAGTATCCCCATTGTTTCACCCTTATTTTAGATTTCAGGGGCCATAATCCATGAAGTTACAGTCCGGTACATGCCAAAAGGAACCGAGATCTTAGGGTGATAGTGATAAACCTATATTTCAAGTTTCATTGAAATCGGATAAAAATTGTGACCTTGTAGAGTGTTCACAAACAATTGTGGACGGACTGACTAGAGCGACTACAATATACGTCCTCATGAAAATGTGGGCTTATAAAAAACATTACTTGGTATACCTCTAGGCCCCGGGATCCTGGACAAGTGTCCCAGCTGTTCCCCCCTCCCCTGCTTACGGGCCCTGTGTAAGCCACCAAAGAGTGAGGAACTGATAGATAGGTATGTGACTGGGTAATTGTCCTCTTGGTAATTCAACTGATTGTTACTGTTAGCTACTTAATTATATACATAGCAAGCCAGTACTGTAGTAATTAATAGGAGTAACACAGGCAATATCATCTAATTTAAAAACAATTAAACACATTTTATTAATGACTTGTAGGGATAATTAATTTTGTTGGGTGTCAGATAATAAACACCATAGACCCATGAATGGTATTTCCATAAGCTTGTTGTTAGATTTGATGGTATTGATAAAAAATGTTTATCTTAACATAACTTATTCAAATGTACATGTATTAAAGTAACGATTTGCACTTTGTGGAAAATATCAAATTTCTCACAGCGTAATCCATACTAATATGTACCAAAGCTGGATAATCTCCCAGTTTGGATTCAATTGGATTTAAATAGGCCAATTACTGAGGTTATCAGTCCAACCTTGTTGGTTTTCTCTGGGTCCTGGGGTTTCCTCCCACTGCTGAAGACCCCTATGTGCAAGCAAATTATTGAAATAAAATTGAACCATGTGTTAGTCGCAAAATGACCTAGTTTGTGTCAAGTGGACTTAAACCCCATTTCTCTCTCTCTCAGAGGTTATCAGTAAAGCCAGACAAATAAAGATAGCTGACGTCTTGTTACATAGGGAGCAGCACAGATTGATGGAATAATCAATTTGTCATATTTTTGTAAATTTTAAACTGAACCATTTTTGGACTGATATTCACAATATTATAGTTTTCAAGGGGTTCTATAGGGCTAAAATCATTATAGAGTCTTTAATCTTAATATATACAATAGACATTTATCATGACAGTATAATATAACACATGGGGTTAATATTATATTGAAAAGTTATACAATCTGTGGGGAAAAAACTTCTGGATTTTGTTAAAATATACCTTGATGTGTGGCAAATTTTACATCTGTCACTGGAACTTTATAAATCTTCTCTAAATAATTCTTTACATCCATTGTACTCATTCTGAAATAAAAATTGCAAAGACAGTCTTTTACTTAAAAAAAGAAATCAGTTGTCAAAGAGGTGGTGCCTAGTTGTTAGTTGTTTGGATGTTGTTATGAAAAAGGATGTCCACTTGTGTTAACATTGGCCTGCACGTAAAAAAAAAAAAAAATCGACATTTGGAAAATCAAAAATTCATTGGAAATATCCCTCTCCCTATTGATAATTTTTTTTTTAGGGACCACACATACCCGTTTGCTGATAACTACAGATTTCTAAATAAACTTTATCTGTATACACCAAAAACCTACTAAAGGACAAGTTAAATTATTTAAATTTCAATATACATACGAGAAACGATTTTAATTTAGGAGAAATTATTTTCCAGGACTAAAATATTACACACCTGTGCAGCAGGAAGTTTTGTTTAAAAAATACATGTAAATATATGACATATGGCATGTAGATAACTATCAGATAACTATTACGTATTTATATAGGTATAAAGTATACTACAGTCCAGTCACTCCAGTGATATATTTATTTAACAACTTATCTTGTGTATACAGTTTCAATGAAAAAGGACTCGTGTATTTTCTAAGAAAAAACTTTTCATGATGATATCCTGGAAAAAGCATATAAATATTGCTGCCATACTTATGTATTATCTATAAGAATAATGTGTTAATGTATGAAGAAAGGGATTATAAGTGAATGTACAAATTAACAGGTATGCCTCTTTAAAATTCTATAAATCTAAAGATATTACTGCTTAATATAGTACAAACTATAATCATGTAACTGAACACAGATTTCACACATTTGTGTATTAAAGGGTATACTTTAGTATAATCAGAAATTTCTGGGGAGAATTTCATGTTTGTTTCTATTCTGTGTGATATAACAGATGGTTGACTATATAAATGTTATAATATTCTTCCTACTTCTGTGAATTTTGAAAGTAGCCAATCCCCACCCCATCCCTGGCTTAACACTCTGATTCAAATGAATGTACAGACTTTGTATTGTAATGAAACAGATCATTTAGATTTTTGTGTTATATTAAGTATATGTATAATAGAGGAGTTGAGTTGGGTTCAATCTAGATGTTAATCTAGCTAATCATGTAGTAGTAATATGGTCTCGGTAAGAAGATTACTACACCTAAACATAATAACAATAGGAATCATATTAGAGTTTGTCTGCTTCATTTAACTCATTTTAGTCTAATTCATAGTGACAGTTTTCACTGTTTTTATAAACTGCTCAAGCGTGTAATATCCATGTAATATATTATTTACTAGTTCCCCAAATTTTATATAAACTTTTTGTCTGTTGTTGGCATCTTTATAAAATACAGAAATAAATTGAGGTTTAAATTCATATTTTTCTGCCCCAACTGGACTAATGAAGATGGTCATACACCGCACAGTGTGCTATAAAGGAGATTTTGCCCAGACAGTGGTGCAACAGCCTACTTTTATTTGGAAATTCAACTGACTAGCGTGTCCCATCTAGATGCTTTTCCTTACCAGGCTTTGCATCCTGCACCATTGATATGGGGGAACTGTCTCAGCACCAACACTGGGATCCAAACCAGGACCTCTTGGTTAGTGAGCCAGCACCTTACTAATTGCAAAAAATACTTCTCCTACTAAAGATATTTAGCAGTATCAAAGATATTTCAAGGTTGTTGTTTTTTTTTTTACAAAAATGAATGCCTAAAAATGAAAAGATTTGTGTAATGTTTCTTCATTTTCACTTTTGATCAGCCAGGAATGGCAACAGGCAAAACCAGCGGCTGCCAGGCAGGATACGCCCACATTTTCGAGAGATGGAAAGAGAACAAGCTAACAAGAAAGTGATTTTTCCTACTATCAAGGGCCATAATTCAGGAAATTACAATTCAATATGCGCGAATATCGAAAGGAACTGAGATCTTTGTGTTATAAACTTACATTTCAAGTTTCAACAAAATCGGATAAAAATTGTGACCTCTATAGGGTCCACAACCTTGATATACCATATCTTTACGCTATTTGAGAACGAACGGCGGCCATTTTGTCTGTCAATTTTGGGCCGATTTTCACGAAATTCGAACTCAACCTTCCTTAGGGTGTAACGGTGATATAATAATACGTTTTTTTTAAATCGGATAAAAATTATGACCTCTATAGGGTCCACAAGCTAAAAACGCGATTTTTCGTACAATCAGGGGCCATAATTCAGGAAGTTAAGGTCCGATATGCGCGAAGATCGAAAGGAACCGAGATCTTTGGGTTATAAACTTACATTTCAAGTTTCAACAAAATCGGATAAAAATTGTGACCTCTATAGGGTCCACAACCTTGATATATCATATTTTTACGCTATTTGAGAACGAACGGCGGCCATTTTGTCTGTCAATTTTGGGCCAATTTTCACGAAATTCAAACTCAACCTTCCTTAGGGTGTAACGGTGATATAATAATACGTTTTTTTAAATCAGATAAAAATTATGACCTCTATAGGGTGCACAAAGCTAAAAACATGATTTTTTGTACAATCAGGGGCCATAATTCAGGAAGTTACAGTCCGATATGCGCGAATATCGAAAGGAACCGAGATCTTTGGGTTATAAACTTACATTTCAATTTTCAACAAAATCGGATAAAAATTGTGACCTCTATAGGGTCCACAACCTTGATATACCATATTTTTACGCTATTTGAGAACGAACGGCGTCCATTTTGTCTGTCAATTTTGGGCCGATTTTCACGAAATTCGAACTCAACCTTCCTTAGGGTGTAACGGTGATATTATTAAAAACGTTTTTTTAAATCGGATAAAAATTATGACCTCTATAGGGTCCACAAGCTAAAAACGAGATTTTTCGTACAATCAGGGGCCATAATTCAGGAAGTTAAGGTCCGATATGCGCGAAGATCAAAAGGAACCAAGATTTTTGGGTTATAAACTTACATTTCAAGTTTCAAAAAAATCAGATAAAAATTGTGACCTCTATAGGGTCCACAAGCTAAAAACGTGATTTTTCGTACAATCAGGGGCCATAATCCATAAAATTTCGATCCGATACATGCCAATATCGAAAGCAGCCGAGATCTTATGGGGATAAGAATTGTGACCTGTAGAGAGTCCACAAACAATTGTGGACGGACGGACGGACGTCCAGATGGACAGGGGTGACGGCATAATACGTCCACATGAAAATGTGGGCGTATAAAAATAGATATATTGATGTCTATGCTACATTATCCAAAGCATATGAAATCAGGGTCCACAGGGTAAATTTGCATTTTTAAATATTTCTGTGTTTGCGAAGAACCATATGATCAGAAGCTTAGTCCTTGTTTCATCTAATCTTGTAGTGACTAATACTCAAGCATCCATCCAGGACTTTTTAATATTTCTTATACATTAGATGCAAAGCGGACTGCGGAGACAACTGCTTTCGACTATGTGCTAACCATCATAATAAACTCACAGGAAAAGGCCCTTTGCCCTTCTCAAGTAAATATTATTTTAATTCTTATTTTAGATACTTTTATTTTCCACACAGGTGGTTAAAAAAACGCATAGGAATATTTTTAGTAACAGGACCTTATTCCCTGCCTCCACTTCGAACCACATGTAATACTGTTTTGTTTTTCTTAAATCAACTTAACATGCATTCATTGTCATGTTGCAAATCCTGATGCATCTTCATTTTAGCTCTAAAATTTGCGGTTTATTCAATAATTTGTTGATTCTAAAATAACATCTTAACCAATAGTTTTTTATTTACATCAAAATCATTTTTCATAAAACAAAGAACTTATGTAATATAATTTCAGGTGATATGAGATAATTACTGTGGAGCTTATATAACATAGTTACATATATATACATATTTATTTAGGTTAATCAGATCTAACTAATCATCCTTTAATACCACTATAATAAACTCCATGTGACCTGACTAGCTTCATTCTTTATTTTACTGATTACTCTAGCTACAGGTTTAGTTGATTTTACTCGCCTACAAGCAACATGAAACTATGGACATTATAAATTCGGTCGTATCATATAAATGGTGAAAAAGTTAATTTATCATCTGAGAAGAAAATTGATCATCCCTGACGTAGAAAATTAACACCATGTAATAAGTCATTGACTACATTGATAATTTTTTCCTGGTTCTGGACTCGATCTGATGTTGCTTTGTCAAACAGCAGTGCAAGAGTAGGATTTCTTATCTATTTGGAAATTAAGTCATTCTTTGTGTGAGCTTACCTTAGTGAAAAATATTAAAATGGTTTGCATAAATATTCTGAAATCTACATCAGGATTTACAATTTTGTGAAATATTTGTGTTTTGGAATTTGTAGTAAAGAAGCAATAAACAGAGTGGAAAATTAATATTTGTCAAAATGTATCGCAATATTCATGAGGATACAGACTATCCAAAACGGCGGGTCACGTTTTCTGCGGTAAGTTGTAACGGTAAGGACTTGGTTGAAATGAAAAAAGTTTGGGATGGGTTTCTTCAAGATTGTTATTTTTAAACTAGCTTTAAATTCGGATACACTGTATTTGAAAATATATATTAGAAATCAAACATTTGGAATAAATTGAGTATTCTTATTTTGCATATATTTATAGATTAGTAGGAAAATGGATGTGAATTTTGCAATTAAAAAAAAATAAAAAATTATTCACATTCTAAATCACTTAGAGAGGTACATGTATTCAAATTCAATAATGTCTAAATATTTTTGGGACTCTAAAATTTATTAAATATTCATTTGAAATCAAATAGTCTCACACATATGAAAAAACATAAAAAGGATATTCTCTCCTGCCATTATAGCATACTACAAAAAATATTCAGTAACTACAAAAACATGAATTGATGTATGCAATATTTACAACAAACTTAACAGTAAGCACAACAGTACACATGATCATTTTTCATATTTTTTGACAAAACAATTTCAACACAATGAAAAGACTTCTGTGAATGCCCATGGCTGTGAGGTCTAACAATTAACATTTTTAAATATGGTGGGACATCTTTGTATAAAATAAGATTTTTCAAGGCATCTGCTAAACCGCTTTAATATATTTAAATTTCAAACTTCATTAGAAATAGAGTGCAGATACACTTTAATTCAAAATAAAAAAAATAAAAAAATCTTATGTTACTACCATAAATAAATCAGGTAAAACCATTTGTTGGTTACTATTTTTACAAATACAATATAAATAATTTACATACATATACTGTAGTTAATTTAAGTAATGACAAATAATGGCATATGTCCAAAGTCATAAATTTTATATCTCTATTCTACCAGTACATTTACAATAATAAACATTAAAAATACATAAGCTGGAGCATTTAAACGTAAAAGAGAGGTTTATTATACTTACTGTGGATGAACTTCAAATTGTACTCTATCTGATGGTATTTTATTCTTTGGTTTTAATAATTTCATCCAAAACAGTGGAAGAAAAACACGCAACTGGGGATCACCTTTCCAATAAATTGGATATTTAGGTATTTTTCTTTTCCATAATGGTCTGAAAGCAATATTTATTATAGGCTTACACTATATATAGATAAACAACATTAACAATATGTTGACTGTTGAGTTATTAATATTGAATGTGATGAGCCTTTCGTTAATTAATAAAACCCAAAAATCAATGTCTAAACTCTAGACCCAGGTTCAAAATACCATTTTATTGTAATCCAATAGGCATTGCCAGGGCCAGATTAAAGTTGAGAATGGTCTTCTACATTCATAATATGAAATACAATGGGGTTTAAAAGTCCTACTGTTCTGCTCCGTATGAAGACAGGTGTTTACTATACAGTGTGCAATAAGGGAAATTCTTCCTGGACAGCGGCTCTACAGGCCACTCTTATATTCAATTCCAACTGCCAAGGGACCTCAGTTTTTTATCCCATCAGAACGACTATCATTGTCCTTACCCTGCGCCGTGCACCACTGACAAAGGGGAACCATGTAGGAAAATTCAGATGAACTTTCTCGGCCAACACCAAGATCAAACACCAGATTCCCAGGTTAATGAGCCAATGTCTCACTCGGTGAGCCACCATAGCTTACCGTTCATAATACGAGGAAATTGAAAGAAATTTGGCTTAACATCCTAATTTTCTGTATCAACAGTTTTAATGAAGACAGAGAATTTGAGAAGATTATATGGATCATAAAACTCAAGAATGACCCCTTCTGAGTCACACAAATTCAGATATTAAATACAAAATATAATTTTTAGTATTCATTATTAAAAAATAATTAGAACTAATTAATGGAATTAGATCTGTTTTTTGGTCTCCTATGAAATATTTACTAATATTAATTCTATTAAATCAAGCAATATTTAAAAAAAAAAAGATAAATGAAAATATATTAATTTTAAAATATTTATAGTTTCTAGAAATCTGAAAATGCATCAAAAAAGATCCAGAAATTGACTGTTTCAATTGAATCGAATATTTTAACAGCATTCAAATTATGACTTAGAATATACGATAATATCAGCATTCAAGGTTCAAGGTGGCTACTATAAACTAATACGATACGACCCATCTGAAAAATCCTACTCATCTTGTTGTTATTCTTGGGGCCTAAGGCTCCTCCAATTCAAATACGATTAACAGGAAACTTGATATGCTTGCTCCTTGGACAATTGCACATCGATTGACAGTCTTCAATTTTTGATAGGATATCACAATTTTCAAGATGTTCAGATTCTAGTCCATAGTACGCTTAAACGTGTTTTCAAAACATTGAAGGCTCGAGTCACGATTATGCGCAGATTTACAAACAAAAAATACTCCTGTCATGCACAGCCACAGACAGGGATTATGAAGATGGGCATATGCCATGCACTGCAGTGTACTACGCTATTTTCCAACAGATTACCAACCTTACTATACTGTAGTGGTAACCTGCAAATAGGAATGGTTACCATAAACCTTTCTTGACTACAATATATTTATAAATTGTAAGTGGCTAACTGGGTAAGACACTGGCTCGATAGCCCGAAGGTCACAGCTTCACTCCCGGCGTTGGCCGATCGGGATTTTTTCGACGTGGTTTCCGCTTATCAATGGTGCAGGCAGGAGGGCCTGGCAATGAAAGTTGTCTAGTCGTTCGGGTGGGGAAAAAAACAAGGTCACGTGTATACACAACATTGGCGTGCACATGAAAGATCCCTTGTTCAAGTTGTTGGCAGTTGGAATTCATTAAGAGTAGGCCATGGTGACGCTGCCCAGGCAAAATTACCCTCATAGTAAATTGTAGGACGTTAACCCCATTTCATTTCATTTTTGACCCACGGCCACCGTTGAGTAACGGTAATTCTCTACTTTCAATTTATTGAAGATCAGCGATGCTTTGACGTGCTTTAGTGGTCATATTTTAAAGTTAGCTACATGTCATAGCATACTTATCTATGAAATTATTACGGGAAAATGATTTACTTGAGTAAAAACATGACGTTATTATCATAAATACTTACATATATTTACCGATTAGGTTTTTCGTGAAGTGCGACATTTTGTTTCATTCCCCAAGTTCAAGGTCATACAAATATTTTCTCACTAAAATATTGGAATACAGGAACACTAACGGAAAAAGAAATTACCGTTCAGTAATATTATAAACTCACAGTCAATCACACGGATTGATAGGTCATCATTTACAAGAATATAAGATGAAACTACACATACTGTACTTGAAATTTAGACTAATTCAACATTTTCCAATTAGAGAAAAATTTAGAGAGAGAGAGAGAGTGAATGAAATGGGATTTATAACGTTAGAGAGAGAGGTGGGGTTTAACGTCCACTCGACACAAACTAGGTCATTTCGGGACTAACACATAGTTCAATTTTATTTTTAACAATAATTCGCTTGCACGTAGGGGTCTTTAGCAGTGGCAGGAAACCGGAGGACCCGGAGAAAACCCACGAGGTTGGAGAGAAAAATTCAGAGTTCTTAATCTTATTTCTAAATTTGTTCATGAGATCCTGCCAAAAGAATAAATAAATGAGAGATAATTTGTGTATTTTATTTTTTTTTTTAAATTAGATTTAATCTACAGCCGACTGAAATTATATATAATAATATGTATTGTGTTTTCAGTTCTGTCAGTGCGGGGGGGGGGGGCTTTTTCAAAAATAAAATCCAAATAATACTGAGCTATGCAAAACGAAACATTGTGACTCTGGTTTTAGATCACACAATTTTTCGGGCAACGTTTGGGCAATAGAATGTTAGCAAGGTTGTAAGTGGGTATTCTTTTTACCGGTGTAGCTCTTCTTCGTTTCTTGTTTTGTTCATCGCCTAAATATGATAACAGCCAATCATCTCTCATCAACCGAAGAAAACATTATAAACAGGTGTGTCGCATAAATCAAGCAAATTTGATGAATTCATTTATTAGCTGTAGAAATTATTTAAGAGTTATCTTTAGTAAGTAAACTTAATTACAAATTCGAAAGATTGCAAATACTGCAGAGTAATTTGGTGGGGTCGAAGGAGTTGGTGTGTTCCGGGGTACATGGCATGCCATGGCATGCGAATTTTTGATTGGTGGTGGATGGATGTCACTCACGAACTCGAGGTGCAAATCAAATGATGAGGTGACGCAAGCAGAGAAATGAAATTGTAAACATTCGCTTGGTCACACGTCAAATATCCCCTCAAAATTAGATAACAAATTACTAAATATACATGTAGCAAATTGTATCTAAACTATTGAATCAGTTGCTACACACTTCTAAAGATACATTGTGTAAATGCACATGGATTTAATTTATATGTGTTGGTGTCCCACCATAAATAAATATCTCCAAATATCTCAACAATTACATCACAATATTTATATATAAATAATTTGGTGGAGTTGAAGGAGTTGGTGTTTTCCGGGGTACATGGCATGCCATGGCCTGCAAATTTTTGATTGGTGGTGGATTGATGTCACTCACGAACTCGAGGTGCAAATCAAATGATGAGGTGACGCAACCAGAGAAATGAAATTGTAAACATTCGCTTGGTCACGCATCAAATATCCCCTCAAAATTAGATAACAAATTACTAAATATACATGTAGAAAATGGTATCTAAACTATTGAATCAGTTGCCACACACTTCTAAAGATACATTGTGTAAATGAACATGGATTTAATTTATATGTGTTAGGGTGCCCCACCATAAATAAATATCTCCAAATATCTCGACAATTACACCACAATATTTATATATATACCAAGTCTTAATCAGTTTCGCACATTTATAGTCACTAAATAAACGGTCATGTTGTACCTAATAATCTACGACCATTTGCCATCGATAAATAATAGACTGAAAAATGGTTAGGCCTACGAGTGTCAGCCATTGAGTAAAAAATAGGTTACATGCCCTTGTTTTGAAATTGGTCTCACTTAACCAGTCTACCGATCATTCTCCGTCTGATTGACAGGCCAGATTAATCAAGACTACTTTTTTACGAAACATAACAGAAAGCTGGAACAAGAAATTGATTTTAGAAACACAAACGTTAGGCAACTCAACAATTGTTTTAAGAACCTTGTAAAAGTAAAATGAAACTACTGCTAGTATCATGTTCTTGCCTAACTCGAGTGTTTCAAAGATATAAAAGATCCCACTCCTAACTGTATAGTTAATGATAAAGCAATTTAAAAAATAAAACAAACATAATTCTAAAGCTGCTGTAATAACCAAGAAACTAAATATTATTGCTATTTAGAATCGTCAAACAATGGATTTTTTATGGTTGTAATAGTTGATAGATATGTAGAGAATTTCACGTGCCATGGCTATTTATAGACTCATATATGTACATGTATGTGACTAGCAAGAAATCACTTCGAGACAAGCCACTGAATCGTGCACATTCGCCATGTGGAGTTCAACTTTCAGTAGGGAAAGTTTTCGTTGCATGAGGCTCGCTGCATGAGGCTCCCTATATGTGTACATGTATTCAACCAGTTATTAGTAGATCTGATTAGCATTGATCTCTCTAATTAACCCTTTAATTTAAGGTGATTCTAAAGAAATCACTTCTTGTAAAGACTAAAATATAAGTTATTGTCATAAAGACATGTTCAGACATTAATATACTGTTTAGGCACTTCAGTAAATTTAGTCTGATTAAAAACTCTTGACTTCTGACATCCTTAAAGGGGAAGATCAACGATTTTCAACGAGGTTTCCATAAACCTTAAATATATATTGATAAATAATCCCCTCTGTAGCACAAGCAAACAAGTTTTTTTAAGTGAGAAATTAATTTTTATTAAAACAGGAAGTGACATAGTTGGTTTAACATGCTCAGCGGTCTCTATAGTAAGCATACAGATTTGGCATAAGTTTACAGCTGTATTGTGTTCACGCGTTGTCCTTTGGCCAAAAATCTGATGAAATGTGCTGTTTATTTGGGTATTATAAACACGAATTTATGTTTTTTTAACGTTTAGTACACTAAGCCGCCGCATAAATTCACTCATACTGAACAGTACGCTGTGCCTCAATTCACGCCACATGGCTAATTGTTTACATCACGTGGTTTGATTGACAACTTGCCAGTGACATGTATTTCGTCTGCTTCGATGTTTTTGTGCTTGCTGACAGCTTTTTCCAACATAAACAGATCAAAATTATGGGCATGTAAGACATATAATATAGTGCATGTTGGCACATAATGTCGACGTGAACGGCTTTTCCTTTTTTCTTCCATTTCCTCTTGAGAATGGCTGGGGTCGAATGTTTATACAGCATTACTGTAGACCCATAGAACAGATATTTTATATTCCAATACGTTGTTGTTTGACGTTGACATACTTTGGAAATTTATATATTTATTTGAATATATATGTGCCACAAGTTCGTTGAAATAAATAAAAACAATTTCAGTAGACTCAGCACGCACAAAAACATTCAAGCAGACGAAACATCTCTCACTTGCAAGCTGTCAATCAAACCACGTGATGTAAACAATTAGCCATGTGGCGTGAATTGAGGCACAGCGTACTGTTCAGTATGAGTGAATTTCCGCGACGGCTTTGTGTACTAAACGTTAAAAAACATAAATTCGTGTTTATAATATCCTTGTTATAAACAACCCATTTGATCAGATTTTTGGCCAAAGGACGACGCATGAACACAATACAGCAGTAAACTTGTGCCAAATCTGTATGCTTACTATAGAGACCAATGAACGTGTTGAACCAACTATGTCACTTCCAGTTTAATAAAAATTAATTTCTCACTTACAAAAAACTTTTTTGCTTGTGTTACAGAGGGGATCATTTATCAATATATATTTAAGATTTATGGAATCCTTATTGAAAATCGTTGGTCTTCCCCTTTAATTAAGCTAGGTAAATTTTGTCTTCTGCATGCTAAGGTGAGTCAATTATACCAGTTTAAAATAATCCACGACTTTTTACCTGTTTGTGAGAAGCACAAGCTGGCTTCTTTTTTACAGGTTGACTTAAAATTGGGATAGCTTAAATCTAACCTCTTTTTGCTAACTAATTACTATGGCTTGCCTGATTTCTAATGCGGTTGTTTAATGCTTTATTTAATTAGGAGAATGGTGGACAAATTCTAAATAGCTAATAAATGTATAGAATTATAAAAAGGGTCAAAATTATAAAAGAAAAATGTTTTTGATGGCAATAATTTGCAAAAAAAAGTGTTATGTTAAATATAATGAATAATCAGGTAGTGTAATACTGTAATTGAAATACTGATAATAATGTATAATAGATCAGTTGTAAAAAACTACCACTACTAAACGCCAAAAAGCATTATTGTTTAACACAAATAAACTTGACTAGACTTAATGAATAAAAAGAAGTGTCATAAAATGTTAAAGATTTTATCTGATTGAATTTTTCCTTATTTTGATGCCACATTACTTTAAGCCCACTAGGATCCAGACAAAATAATATCCTAAAATATTGCCAGCTTGCCACTTAACTGTAACCAATAACATACAAAATTTTAATACAATTGATGCACATGACAATTTAATCTTGTTCCAACCAAACATTTAAAAGTGAGCTATAAGACACAGAAAAGGGAATAATCTGCACTGTAGAGGATAATAGGCACCAGAGGAACATATTGTGTCTGACACTACCCAATTTTAACCTGTCATTGTCAATGACAGGAGGCTTGTACCAGTATATCAAAGCTTATAAAATTATTGCACATGTTTAAATACATCAGTAGATAATATATACATACACATTTATCAATGTTCTAGATGAACAATTTCCAAATGAATATTCTATTAGTGCAGAATTTAATGGACATTTGGTCACATCTGTTAATAATATTTACAGGGTGGAAACTTAAATCTAGACTTTATATACCAACATGGTGTACATTCCATCATGTATGTTGACAGTCTGCCATTGTAAAAACAGACTTCATATGTCAATATAAATTGGAGCCAGTTGACTTATAAGGAATACTTCTTTATGTGGTAGTATTTGTGAAGTCAGTAGGTGTAGATATATTGGTTGGATGTATTAAACAGGTTCAGTGTATTTTGTAGGTCACATAATAATCAATAGGCTGTTACGGATGTGGGTCAAAGTATAACATTGGCTATATTTGCAGTTTTAAATTTTCTTTAAGATATATTTTTTATGTGGTATGTGGAAGGGAGTATATTATAAACATGTTTACAGTATATGTTTCCTTATTGCATTGTGTTAAAGCTTATTATAATAATTAATTAATTTGAAAATGAATCTGTGTATTCAGTACGTGTATATATATATATCATATTCTACTGTTTCAATATGATAATAAACAATTAAAATGTTACATCAAATATATATTATTGTGTAGTAATAATATTAGAGGAAATGAATGAACACTAAGTCTTGTGACTTATGTCAACTTCTGAAGGACACTATTAATTGTTATGCAGGAGTTATTTTTGGATTGAGTACAGTATATTAAAGATGAAGTTCAAGACCTTTTTCTTACTATGTCATTCTTAGAACTTGTGAGCTTGAAGCATTAACCATAGTTTTAATTATCTTCTTCAACCTTGAAACATTGAAAGTGATTTAATGGATACACCTAAAAGGAGCTGAGTATCTTTGATTTATGTCAAAATAATGTGGTGAATTGGTTGACTTGGTGTGTTATTTGAAAGATATGATTATATTTTTGTTTGAAAATATTAAGCAGAACTTGTTTATTATTACTAATTTTAATGTGATTTGTGCTAACACTGTCATGATGACTGAAATTTATACACAGAATTTATGTTTATGAGAGTAGAGATAAAGTTCTAAGCTCTTCATCACTATGAAAATTCTTGTGGGTGACTGTAGTTGCTAAATTTTTCATATGCTCTATGTATGTGTTTAACACTAGGATAAAACCTACCAAATTTAATGATTTCCAGTAATTACATATGGGTTGTTGCCCTGGATAACTTTTTAATGTCTTTTAAATGGTCAAGTGACCTACATTTTAAACAAAAATAAGAAAGATTCACTGATATTGGGGTACTTTTCATTACCTGGAAGATGATCTTTATATTAAAAAAAAAACAACATTTATGTGACTCAATATAAATTTCTTTATAAAAAAATAAAAGCAATGATTTTTTTTTTCATGCATTCATTTATGAATTGAATTTAGTTACGCACAAGGGATCATATTATAATAATAACATGTTAATTTAACATTTACTTGAATTTGAATCTGACCTAAAAAATCATTCTATATGTTGGTATTACATTTTTAGTTTTATTTTTGCTTAGGACTTTGATAATGTAGCTATTTTTATCTTCTATTATATCTTGTATAGTTTACATTAATCTGTTGATATTTAACCAGTATGTATTTGGTATATAAAGTAAGCGTGGGCTTGAGGTGTCTGAAGCCAATTTTAAACTTTCCTAATTTTCAGAAGGTGACTCAGTACAGTTAACCATTACTACTGTACGTGTTTTATTGGTATGCATATGCAACCCATTATTTTTCCCCAAGTGGAAGTTTCAATAATAATTTATGTGTGTTGTCAATTTTGTTTTTGTATGATTTCCAAGAGAGTTTGCTTCTTTTTAAAAAGACACAGAGTCATGGTATATCAATAAACAATTTGTTTTATGTATGTATTAAGTTGTCTATTTGTCTTATTCCAGGTTTCTACAGTTGTTAAAATGTCTAAGAATTCGAGAAAACCACGACAGTTGTCTGAACAAGAGGTTTATCGAGATGCTGCCAAAATCCTAGATGAAGTATTGGCTGATCGATTAGGGAGAAAAATAAAAAGCAATGGCAGCTCAAAATCAAATGTCGATTCTAGTAGTGGGTATTATGATGCATCAAAGGAAAGCTTAGACATTTGGTTCAAAGATGACAACTCAAACACTTTCAACATTGAACGATCTCAGACTATGCCATCTAGTTTTAAACTGGAAGAAAAAGATGAATTTATAGAACAAGACATAATAGATTATATGAAAACAAAAAGTGATTTTGCCAACAGACGACATTCGGGGTCAGCAACTTCAGGTGAGTCTGATGTTTTAGATAATCGAATTGGTTCACCTTTAAGGAGGAAAAAAAGTTTTATGAAACGAGCCAAAGAACGTTTGTCCATTTCATTCCGTCGTCAAGATAGAGATCCTGAGATCGAAGATATCTTGGAAGAACCAGAGAAAAAACAGCGAAGAAAAAAGAAAAAGAATAAAAACAAAGGAAAGGAGAACCAGGATATAAATGATAATAAAAAAGTATCTAAAAATGATGTTCAAGATGATGAGGACCTTAGTGGTGTTGAGTTACGACACAGGAATCGAAACCGAAGTGACAGCACTGCTTCTAAAAGAAGTTCAATATTTGATTCCATCAGAAAATCATTCCGAATTAAACGCAGACCGTCGACTACTATCATCGGTAAGAATATATGTATAGATGTGAGATGGTACTACATGTATGGGTTTTCTTTTTGTCTGTTTATATAACTTATTTTCTGTTCCTTTCTATATTTCTATATTTTATCTTTTTATATATTAATCACCCATCACTATTTAACAATACATGTATTCACACATAGATTATGGTACTGGTACTTTACCTTGTTTATTTGAATACATAATGTCAGTAGAGCCAGAAATTTTTACGATGATTTTTTTTATTGTGGTATTATGTTTGCTACACATATAGAGTACTTATACTTTGATTTTGCAAGTAGCATTCACAAATGAAATAACTTTTAGCTGGTCCTGGTTCGTTTGTTCTTGCATAGGGCTTAACATCCGCGACCATTCCGCGTCCACCAATGATGATATCGCAGACAAAGCTGTCCCAGTATGTCAGATGGTTTTTTTTATTTTAAATCTATCAGTAACGGGTCCACAGCTCTGTGAATTTATCATACAAGTAAGATTATCCCATCAACAATCAAGCCGGATAGAAATTACCTTGTGTAAATCATGTACCAAAATTTTATAGTATAACCGAGCTTAAATACCTTGTACATGTAGTATAAAATGTTAATAGGGACATAACTGTATTCTGGTAAACAAGGTTGTAGTTGTTGGGGTAGGTGCACTATAAGGGCTTCACTATTAGTGAGATCCTAATATATTTGTACATGTACTACATGTTGGGAGCTGGTATGACCCATGCTGTATACTGGAAACAACCTTATAGTAAACTGCTATAGGGAGGTCCCTATGTTTTTTGCTGGTTTTTAATATTACACTACTGCTGTCTGGTGCTTTGTTTAATTTAAATGTATGACATTTAGTAACTAGTAAGTCTTTAGATAATATTAATTTTATTAAATGTGTAGTTGACTAATAAAAATATAAGTAATGGCTACAGTAAAACAAAGGTATAGTAACACAAAGGCTATTTAATAACTATTTAACATGCTGTTTTAGATATATTTATATGAATTCATACATGCATGCATTTAACATGTAAAGTCTTGTTAGATGATATGATGCTTTAAATTTGTGGTAAAGAAGCACAAACTGTTCAAGACTAAATGTTTATTCTGTATTCCACCAAATGAGTGCCCAGGCAGGTACATGTACTCCTGAATGTCGGGGAAAATTGTCATTTTGGTGTAGTCAGAAAAATTAGGCTGTATTATCATATCATTGCGAGAGTTACAGTGACTCAGTGAGTAAGATGTTGGCTCGCTAACCTGGAGAAAGTACATTTGGATTTTCCGTCGTTGTTTCGCCATGTCAGTGGTGCAGGACAGAGGGCCTGGCAAGGGACAACTTAGTCATTCGGATGGACATAAACAGAGGTCCTGTGTACACATTGGTGTGTACGTAAAAGAACCCTGGGCAGTTGGAATTCTATATAAGAGTAGGCCATAGTGCTGCTGTCTGGGCAAAATTTCCCCCATAGTACACTGTAACAGTGTGGCGTATGTCAGGCTTCATTAGCCCAGTCAGAGCAGAACAGTAGGATGTTAAACCTCATTTCATTTCATTTTTTAAGGGCTTTAAGAAGATAATGAATACTGAACAATATTAAACACTGGTTATTAATAGATTACTTCAGTATTGTTTTATTATTTCAACTAGCCATGATAAATTCCCAATTGCAATGACTAAGACACACAATTATGAACCCATGAAATCAAAAAATGTGTATTTATCAGAGTATATAATATACATATGCACTTATTTGGTTGAATAGAGTATTTCATTTAGTAAATTGTTTAACACAAAATCCATTCTGAAATTAATGTTTAATTGGGGTCATAAGGAATTTAACAGTTTTTTTTTTGTCTTCTATTCATGGCTGTTTATATAAATGTTATTTTCAGAATCCAGGTCTGCTGATGCAGTACTTGATGGTGGAGATCGCAACAAGGATCGTAATACCAGACAGAGAGCATCTATAAATGTGCCTGATCGTCTACCTACTATTCCAGCCATACCTAATCATGCCATTATTGATCTAGATGATATTAAATATATTGATGATGAAGCTGATAAGGCAAAGAAACCAACCGTTGACAATGGTAGTTCTGGTATCAAAAAAGAAAGAGAAGAACCAGAATTGCCAAAACCAAAGGGTAACCGAGGTAAACCTGCCCCTCCTCCACCCAAGGCACCTCCATTACACCATGATACCAAACCATTGGGTGATAATACACCTGCAAAACCCACACCACCCAAATCTCCAACCTTAAACCATGGAACAGAACCATTAGGTGATGGACATACTGGTACACCTGTTCTTCCTGATCCAAATGGTACTATTTTAATTCTATTATATAATAATATTATTTTATAGTACAGGTACTGCACAGTACACTACATTATATATAACACGGGTTTCACATTTAGGATTGTAAAAACACTAGAGAAGAAAAAGTCATCAATATTTAATTTTAAGAACCAAAAATTAGTCTACTAAGTTAGTGTTCTTTGCTGAAAATTAGTGTGAATATTCAGAGGTTAAATTCGCTCTATTGTTTTGGACGTATAGTGAACCCTGTATATGACTTATTTTGAGAACAGCAAGGAAAATAAATTCTGCAATTAATAGGGTACATGTACATGTTACCTCTTTGATTTGAATAATTTGATTAAAAGTTTTTATTAAATTTATTTTGACAATATGTTGAATTGTTTCGTGAAATAGATCTGTTAAAGTAGAACTGACATCTTTTCAAATGAGAATTCAGTAGTTTTGCATTTAAGTCATCATTAATCAAAGTAACATATCAGATAGATCATTCAACACTTCATTTTTACCTCAATCAAAGATATGTACACTGGGGTAATTTCCCCAAATTAGACATTTATTCACTAATTCCGTCCTATGTCTTAAATCAAGTGGAAAATCCAGAAATAAAATTAGTTCTGTCCTTTTGATAGTCAGAGTTCATATTCAACATACATTTGGTTTTATATTACATTGAGAGCAGTCAAGAGTTTTGGGCATTTGTATTAAATTAAAATTATTGCAAAATGCCATAGATTACAATTAGTACATGTATATTTCAAAATGAAGGGAAAAATAATTTTACGTCTGAACTGGAATTAAATTTCAAACTGTTTTCACAATTGTATTGTTGAAATTTAAAGTCCAAAAAGTAATAAAATTAATCAGTTATGGCCGTCTATAGCTTGAATTACCTCTATAGATTTCATGCTGCTATCTTATTTTCTTTGTAATTGTATGTTGGTATCTAACCAAAGTTTTCTGTCTTTATTGGGGGGTCACGTGGCTAAGTGGGTAAGACGCTGGCTCGCTAGCCTGGAGGTCGGGTGTTTGATCCCTGCATAGGCAGAGAAAGTTCATCCAGATTTTCCGGCGGGGTTTCCCCTTGTCAGTGATGCAGGACGGAGGGCCTGACAAGGACAGCTGTCTAGTCCTTCGGATGATACGAAAAACCAAGGTCTCGTGTATATATTGGAATGCACGTAAAAGATCCCTTGGCAGTTGGAATTCGATATAAGAGTAGGCGATAGTGCCGCTGCCCGGGCAAAATTTCCCTCATAGCACACTGTATGGCATATGCCCATCTTCATTAGCCCAGTATAGGAGCAGAACAGTAGGACGTTAAACCCCATTTCATTTCATTTCATTTTATTTATTGTCATAATTGCTTCCATATTTTTGTTAAATTTAAAGCAGGAGAAAGTTTTAACGTAACCGACTTATTTATTGTTTTATTTTTTATCAGAAATTGATGGAGATGATACTGAAGATGAAGTTGACAGCCCGACTAAACAGACTGTTGAGACGCCTTTTGAAATGAAATCAGAAGAAGAAAAGGATGATATGTTTGAAAAAATAGCCAGAAGATTGGTAGATATGGCAGATGAGAGAGATAAAAATACACGAAGTTCTGGTACTGAATCAAGTTATAGTGGGTCAGTTCAAGTGATTCATACTCGTGATCATTCCTCTAGTAAGTAGGCTTATCATTGCTGTATTTTCTTTAATATTTTGAAACAATCTTTATAAGATTGAGTTGGAGGTGCTTACTAGCCTTCATTTCTGTATATCATACTTTTGTATAAAAGAATATATGTCTCTATTGTATAGAATATCTGAATCTTAAATCATTTACTTTTTACACTGACAACCCCAAAAAATGATTGCAATCAAGAAGTTGATGCATTATTTTCAATTTCATTAATCTGAATATATTTTTCTGGTCTTTGGCATAAATCACTGTAATGTCGTAAAATATGACTCCTCAAAATCAATTTGATGGTAATAACTGTTATCTGTAATTATTGTCAATATCTTGACTAAATTTGATAATGAGCATATTCTGCCCAGGGTAAGCAGAGCGATAACTTTGGTTTTAATTAAGTGAGAGTGATGAAACACTGACTATAGATTCATTATATCATTACCTTGACTAAGTTCGTTGATGAGAATTTTCTGATTAGGCTAAGGAGTGATAAGCATTTTGATTGGTCAAGACTTTCGAACATAACAACTCTGCTTTTAATTGAGGTAGAATGTTTAAACTTGATGTAGATCTTCATTAGGTGAATAGGTGAATATCTTGAATAAGTTCAATGATTAACATTTCGAGCTAAAGCTAAGCAGAACTAAGCAATTTCATTGGTCGATGCTTTGGGACAAGATAACTTTGATTCTAGAGAGAGTGATGAAACTTAGTGTATAGTTGATAATCAGTTTGATTGCTTGATACTTTTGAAAAAAATAAATGTGTTATTAATTAATATGTGTCATCTATTTATTTTGGGATTTCGGCGGGGGACATCAGCCTCACTGTTGGCTTGTTCAATTATATGATTGTATCATTGCACTATGCCCCTTGTTAAAAATTTAAGAAGTCACTAATATGATTTAGCCAACAGTAATAGTTTGAAAAATGTATGAAACATATATTATGTGAGATTATTTTCATGTTTTAAATGGAATATTTATTATACAGGTGTAGACCCTGATAAGTTAACAAGTTTAGAACAAGATATATTAGATTGTTTAAGAGTTGGTGGTGATAGATTATCAGAGTCTGTAAGTATATACTACTACTGACAAGACTGCTATTACTGCTAATAAATTATATGCCATCAAAGTTCCATTCATAAATTTAACTACATGTTACCATTTAAAGAAAAATGTAATTACCTTACTGTGTCACAAACAGTGATTTGAATTTCAGGTAAACTGACTGGAGTACATACCTGTCAGTCAATTTACAAGCTATAAAATTAACCTTAAAATACAATTAAATTTATAGTTTTCATGTGTAAAAACACTTTAAGATATATGAATACTACTAGCGGTTGCCACCAGACCTATGTTACTACCCAGCCCGAGCTACCCCAATACACCAAATTTCAGCCTCGGGACAGCCCTAGTGTAGCCGCCAACCCTGAACAGACCGACAAATACACACACAAACAACACTCAAAAATATTAGTATAGATATAAAAATTTGGATAATGCTAAAAATTGTCAAAAAATGTGTCATAAATTGACTGACTGGCAAAATTTTGAAGTGAAATCCCTGGTATACATATATATCTTTGAAGTATGCAATCATTCCATTTGCCATATGGAAGATATGGGAATTTGTACCTGTGATTTACTTTGGAACTAATGTGATTTTATTTATTTTCTTGAAATAGTTTGATGATCCAGTACAGAAGGTTATAGAAGCGCACAGGAATCAGGCGTACACACGTTTTAAAGATACATTACGTAAAGGTTTAGGAGATGAGATAAGCTGGCATCAATTATCAATGATATATCATACTGCAACCGGTGCTATCAAAGCTGCTGGTGCTACAACACAACTTGCCTTTAGAGTTAAAGATATGACACAACAATATGTTGGAGATAAATTTGCTTCTTGGATTGTAACTGAAGGTGGTTGGGTGAGTATTGTAGAAGTAGAATATTAGCTTTTAAATAAAAAATGTATAGAAAGAATTCAGCAAATAAAAAAACATAGATCTATTCAAATATTGCTTACAGTAAAGAGGAAAAATCCCCAAAAGGCCTACATTTGAACAATTTCAATCTGTCTTCTCACTTCTAGAATATATTGTTAAATGTTTGAGTATTTAAGAACAATATTGTGATCTCTTAAATACTTTGTATTTAGTACAGTATTTGCATTAAGTTCTTGTTTTAAGTTATCTATTTTGATATGATTGGGAATAACCTATGTAATTTCTCTTTTTTAACTATTTCTATAATTACAGGATAGCATGTTGAGTGAATCTGAAACTGAACCACCATCTAATTAATGTAACATTCCACATAAACTTTTGTAAATAATAAACATAGTCCTGACAATATAGCTGGAAATTTGAAGAAAACAGAACGCCTTATTGAATTTATTAATGGTGATTTTAGATTAGCTGATCTCATTTTATATGTTCAAGAAGAAATATCTTTTACATTCTTGCTTAAATTTGATATTTTTAATCTAAGATTTGAGATAGTGCTTTACTGTTGTATTTTAAATTGTTTACAAGGGTAATAACAATCCTTGTTACAGATGTATGTTTTATTGGTAATGATGAAATGGGATCTTAATGAAATTTGATCTTAATGAAATTACACCATAATAATAAACCATAACCTAAATATTGAACATTCCAAAAAAAAGCAGTAATTGCCCTTCATATTTTGATATACATGGAGATGTCATATTGACAGTGTTTGGTTATCTCAGAAGCTGATGTACTCAGCAAGGGAGATAATTTGGTTTGAAGTCATAAATCTCAACGAGGGTATATTATTTTCATCAAAAATTAATTTAGTCCCATGCATATCATATTAAGATGAAGAAACTAATGATTTCGTTTTATGAATAAGCATAAAGTCATTGCAATGTTTCAGTATTATCGGCATGAAAAACCTTGTTAACATTTAAAAAGCTCTTGTTTAAACTTCAAATTGACAAAACCTATTACGTTATTTATTATGTAAATTATTATTTATCATATCGTGTAAACACAAAATGTTATCAACTTGATCAAAATTGTATCTTGCCATAATTTTATCATTTTGTGAAAATATTTGACAGCATATCAAGATTTTATTATGATTTACATTTAATTGATTCATGTGAGCTAAGAATATAAAAGAACTTGATCAAACTCAAATGCTCTATTTATATACATTTTATATTAATACTCAAACTTAGAAAAAATAAATTTAATCTCTTGATAGGACTGTGTTCTCTTTACCACTTATTTCTATAATATTTGTAAAATTACATTAAAACTGTAAATCATCTGTGAACATGGAAGATTAGTTAAAGCTTGGGATCAGGGTAAAGTGCCATATTTATGCGGTAGTGACAGTGTGAATTTGTATTGCATTTATTATGTGTAATAAAAGAACATGTCCATGTGAAATAATCCTTATTGAAGCATGCACTTTATTAGTATCAGTACTGGTGTATTATATAATCCTAAAGCCTTATTAAAACCACCATCTTTATTTACTAGCGACTATATAAAGATGAATATTGGTTGATGTGCATCATCACCTAACAATGCTTTTCGTACATAATTTAGTGTCATGTGTTAGGGGTGAAGTTTACCCAGTATAATCGACTAGTCAATGTATTTCATAAACCACTTTTAAATCAACTTAAAATCTGGATCCTTATAGTCAAATATAAGGATAGTAACTGCAGATAGAATAAATCATATATCTTATCTGTAAGATTTATGTTGTGTTAGTAATGTTAATTTATAGTTGATCAAAGGAAATTTTTTTTAGTATTTTGTATGATAGGAAAAAAATATATTGTGTATGGAAGTAGAATAGTCGATAAAGCATTAAAAATATGTGCAATGTTTGAAATTAGGAAAACTTTAGAAATTCTTTAACAAATATTTAATTCTAAAATGTTCTGTCTTCTCTCTGATTTACTTTCCGTCCAATTTGACTTCGCTTTTCTTATACATTACTAGTCTAACTTCAGCATTAGACACTTTCTTGGCAACTTCAGATAAAGCATAATCCATTTACACCACCTGCAAAATAGATAAATCATGATTTATGTGTAGAATTATCACAATTTAATTACCTTGGACTATGATTTTATTACTTATCTAATATCAAATTTCTACTATAAACAGTTGAACTCTTGTCACAATAAATATATATTATATTGTTGATTTTTAGATATAGATATATTTCATAGTCACATCTCTATACCTTTATTTTTCTATGTGTAATATTTTATGATATATTATAATTCTATTACCTTAATATTTTTTCAGTTGTCATAGTTTATTTTCTATATGTGCCATCATTTTTTAATTGTGATATTGTTATTCTTTGTTAATTAATGTAATAAAAAACTTGAATTTTAGTTTCTTAATGCACAATATAAATTCTGGGGATCTGTACATAAACCACACAATGGTCAAAAATGAGCTACTTGTAAATTCTGACATATATAATATAAAATATTCAAACATTTTTATAATTCAACATTCACAATATCACATACATGTAGTTATAATATTTTTGAGTCATTTTCTTATTTTGAAGTTTTTTGTAGACTACAGGTTTTTGTGCAGATCCACAAAATTGTGGTGTACGGTACCTACACCTATTACTGTGTTATATCTATATTATAAAAATCATAATAAGTAGATAATACAAAATTTGGTTGGGTGTTAGTCAATCATGGATTTTTTAAAAACTACTACCGGTACATGTATTCAAATCATGCATTTGTGTGTTCAAGACATGTTGCTTCTAATTTACACAAAATGTTGTTCATATCCATAGTATATTTCTACTTGTAAATATTTTAATGAATATTATTAAATATATTAAGGTATTACTGGGGTTGGAATAAATGGCACAATGTGGCATTAATAACTATAAATAATCTTAATAATTACAAGGCTGTGCTTTTATCTTTTCTTTATCTATGTTACTAGAAAAAAACAACTATTTATATATTTCTTGTTATGTGCTTGTGTGTTAAAATAGAATACATGTATAACAGCTTTTTACATTGTACCCCATTTGTGGGATGTTGTTTTGTGTAGGTTGTATTTGTTCATGTGATCTGTGAAAAACATATTCTCTTTCTGTTTGACATTCATGCAAATTAGAAATGAAAGATTATCAGCTAAATGATTTCATAATGTCTAAATACAAATGTCTTCTATGATCATTTTGATCCAAGCAATTAAGGAAATAATTATTTTATAAATTCTAAAATCGCATGATCTCTTCTTTAACCCCTTATATACCCAAATCCCAGCTACTCTCTAAGTGTATTTTTATGCTCATCCAAGTGATAGGCATTTTTTTTTTTATGAATATCTACTTGCTGTTTATGGTTTGACAGGAAATTTCCATTGACCTTGAGAAAGTCAATGGTTTTGTTTTTATTTAATGGTCACCTTTACTCCTTGTATGCCATTACTACCATATAAATGCTACTTGTGATGTTTCATATGGAGTAGCTTAAACTTATGAATCTTTAAATATATTTTCTGAAGTTATCATCATTCTAGTAAAGATCTGCAGTAATTTGACTTATTTTCATTTTTAGTGTGATGCCTTAAGGGTTAAATCATTTGGATAATTATTAATTTTTCACTCATAGTTGTATTCTATCTGGAATGTTAACTGATATAATATATTGTCAGTCATAAATTCGTAATACTCCATTATTCTATAATACAATAGATCGTGATAAATCCATCTATTATATAACTATATTTATGTAGAATGTATAGTAGTTGCAATTAGTAGATATATTATGGGGGTCAGTTTATTAGAGTAATATTATATTTAGAAATGTTATGAGTAATAAATGTTGCTACACATCTGCAAAACAAACCTTGCTGATATCTTTGGTTGTTTTTTTCAAAGGAAAAGAATGGGGTTTTGGTATGTCATTGACACTATATGTGTCATTTTGAGACTAACATATTGTTATACTCTTCGGGTCGGTGGCCTAATGGTTAAGGCTTGCGCGTTGGATCAGAAGTGCTGTCATTGAGTCAAGTGCGTGGCTTTGATTACCCGCTTGTTCGTGACTAGTAGGGTCGCCTGTCCAACTTCGTGGGTTTTCTTTGGGTCCTCGTTTCCTACTGCTAAGACCCCTACACGCAAGCGTATTATTAAAATTCACATGTTAGTCCCGAAATGGCCTAGTTTGTGTCGAGTGGGCGTTAAACCCCATATCTCTCTCTTTTACTATGGTTATGTGTAAGTAGAATTTAACCAAGAGTGAGGCAGAATTGTGTGAATTCTCACTGGCAAGAGATTTTTCTATCTGCTAACCAAATCATTGTATTTGCAAGGAAATACTCCAAGCTACAAAAAATCTAATTAAAGAAGACATGTATGTGTCATGTGACTTGGCAGTGGTGGAGGAAGGATAATTCTTTGCATATAAAAGACGATGTTGTCTTTAATCGCTGTCCATTTACCATGAATATCGAAGCCTACATAAATTCTGGGATTATCTTCTGTCCACTTCGTTTTCCGCAGTTTAGTCTCAGAATCTGTTGTATGTTTAAGTCTCTCACTTTTTCCACGTCCACTCACTGTCATGTTTATCGAGCACTCCCTAATGAAAATAGGTCAAAGCACTCCCTAATGAAAATAGGTCAATCTATGCGTGCAACTTTTGACATCACTTGAGCAGGCAGCCCTAAATCGTCACACTCCCAATTAGTGACACCCTCTCATTTTTGTGTGCGCGTGCTCCATAAATGTTTCTCAGGGAATCCAGTATTTTTCTAGTTAGATAGGGTATCTCTACTTTTCATATATACCAAAATTGCCATACTTTTATTGAAAATAACCACCCAGTAAATACTTTTATGGGAATGCATCTTTAACATTGTTTTGAAAATGGATGCTGAAAATAAACTGATTACCTTCCCTTACTCACACAAAGGGGTGGGTTTTAAGAGACATTCAAACTTTGCATGTCTTCCATGTTCTTAAAAAATACAATTTTGATTGACATGATGACTATACAGTAAAATCTGCCTAGCCACAACTTTTTCAAGGAGTTTAATGAATACTTGTGAATAAGATTATTTTGAACGAGATATTTATGCGAAACTGATCACATCTATTTTCTTGATGAGAATAATAATTCCTCTTTAACCCCAAGTATTAAAGTGAGATTTACTTCAATGAAAGATGGTCACATATCAATGCAATAAGGCAATTAAGGCTTTCCACAAAACCTATTCTCATATATTTCAAATCTTTAAAAGAATAATTTTTACCCTAGTCAAGGTTCTGTTTGAGACATTGTGATCGGAGAGGCACACATATGAATAAATAATGTTGCCAGCAGCACATTAAAGGGTGGCACTAACTACAAATTAAAGTCTGAATTTTTATAGTGTACCTTCCTATAAGGTCAGCAAGATTAAGAAACAAATTTCAAATATTGTAGTTGTAGGGTGTTTACAAGGTTTTAATAACGGGGGCATTTGTGTAAAAATGAATGGTGGACAAACAAGGGGTCACAACATACTTCTGCGTGAAATGTGGGTGTTACAAAGCGTCATTTTGAGGGATTAAAAACATAAAAGTGAGTAGTCATAAAAGAAAAAAAACCTGATAAAAGTTATATATATCTTTATTTCATTTGTTCTAAATGATATTTAATTTTCTTTTAAATCAAAAAAATAATAAACAGATAAAAAAGAATAAAACTGACCAGATCTACACATAATTTGAGGAATTCTAGCTGGTTGATAATAAAGGCTTTCTTTATAGAATGTATTCTTCTAATGATAGTGATAATTATGTGGCGCCAAAAGCTTCAATTAACTCAAAATAGCACTTTAAAACCAACAATCATAAACTTCAAACTGAATTTTAGGTGCCTTAATAAGAACTCTGAGAAATGATGTGAAATAATACTTAGTAAGTTTATTATAGTGTGTTTATGATATGTATGACAATAATACATAATGATAACAACAATATTATATGATATAATAGGTGACCTTAAATTGTATTTTAGAGAGTAAAAATTACAATATATTATGCGTATTTTAAACCTTGAATAATAATAATAATATGATGGGTTTTCCTCCAAAGAAACCAAATGAGACACTAAATCTCAATACTCTTTATAAATTGCACTGGCCCATTATGGCCTTTTATTTAGTTGTTTTCCTTCTACATTTTTGTAATTCACACTCAAGTTACAAGAACGTAAATTTCACCTTGAAAATTCAAATAATAGTTCATTCTTTATGAGATTCCTCCGCAAAAAAGAACTAAAACTAAATACATTATTACAAATTAATCTCACAACCATAACTCTTAATACAAATTTGGCAGAATATTTATTTTCACTCATCTACCTAGGGGCGTATCATTCTTGCACAAATCTAAAACTGTTATACACTATTACACAAAAGCGTATAAATCTCCCAGTCCAAAAACCTATACACTTACACCTCCAACTGTGCAGCCTTTGCAGACATGAACCATAATTTCATTTTCGAAATTGAATCTGGGGACCCCTAAAATTGCAGGGCTCCTGGCAACTGTGCCATTGAATAAGTTTCATGTGTGCACAGACATTAAAGGCCAACAAATGTTGATTTTATTCTATGCGATCAAATTTTGCCTCCAATAGTGAAAGTGTGTAGCAGAAAGCATACTTTTACACTTAATATCTACAATAGTATTTGTCTGCAAAGTACAGTCGTAAAGAGTTTTAGTGCATGTTTGGACAAATAGAATACACTTTTTATGCAATAGTCTAAAATTTGCACAAACAAGTAACGCTACCATATTTGCACTGGGAAGAAAAACAGTCCTCCAAGACCTATAGGATTTAACAGTTTCAATCATTTATAATATCATCCCTGAACACACAAGATATGTATAAATAAAAATTCACAATCATTATTCTTCACAATATTGGATTTCATACGAAAGGGAAGAAATAACAATTTTTCTGTGGTTTTTGATTCAGACAGATTTAAAACAATAAAAAGAATATTTAAATGCTAATAAGAAATTATAGCTCTTTGATTAGACAAAATGCATGCATATGTGATAATCAGACTTCTTTTTTTAAATTCTGACTGAGCACTCAAAAAGTTATGACAAATATTTTATCATATGAAATTTGTCTCTAGATATCTTTAATAAAATCATAAAAGAGATCATTATAAATAAATATAGATTTTATTTCCTTTCCTTTCTCACTGGTTCTATTTCTAGATTTGTTGAGACATTTATATATACTTGTAAAATAAATACCATGGTGTAACCTTATATAAAAAAGAAAACATTTTTAAATGATGCGAAAGATGAAATAATTAAAAGTGTTTTCTTAATGGATGCAAATAGATTGTATATTTCACCTGACAATAAAAAGATTATGATAAAAATATCTCTCTTTGCTTTTACCAACAAGTCAAAAAGTAACACATCTAAATACTAAAGAATAATTTTGATAATAAGCTAATAGTACTAGATGATAACTGAGACAACATAGAGAGACAAAAGTAAAAGATGCACAATCTTTTGTAGAGCTATTATGTTGAAACTTGTGACATACACAATGAGGTGATAAGAGAGAAACCACTGTAAAAACAAAGAAAACAGTTAAATCCCATTAAAAATCCTCTGTAACACAGTTAAGGAACCGAACGAGCGTAGAATTATGACAAACTCTCTGGAACCACATTTCAAACATGTCCGTCCTTCCCTTATAATGAACACAATTACCGAATGTAAATGGATATAATTAAACAGCCCACTTAGTTTATAATTATATCTACTAGCATTCAGTGTCTTTATATACAGGAAACGGTGGTGTGGCAAAAACAACAGTTTTAGTATCTTTACGACTACCATCCGAACCAGTCGGCGGTTTACCAGTTACTTTATCAGACGTTACTGTTGATATTATTGGGGGTAAAAGTTGGTTGCCAGGCTGAGTTATTATCTCAGCCCGTGGTTTCCACACCGGAGATCCACCAGAGTTCACAGAACTGGAAGAATAGCTTAACGGATTAGCACTAGCGAATAAAAGTTTCGCAGAACCACTATTAGAACTGCTGAGATTTGAATTAGAAGAGTTTGGACTGGGATTTTGTGCGCTGATTTGTGGTTCCGATGCAGTAATAAATGTACTATTGTCATCTATACCAGCCTCATTCAAATCACCAATAGTTTTACTACGCGTTCGAAACAAGTTATCATAATCCAAGGAACTAAATTTCTCTTCTAGATCAACTGAATGTCTTTCTGGATCCTGTGATTTATTAGAACGCCGTTTATTTAATAAGAGAGGATTTGGTAAGGGTTCTTTAGTTCCACCATCAGGAGAACCATGAACAGTTTTAGTAACAGGTTTATTAGTCGGAATCATCATTCTACGAACACTTTCACGAATTGTATGACGAATCACTTTCACAAAATCAGCTTTGGCTTCAGCAGTACTGAAATACAGAAAATTCTCATTAATAATATTTATTCTAATATGCTATACAATATGAAACATTTTTGAAAGCACATTATTTTTTTTTATTCTTTATTTCTAGCTATTATGAGGAACTGTATTTCAAAAACAATACAATTTTACTGTAGAACAGGGGTGCCTACATAATATTAAAATGTTGGTTTATAGAAACTAGCTCTTCCAAGTGGTAAAATTTTTTATACAAAACATGTACCGGTAATCAGATGGTAACTGATCGAGTTATCAGAAATAGAAAATCAATATTGGCGTCTTCATCTCGTGCACATAAACACTTTGTATTAATTCCAAGTCTATCGAATGATATCTTTAGCCTCCAGAGTATACGCAAGTGACAGGGGGTCAAGACATTGTACCACCACATTTCAATGTGGGTGTATACAAATTTATCACATTCAATTTGATATATTAATATATTATTATTATTAAATATTAATTACATTTGTTTTGGGGTCTCTTTAACATGGCAATCGAGAAAAGAAATATGTTGAATATGATACATAGACACTGGAGCTCAACCACTCAACAAAACATAAAACAAACAGTATATATGTACAGCACAGTAAGCTACATAAACATTGTAACTAATGTTTCCATAAAACAAACAGATCTATTTACTTTATCCTACATTTTAAGCAAATATATCAATTAAGTCTACCTGTTACAGAACTGATAAAATCTTTCTGGTCTATTATCTGGATCTGATCTGGAATGTACTAGATCCCACCAATAATGGCGATCTATGTCAGCAACTTTACCCATTCTAACCTGAACTTCATGTGTTGGAATCAATGTTCGGAATCGTTCTAACATATCACTTTCGGCATATGGTTTAGATGATAATGACTGAAATAGACAAACACATTTTTAAAGGAGCTAAATCGCTAATATTTGGCAACTAGAAATTGACACAAATGGATCACAACGTATATAATAATGTAATGTGAATGGATATAAACTGATTTACATTCAATTGTTTCTGTTTTTATCGTCATTTCTAATCAGTTGCTTTTGGCGAAATACCTCTGGGTCCTCCGGTTTCCTCCCACTGCTAAAGACCCCTACGCGCAAGCGAATTATTGAAATAAAAAAATTAAACCATATGTTAGTCCCGAAATGACCTAGTTTACGTCGTTTGGACGTTAAACCCCATTTCTCTCTCTCTCGGCGAAGTATGCCAAAAGTTTCGATTGAATGGCAATCTCAAGTGTCTGGTTATTCCAGTTTACACTGATAGTATTTATTGCACATGCTCTCCTCATAAGAATATGGCATCACCGTTTGACATGACTTGTAGAATATGTCTAACCTCATTCTTTGAGTCCCTTGTTACAAATGGCACTGAAACGCACTATGGTGCGTGATTTGTGTACCAATGATAAAATGTTTATTTTGTCTTCAATATTGGATATCAGAAGCCCATCTTTAAAAGAGCATGAAAAATGGAGTTCAATGCAAGCCGGGAAATAAAGCACCTGTCACAGACAAAGTCAGGTACTATCTCAGACTTGTCCTTCTGGAATCATGTCCTTTTGTCTTTTTTCAGTGATATATTTGACACATTTGATAGATATCCAGCACAGAGTTGAAGGGATCTAGAAAGATTGAGATTTTATCCAACACTAATTTGTTGGGGATTTTTTTGTGATTTTATTGATACGTTTGGTACATGTCCAGCACAAAGTTAGAAATTCCAGGGACAAGTTTAATAATGCCCGACATTTTGTCAGGTACATGCAAAAATCCCTCTTTCCAGGCCCATTAATGGCACATCAACCGGGTAAAATGTATCATGTGAATTATGAGTTGATATGACTGGTCAGAAACCGAAGTTCAACCCATTCAATAATAGAAGGAACAAAGATTGATATAAACGAGAGAGAACCCAAATGATAGTTGATATGACTGGTCAGAAACCTAAGTTCAAGCCTTTCAATAATAGAAGGAACAAAGATTGATATAAACAAGAGAGGACCCAAATGATAGAAATCAAACAAATATTTATCTGCCATCTCTAAGGCATTTCCCTTACCTTAGATTTTCTACTACGTTTGACTTTTTCTCGACAGAGGAAGACAACAGCCGTTCGGAAGACAAATGCTATGTTTTCAAAATCTGTTGATTTCTTGATTTTACCGAGATATTCTGTCATATTACACCATTCTACCGTTCCATACATCTGTAGTTCACCAACACTTAAGTCTACCGGCTGAAAGTAGTCAAATATCAAATGTTATATGTGCTCATCTATTTTGAAAAACATTACTAAATGTGAATCAGGGACTTTTTCCAAAGCATTGCTTTTAGGTGTACTATAATTGACAGCTGTTGTATTATAGTTGGGTGTCCTAGTAATATCCCATGTAGAATTCGGACTAAGGAATTAAATCTATTAAATAGATGAGTGTAGAGTTTTGCATTAATTTCGTTTTTTCTTCTGTCACAGAACATCCCCATTGAGGAAGTTAACAGTGGTTATCCAGACCTCATTGCGAAAGGCATACTTCCACCACTGTTAACAATAAAATTGTAGATTCCACACTTCTAACAACCACCCTTCTAAATTTCGTTTTCAGATTGAAATCAGTTGGTTGATGATGAGGCATTATTGTTTATCAATCACCTACCTGTTTCGTCGGATGAACTTGTTTAAATGTTGTAGAGAGATCATCAAATATTGACCCGTATTCTTCATATATTTTCTGCATTTCATTGATATGTTCTGCTACAGCTTCCATGCCACGTAATGCCTCTGTGAAAAATTAATGAGTTTAAAGTCACTAATAACACGGTTATGTGAAACAATATTTAAATAAAAATTTCTTATTTCTCGGTTTAATTCAAGCTAAACTGGACAATTGATTATTTAACATTTCATTAAGAAAACAAGCCAACTGTGAGGTTGATGTACACTGCCTCCATCCCAAAATTAATAGATGATTCATTAATTATTTGAACATTTATCCTTTAACAAAGTATCAAGCAATCCAATTGTTTATAACTCGGCTTAACCCGAGCAAAAAAAGCTCATTATTGAACTCAGTCAATGTATTGGTGTTTCAGCAGTCTCCCTTAATTAGAAGCAGAGTTACAATGTTCCCAAAAATTGAAAAATCAACTATAACAGTTCACTACTTCCAAAAAATGGCAGAGGACAACAAAACTAAAATATCAACAGTAGATAATCTCCCAGTTGATTCAATCTGATTAAAAGGAGTTAAACTAGCAGTGGCTTGTTCATGTTCTACAATAGATGTCAATCATTGCAAAATTTTCAGTTCATCTTTTTGTAAATACTATACCATCTTTGGACTGATATCCTTTCAGAGATTCAAATTTCACAATCTTATAGTTTGCAAGGGATTTAAAATCCCTCGATGGTTTTAAGTAAACATGTTTTACAGAAACTATTATACCTGATAAATGATGATGTTCATCTGTATCTGGTTGTGACATGTTGACTAGTTGTTGTAATAAAAGAGGATATTTTAATATACGTTGTATAGGTTTAATAAGAAATGATTCTAATGTTGCTGAATGCTGTTGTTTGGGGTTTCTAGATTTTAAAAACTCTTTTAATGCTTTATTGGATTCTGAAATAGAAGATTAAATTCATTACAATATTACAATTTGTGCTGAATTAATAAAACAAACCTGTAGTTTTCATATCTGTAGTTTACAGCTTATGCACCCCCCCCCCCCCCCCCCCCCCCCCCCGCTTCCCCCATTCAGTTTCATGTATGACAATGACTTAAAATATAATTAAGGATATTTTTGTAATTAGACAGCTGTGTATAAAGTAAAGAAATGTATTAATATCAATCATACATGTATATAATATATTTATGACATACTTTTTAATATTTAGTGTTTGAATGAAGGTAATTTATACAACAGAATTCATCTATTTCTAATCCTGATATTTCATAATGTCTCCCTATATTGTGAAGGTAATCTTCCTATATTGTGAGTCTCGCGGAAAAAAAATATATATATGAACCCCATATTTAATTCTACAGAATAAAAAATATTCATTTACCTGGATTAAGCAGTTTTTGGGATCGTGAATGACTAGCACAAAATGAGCTATACACTTTAAAGTGATTGGCATAATAAAGAAATGATCCACCAAGTGAAAACAAAACTCTCTGTTAAAAACAAAAAAAAATGTTATTACATAATCAAAATAAACTTTTAAACAAGAAAAAAAAGATTTATATTATTGAGTGAGAATAAAGGATGATAATGTAAAAATATGATCAACCGTGGTATAATGAAATTTTGAAAAGCAATGATTGTGACTGTAATATTTGACTACTATCAAACAAAAAGTACTAGCAAAGATATAACTTTGTTAGACACCTAGACATTAATGTTTTTGTACTTTTAAACTTTCTTTGTTAGATACCCAGACATCAATACTTTCGTAATTAAACTTTCAATAATAAACATGTTCGCCAGACATTACACAACTAACAACAATTAACTTGATTACTAATTTTTCAGAAAAATCTTTCGTAATCATACACTATCTACATTCACATAAAAGGTTTTCTATTCTATCAAACCCTCCACATTCTAATTTGTTAGTCAAGTCTATTACCAATCTTCCAAAATATTCAACATTTCATTTGATTTTAGGTGTGAAATTTTGGGTAGATTTATTCCTCAATTTGAAAGAAATCTGTACGAATTAAAGATGCCTAAACAATTGGAAGAAATGTGCAAATGTTGTATATGAATAATAGGAATATCAAATGTTATTCAATTAATTAATACATGCAAGAATGATAAGTAAAGCTATTCACTATCACAATTACGCATCAATTTAAACACAACAGTCATTTCTCATAATTTTTTATCTCCCAACCCCCTCTCAAAAAAACCTCCAAAACATTCACTGGTTTACAAATACAAGTAACTTTCATAACTGATCACCACATACATTTGACTGTAAATACTGTCCAAGCTACAATACAGTGTATTAGCCATGTTATATCAATTTTTTAATGTGCTAATGACATGAATTTGAAAACTTATAAATATTAACCATATAACCTATAATACGCACCCTAACATCTGGTAGATTCTCCTAAATAAAGATTAATCATAATAAATAAACAATAAGTGTCATCTGCACATAGCAAAATAAATCCAATGTTCAATTAATTGATGTATTCATGTATAGCACAACTCTGTTGGTAAATATAAAACTTTCATCTCTTTAAGTCTTTTATGTGTTCATATTTTTGAATGACAAATTAATGTTTCTTCCTATTTGTTATATGAAAATATAATTTCTATTTTTCCTGTACATTATCACAGAAGTATTGACTGAATGTAAGAAAACTAAATTATTCAAATTTAGTGCTCAATCTAGATAACGGTATCTTGGGTAGTTAAGTGTTCTAAAGATCTCGTTAAAAAACAAGATTATCAAAAGTGGAGTGCAAGACGTTTTACATGAAGATTGAGAAGTCTGCCTGTGTCTTTGATCAATAGATACCCTCAGTTGAACCAATATTCATCCATAAACTTAAGATGTTGTGGAAAAGGGCTTTATCTTTCAGGAGAAAAATACTATTAAAATGGCAGCATTCAGGAGAAAATGGGCAATTTAATGGCAGCTCCTTGACTCTAATCATGCTTATAAAATGGGTTATTTGTATAGCAGAAATTTGGTCACATGACACAGACTAGCTGACTCAAGATAAGACTTCTGCAAGCAAACAAAATCTTTTTCCCCCATTGAAGTCTACTTACTCGGAATATCTTTGTATCATCTGTGATAAAAAACTCATTCTCTAAATCAATGGCCTCCTCAAGACTCTGTAGAAATTGTTGTTGAAATACTACAATTTCCTGTATGTTGCCAAATAACTGACTTATTTCATTTGATGTAAGAAATGTTTCTTCACGTAGAGGTTCTAGATATCTCTCTGTTAAACAATTCAAATCCTAAAAAAAAAGGAAATTTGACAAAAATAGAATCAGAGCTATTTCATTTTGCTTATAATTAGAGTTACTTCAGTGTGCCTATAATCAGAGCTATTTCATTGTGCTTTCAACCAGAGCTATTCCATTGTGCCTACAATCAGAGCTATTTCATTATGCAGGTGTGCCCTTAACAAGAGCAGTTTCATTGTGCATATAATATTAGAACTATTTCATTGTGCCTACAATAATTTTTCTATTTTATTGTGCCTACAATCAGACCTATTTTATTGTGCATGTGATGGTAAAATCAAAGCCATTACTTGGCCTGTCACTAAAAGTGAGAGATATCAAATGGAACACTGTCTTAAAAAATCTTCCAAACAATATATAACCTAATATTAGGTTTTACAACATACCTTTACATAAGCCCGTTCTGTTTCTATCAGCTCCATTATAACTTTTCTCATTCGTTGAGCATCAGACAGAGGTCGTGGTGTGACAGGTCGTTCAATGACTTCTGCTTTAGAATTTGGATCTCTACATATGGCTGTTACTTGCTCTGCACCCTACCAACAAGACATTTTTGATCATCATTTCATATAAGTCACAAATGATTTATTTTTAAATTCAAGACATACACAATAATCCAGAACTGATGGTTGTTACTTGTTCATCAATTCATATTGATCGAATTCATTTTATTTTCAAATCGTAGACAAACAAACACAATCATTTGATGACATTCAGTTGACTTAATGACTTTTAGAGAATACTCTTTGAAACAATGCCCAAATATAACAGTACCAGTAGCAGTTTCCACAAGTATGTGTTATAGTATATTACTAAATGAATCTAAAAGATTATCACTTGTATCCACTTAATAATATATATCTATCTTACCTTTAGTAGGGCATCAATTTGATCAGATGATATCTCCTGACTAGATTTATCTTGACTAGATTTTGAAGGACTAGAATGTTTCGAACTTTCTGTATCCTCACCTGAATCCAAAATTACAATAACTTTATAATTTCTTTTATAGAGATGTATACTTATTTCTGTTACAGTTGAGTATAATAAGGAACAGAACCCTAACAACATTTTGAAGAGAAACTACAACTTTCATTCTAACGACAATACCCAAACTATAACTTTATAAACCATTCTTTGAATGAAAGTCACATCAGTGGATTAATGAAAAGATTTATTTTTGATAATATGTTTAGTTGTTAGCTTGATAAAGAATAAACTGCCATCATATTTTTTATCCAGTAAAAGAAACACAAACTGCATTTTCCCAGATAAGAAAAACTGAAACAGAACAGGTCAGGTCACCTTCACTAAAAGATTTCAGGTTTTGTAGTTTTTAGTTATTTAGTCTAAGTTAGTAATAATCTATCGCCCAAGACAGGCACTACTCACCAGTTTCGGTATTAACTGGAGCAGGAACTATTAAATTTCCAATAATTTTTTCACTAATACGTGACTGAGAAGGAGGAGGTGGACATACCATGTTACTGATATACGCGTCTGCATGCTGTGTAATAAAATCACTAGTAGGTGGTTGAGTTCGAAATGACCTCACTGTTAAAAACAATGTCCGTGATTCATGCAGTAATGTTTCTATATACACCATATCTAACTCAGATACAATCTTGCTATTGATCACTAGAATTTCATCACCAACAATTAAACCTGTAAGCACAACATACCAACCCATATAAGCACACATTTTTATTAAAAATTCTAGTTAAAAAATAAAAAAAAAGGAAAAAACAAAGGAAAAGACACATCTACAGCTATAAATCACATGCTTAAAAAAATTAAATAAACATTATTAAATTTGCTAATAAAAAAAATCAAAATCAACTAAATCTTGCACACATTATTTTTGAACACACATTTTTCAAAGTTTAAAATTTACAGAATCCAATAGCTGAAGCCACCATAAAAAAATCTATTTTTGTGACCGATTTTCACTTGCAGTCTACACTGAAATGAGGAAGTTATGTTTCAAAATGTCATGGAATGGATTTTACTTGTCTCTATAAAATTTAATTATATATTTTTACCATGTTTGTCTGCTACAGAACCTTTAGTGACATCACAGACATAAACCTGTAACTCATCATCTCTATCAAAATCTTCTGCCAATTCAGCTTCTACAGCAAAACCAAATACTCCATCTTTTGATGTCTTTGTGAGTTCAAGTTGAAAAATACTTTTCTGGCAAACTTCTATTGCATCATATTTCTATAAACAAACAAAAATAATTCCACAAATTTAGGACTCTGGTTTGGAAAACTTATATACCAGTAGCTGAATTCACAAAGTAGAGTGCTTATAAGAAATTGTGGCGAACAGATACACTGACCGACAGTATGACGACAATATATGACCACATTTGCATGTGGGCGTATAAAAAGTCTTCCAATATGTACTAGCAAAATAAAACAAAACGCGATTTTCCATAAAATCAGGGGCCATATTCCAGGAAGTTATGGTCTGAAATGCGTGAATATCGAAAGGGACTGAGATACATGTATTTGGGACTTAAAGATATCTTTTAAGTTTCATCAAAATCGGATAAAAGTTGTGACTTCTAGAGGGTCCACAACCTTGGTATTACTCACATTCACACTATTTGTGTACAAGGAGCGGCCATTTTGTCAGGCAGTTTTGGTCAAATTTTCACGAAATTTAAACTCATTCGTCATTAGGGTGTAGTGGTGATACATTTAACCATTTTTTAAAATCGGATAAAAATGTGACCTCTAGAGGTGATTTTTCGTACAATCAGGGTCATAATCCAGGAAGTTACAGTCCGATATGTGCAAATATTGAAAGGGATCAAGATCTTTGGGATATAAAGCTATATTTCAAGTTTCGTCAAAATCGAATAAAAAGTGTGATCTGTGTAGTGCCTCCACAAACAAATTGTGGAAGTCTGAACAGACAAGGGCGACGACAATATACGTCCACATGAAACTGTGGACGTATAAAAATTGACGATGTACATGTGGCACGTTTTAGTAAGGTAAGTCTATACAGTTCTGATTCCTTTCTAAATTGCATAAATTTCACCTTCATTATACAGATTATTTGATTGTCTGTTGAGGTTAAGCCAATTCTGTGCCATTAATCAGCCCGGGCTGTAGACTATGTAAGTATTTCTCTGAACTGGTTTAAAACACTGTATTTGGTGTAGTAATTGCACTGCTCTATAACCTCCAACCTTTCAGTTATTCCCTTTAGAATGTAGTAAGAACCAAGTACCACATTCATTTTTGACCACCAGTGAGCATGTACTAATATTAAGTTTCATTTGATGTTTAAAATTGATTTCAAATTAATGATCACTTTAATTATTAGTAGAAATAAGTTGTAATAACCATGTTTGAAAACTTTTAAATATGGCATTATAAACATTAACGGTAGGTTAAATTAACAATTACTTTTAGATTTTTGAACAAAACTTACCAATCTTTTAATTGATTCATGTCTATCAGGAACAATAAAACGATCATCTTGTGATCCAACTGGTTTAATTCGTACATAATGATCTCTAGGATTCAGTTGTCTTTTATTACATACAGACTCTAATAGATCTTTCACTGCTGTCTGCTTATCAACACCCACCAATATTGTCTGAAAATCATATGACTACAATTCCACATTATACTGTACCTACACTTTAACTACAAACAATCATCAGTCTTATCAATTAGTAATAATAGCAAATTAACAATTAGTAAAATATTAGTTTCACTATGACCTGATTTGAAAATTGTACAAAAGTATTTAAATTTATTGAGTTTTAAGGAGCTTAACAAACACTCATTAAAAATACAGCATCCAAAATAGGCCAGTTCAAAGATTTTTGATAATGGTGTTTTCATGGTTAGTTTGAATAAATTATATATATAAAATTATATTTTTTTCCTTGTGATATACTTCAATCAATTAATATTATCACTGAAACTTTTCGTGTACATTTTAGAAATCAAGATCTCTGGCATACAATAAGTATGTTAGTAATTAAATGGTTTGTTACTAAGACTCCACCTGGCCTTTTCACCAAGGTATATACTCTGTTTTTAATGGATGCTATCCAGGATTATACAGGATTGCTATGGTCCAAAAGACTGAAACCTTCTCAGTGCTTTTACAAGACAACTGTAGACAACTACATAGAAATAAACGTCTAAAATTAAATATTTATTTTGACTATTCTTTAAATGCTGAATGTTTTATCTAAAATATGAACAGTGTTTGATCAAAAAATTATGATCAATAATTGAAACAAAAAGACTATTTCTAAATAAATACGAAAATAACCTACCTGTTTATTGGGTAATGTTATCCGTGATAGACTTTCATGACCAGATGACCCATCAGAATTTTTATCCAATAAATTATCTGCAGATTCTGATAAAATTCGTTCATTTGTTTTTACAACAGCGCTAAATAAATAAAATAATGAAATTTATAAATAAAAAAAACACAAATTCTCTTTAAGATCTGTTTTTCTGTAAGCTATTTATATTTCTTGAAAAAAATCTCGAAATAGAAAATTAAATAAGGTATGTCAGACTAAAATGAATATGTCTGATAACTTAAATGCCAGAGAGATTTAATCTAATTTACTAGAACATTCTATGAAATGGAATTCTCCAAAAAAAATTTTTTATATTTTTACTTCTATGTTATATTGGACAATTATTTCGACATCATTTCGCATGTTTATTTTTTATTATAAGATATCAGAGTGAGAAACTTTTGTGTTAGAATTTTATAACTTACTCTATGCCTGGTGTAATCAAACCAGTTGGTGTGTGTATTCGTGGTTTAGTTGCTGTTTCAGCACGTGGTGACAATAAACCTCCTTTTTTAGAGCCTTTTCCATAAATATTTGGCAAAACAAGTGGCTTACGAGCACAAACTAAAGCATGGAATGATGTAACTGTAAAAATTCCCAGACGACCTAATGTGGCTTTTGTTGGTTTGGCAGCATTGGCTAATAAAACCTGAGAACAGAGATTATAAAACTTGAGAATAGAAAATAAAACATTAAAACATGTTCCATTAACAATGGTTTACAGTGTGAGTACGAACAGGAATTACAACCACACAGATAATAATGGCATGGCAAAATTGACAATGGTAAAAAGGTCACAAGTGGAAGAATTGGGAAAATTCCCACAACTAACAAAAATTACTGTATATTATGAAGAGAAATCTCTACTTGCTGAAATTTAGTGAAAATGATTTTGTGAGAAATATTCATTTTTCAATATTTCTTTCCTCTTGCATTGTTTGTTAACTCGAGCCTCGCAGATATTAACACATGGCTTTAGGAAATGTTGGACTATGTTAATCTGGCCTTCATGATTTATATTCCAAATGTATCTCAAAATCATTTTTACAGGCCTGAGAGTGTTGGTGTATGTCATCTTAGAGATCTGCGACAAACATTATATTCATATGGTTCAGAGAGAGAGAGAGAGAGAGAAATGGAGTTGAACGTACACTCGACACAGACTAGGTCATTTCGGGACTAACAAATACATATGGTTTAACTTTATTTCAATAATTTGCTTGCGCGTAGGGGTCTTTAGCAGTGGGAGGAAACCGGAGGACCCGGAGAAAACCCACGAGGTTGGACAGGCGACACTTGTCACATACAACTGGGGATTCGAAACCACGTCAGTTGACTCAATGACAGACTTTATGATACAGCGCGCGCATTCTAACTATTCGGCCATCCAACCCCCCCATATGGTGCAGTGTATCGCTGTTACTATTTAAAATCTGATCAGGAAGAAATTGAACAGATGTTACAGATTTGTTTCTATCAACTACAACCTATCACAAGATTAAGCAACTTTGTGCGTAAAAGCTGAACATTGAGGATAAGTCGATCACTAATCAATTATTTAGCAAACAAAATACTGTTTAATTATAGTTGATAAGATATATTTTCTTTCAATCAAAAATAAACCAAACTATAACATGTCTACTCCAACCCTCAATTTAAAAGAATCAACGAAAAGCAACAATTATTCCTTTTATATTGTCATGGAAACATAATAATATACTGTAATTTAATAATAGACTCAGTTTACAGTGCAACTTACCTTAGGGTTAGGTAATTCTGTGCCTTGTAAGGAAGCTATATAACATCGGAAACGGTACTGTTCTAAGTATAACTTTTCTAAGTTTTCTTCCCACTGGGCAATCTGTTTAACAATAGCCATCCTACTCCTCGGGTCAGACACAACAGTCATTTGAAGTTCAGCCATCTTCTTCATCTTTACATCCTAAAAATCAGATTATCAATAAATATCAAAATGTATAACCATAGTAGCATGATCATACAATTAGTCAATTTCTTTATAAATGGCTGAGCTATTTTCCAAAGGGAAGGGACGTTGAACCTAATAATCAAATGGAAAGCTCAAGCATGGTGTTCTTATTCCTGCAAAATAATAGCGATAAAATTATACTAGTGTTAAATTTACATATAGATTAGATATTATAATTTGATGCATTACCGTGTCTACATTTGAGTCTAGTCTATTTAATTCAGATTTCAGTAGTTTCAATGTGTTGTCCTTTCCATGCTGTCTGGCAAATGATGAAGCACATGCTGAGTGAATTGATCGGATCCAGTTCTCCAGATCAATTTGACTGGCAGCCTGTAAAACAATGAAATAAGTTTTAATCTCTTTTAATATTATATAACAGAATTTATTATGTCTGACATGATGCATAAAAATAATTCTTTTTGTATTAACAGAATTCAAATTTTTTGTGTATAAAACATACATGTACATTAGGCAAGTGCTAAATCTGCCTATTTCAGGTCTTCCTTTAGGCCTAAAATGTTATATAAACTATTAATTGGACATTTATTAACATGACAAGACCATAATCAAGTCTTGATGCCATCGGATAGGTTCGATTTTAATCTAAAAATGGTGAAGCGAGGCTAAGCTTCGAACAACCAGTACACATATCTTGTCAAACCTTCAAAGACTAATATCTTCACTCATTCATTTTGAATTATCTATTATAGCAACAACGGCTAACTCTTTATCTAAACTTACATAATGTATCTTTAACTTAATTCAATTTGTTTTTTCTCATTTCGGTATTAATTGGATTCACTGCCAAATTCATAATATATATAATACTATAAATATTTTTGATTGAAGTATAGTGTAACATTGTAAGGTTTGTAATAAATTTACCTGTAATAAGAATGCATCTCCACAAGCTGTACTTAATGAGAATATATTATCTCTTTTAGGATGTTCTGGTACTGCTTGTGATATACCACCTTCAATAACTGTAATACATCATAATTGATTTAGAAAAGACAAAAGCAACCACACATTGATAATGTAAAACTAATTTAGCATTAATATTAGTTTTTGTTTCTAACATTTTATATTATTTATAATTGTTATTCTTTTTTTGATTCTACATCACATCCTTAATTAATATTTCATAAATACATGTAAATGATAAGTGATAACTTATTGTTAGAGGGGCTTAGAAATGGAATTAAAAAGCTTCAGAGTAAACAGACATGTAACCACAACTCATTTTTTTTTTTTTGTTAGCAGTCCAATATCCTAACCATATGACCCATAACAGATTTTGACATTAAATTATATGCATTGTTTTCTACTTAAATTGCGAAGAAGATAGTAATTATTATAAATACTATTGCTCTTTACAATTCTAAGCTAAAAATCAACAATATATAAATGGAAGTTGTTTCTTTAAATTTTAAAGATGGGTTCCCGCGTACAAACTGGGTGATTTAATGGTATATATGGACTAAAAACATATTCAAACTAATTAATTTGTCATAATTATGCTTCAAATCCTTCTCAAACATTGTAATTGCGAAGGAAAGCCCTGCTATTAAAATTTGATCAAACCAGGCCATGTTTACGTCACGTCTTGGAAATCAGAGGAGAATTCATTGCATACATAAGATGATGTTGTCTTTAATCGCTTATTATTTATTACAAATATTGAATACTAATTAAATTCTCGGATTATCCACTACCCGCGTCTTTTTCCGTCATTTCTTTCTCAGATAGTGTTGTACGTTTAACTCTTCATAAAGTTTATCAACTTGTACATCAAGCGCTCAATGTTCGCGTGTGACCTTTGACACCACGCGTGCAGAAATTCTTAATCGTCGGGCTGTTGATTAGGGGAACCCTTACATTTTTGTCCTGTATACGCTCCATGAATGTTTTTCGGGGAATCCAGTATTTTTCTAGTAAGATTGGGTATCTCTACTTTCCATATATACCAAAATTGCCATACTTTTATTGGAAATAACCACCCGATAAATACTTTTCTGGGAACCCATCTTTAACTCTTTAGCAACTGGACTGTCAAACTGAGTTACCAGTATAGCTGTGAACTATTTAAGAATCATATACTAGCTAGTTCTGTAACTTAGGCAGTTTGAGGAGGTTTCACGGAGCAGTATTTTCGGGCAGTTTCAAAAATGAACTACAAAACCCAATGTACAAAAGATAACTTTTCTTTAATTTTTGGGCAGTACTGGGGTAGTCAATATTTATATGAACCAAGGGCTAAAGGGTTATAAATGGTTCTTAATCATAAAGTATTGCAAAGATTGGCAGAAATAGATGTTCAGTGCAAAAAAACCATTATCTTATAATACATACCTAGTATATGTCTGGGAACACTATTTTCATTCACAGCACTTTCTTCATCACATTCAAAGAAGAGAAGAGTTGTTCCTTTTAAACAAATCCAATATCGCTTCCAATTACGTTTGGGTGCCAATTCAATTTTCCGTTTTTTATGTACCAACCAATTTTTAACAACTAGCCATCTGAAATAATAAAGTGAAGATATTGGAAAATATGGTGATAATGATGTTGTATATTATTTGTAAGTAAATATGGTAATAACAATGTTGTATATTGTGATGGTAAACATGTTGAGAACTATATTGTTTATTATTTGATGATAAATATAGTATTAGTAATAACTATATTGTATACTGAGCGCCATGGAAAACGCATCACTTTTTTTTCCCAAATATTTTATTACTAGGTGGTTTTGTATGTATAATATTATGCAATTCTATGAACTATTATTTCACACAATGCTCCCAAACGCAAAAAATATCGCCCCGTGTGCACAATAAAAAATGCACAAGATGCACATAAAAACCCCAATATTCACGTGCAGCATTGTGTGTGAGCCCTTTAAAAGCATGTTTTCAACTTGATGTGCAGTACATGAACTGTGAAACGTCAATCTGTCGTAATTTGTTGTTGGATGTGTGAAGGAATCGAGCTAGAGATGCCGAGACTTACTGAAAATCAACGGAATGAAGCCATGGGAATGTCCAGGGCTGGCATGTCTACACATGCTATTGCCAGACACTTCAATTGTCATCAGTACACTATTGTAAGGTTGGTGGAACGTGTTCCAGTTACTGGATCAACACGTGACCGTCAACATCCTGGTCCACAATGCGTTACAACTACAACCCAGGTTCAAGACCGCTACATCCGGGTCACTTATCTGCGTGACAGATTCCGCCCAGCGACTCGAACAGGTGCAGCAGTCGTCGGAAGACAAGGACCAGTAAGTGCCAACAGCGTAAGACGTTGTCTATGAGAAGTAGGACTCCGTGCACGACGACCTTATGTTGCAGCTATCCTCAGGGATCATCACCGTCAGCGGCGTTCGATATGGGTTCAAGGACACCAGACATGGAGAAGAGTAGACTGGCAAAGTGTGCTCTTCAGTGATGAGAGTCGTTTCATCTTTATCACGCTGATGGCCGTCAACGTGTGTGGAGACGTCTTGGGGAACGTCTTGCAGACTGCTGCGTCTTCGAAACGAATCGATGGGGTGGAGGAAGTGTAATGGTGTGGGGAGGCTTCACATTTCATCACCGGACCGCCCTACACATTTGCAGGGGTCGCGTTAATGCTGTAGCCTACCGTGATGATGTCTTGCAACCAATTGTTGTTCCGATGTTTCGAGCGCACCCACAACTTCAGCACTTCCAACAGGATAATGCAAATCTGCATACCGGCCGTTTTAGTATGGACTACCTAGCTGCTTGGACTGGCCAGCCATGTCTCCGGACATGGCACCGATAGAACATGTCTGGGATGAGATTGGACGCCATCTGTATCGGAGACCACAGATGCACACCATTGCTGCTTTAGAAGCTGCTCTTGTCCAAGAATGGAACAATTTGCCCCAGACCTTCTTTCAAACATTGGTAAATTCAAAGCGACGTCGCTGCACAGCGTGCGAAAGAGCCCGTGGAGGACACACACGCTACTGACATCTGTGTCAGACTTTTGGTTTTGACCCCTCTAACTTTGTACCGTTGATTACAGATTAAACATCCATAAGTGTACAAATGTGTTGTTATTGATGTGTTCCCATTTGAATATTGTTCACAATAAGAAGCAAAATAAATAAGATCTGTTTACAGGATCATTTTGTTATACAAAAAACTAAGTGATGCGTTTCCATGGCGCTCAGTATATCATTTGATGGTAAATATTGTATAGTATATGATAGTAAATATGGTAATAAATATATTGTATAGTATTTGATGGTAAATATGGTAATAAATATATTGTATATCATTTGATGGTTACATTCAAGTTTGAACCAAGAAAAATAACAAGATGAGTTATTACAAATACCTAAAAATAAACACCAACGTTTAGACATGACTTTTGTACCTTGGTGTATATAAATAAACAGACCTATATGAACTCAATAGTTATTTTTGTAGTTTTCATTTAAGTGTTGTTTTTCATTTTCCATTACATAAAGGATTGGTGCATAACCTGAGATGCGTGTATACTATACACTGTACCATGTAAATATTTTACTCATGGTTTATATTATACTCTTCCCATTGGTATTACCCAGTTCTACTTTTCATGCAATCAATTCTAATTAGTTTTAATATAATATTCCCAAGTTTTCAACATCCCAAAAAACATTTTTGTAAAATTCTCATCAAAACATGACAGGTGCAGACTCGTCAGTAAGCTTTAGTAATGATTTAAAGAAAGACAGCTTACCCTGCTTTACGTATAGCGCCTACTTGTCTGGCATACGATAACTGTGAATCCGTTTCTGTCATAGTGTCTATACTTCCATCACTTTCAACATCTTCTTCAGATAACTGTGAACAAAGAACATTTTTTTCTCTAAATTTGCGACAATTTGTGCATAAATAGTATCTGTAACTATACTCAAAACTGTTTATAATCTCTCAATGTGTACAAACCTCTTGTAAAGCCAACACTCAATTCTAAATAAAATATATAAAGTTACTCTTTATTTAACCTCCTTTTAGATCATCACTAATGACACGTCTGCTAACAGGAGCTACAATTTGAGACTTATCCAATTAGCAATAATGTAACAACTGTCAAGTAAGGTCCATTTAAACATTACAATATAAACTTACTAAGAATAAAGACTCATTTAATATCTCTAACCAGTCAGCAGCCGTCATATTCTATAGACTAATACTAATTGCTTTAACGGAAGAAATGAATGTACAGCATAGATAAAACTATTTGCTGTAGGTATGTGTATGTACACTAAGTTAAACTGCTAGCTTTACATACAATATTATTTTACCAGGCAGAGTGCCATTTTAACAGACATTATAAACTGGCTATGGAGAACGAGTCACAGTTCATTACCAGAATAAACTAACAGATCTTTCTAAGAAAACCCTATATCTATATTATCAAGTGCATTAATAGCATGACTGATTGATAAGAAACATATTTTTCCTCCACTTTCTTATCAACATTCAAAAGATCTTAATAATATTAATATGCTATCATAAATATGCAAATTCAATTTACTATACTTTAAATATCTAATTTGTATATGTACTGCTTATATTCTACATTTCAACCATCAATTTATTCACTGCTTTTTGACTAAACTTACACACACATAAAAGAAAAAGCTCTATAATTAAATGAAAAATAATTAGACAGATGTTCATGAGTATTTAATGGTTAATATTTTTCATCTGTTTAATTCCACATCAACTAGAGATGCTATTCATATAAGTGTAATACATCAGCTTATAAAAAATGATCTATAACTCATAAATATGACAGGTATAATAGATTTACCAATATATTGATTTATATCTCCTTTGTTTAATATAACTAAGATTATTATCACTGCCATTATGTTCAATTCATCAAACTTGATTAAATCCTATATGATAATGATATATTCTACAACCATATTATGTGTTTTCAGGAATAATAGATTAGAATGAATGACAGCTTCTCATTTGAAACTGGACAGTTTCACTAAAAAAAACATTTCTTTTCTTGATTTTTCATCAAGGTTATTTCTTAAATTCAATTAACATTGCAGATATGTTATAAAAGTACCAACTCATCATTCAAGAATCAAGATGGGAATCAAGTCACTCGAAATTAATCATCTTTTTATGAACTGAAAAAATAAATTTAATTAAAACAAATCGAAATCGAAATTGTTTCTTTAAAAGACAAATGATAAAGCAGTTGAAATGTATTCGCAACAGATTCAGGAACAAGAAAATGTTATTTCAGTATTTGTGCACAAAATGCTATAGGGTAATTTCCAACCACGTTGTTTTGAAGTCGATATTTGGTTGCAGTAGATTCATTATATGTTCTAAAATAAGAGGCCCTGGGCCAAAACTTGCTATGATTTCTGTAGGCCATGTTATTTGGCACGCCGTGTCAACAACAGAAGATCTGATATCAATTCTAGTCCATGTTGATACATTGACACTTGATTAAGGATAACTGTACATCAATATAAAAAATATAGAATCCAACAAGTACTTACTGTAATGAACAATAGCACAACATAAATAATATATTCATATTTAACAAACATATGTACTAACGATGTATTTCTGATTAAATTAATGAAAGAACGCACTTCATAATAGAATCATGGTGAGAACTAATCTTAATATAATCAATTGCACCAATATGGACAAGATCACAGAAATATACAATAAGGGAATTACTATACAGGCATGAGGTCTAAGTATAACAGCAATTTTTCTCAAATTCCTCTACATACATTTTTCATTCTGGTATCAAAGACTACAATTCCCTTGATAAGAGGGGTAATTTCTGTAAAACTGGTTAATATGGATTCCAACATTGGAAACTGATCACCAGCAAATTAATACAATGCCACAACCCAATTGTTCTACGAGTTAGAGAAAAAAATTTTTTTTAATTACCTCGCCCAGATCTTGCTTATATTCTCCCCCTTCTCCTAATTGGTTGATAATATCACTTTGTCGACTGGCCCTGCTACTAGCCCCAGATGACCCTGCTCTAAGGTCATTATTTGCCTCCACACCTGCAAAAGAAGAAAAAAGAAAACAATAAGTCACGTATCACCTGAAAACACAGTGTGCACAAGAGATTTGAAAGCCGTTTCACACCACTCAAGTAAACATAACATATTTAGTCCAGTATCCAGTGGACACTGAAATGACATTTCCTTTAGAGAAATACACAAAACAACACAAGATTTAAGACAATAATAATAATGACCATGTACAGGGGACAACACTCCAGAATAAACAACAAATATAGAGTTAACTACTCTTACCAACAAAAACAATCGACAAAAATTATTCAAATTACTCAATTCAAGTTTTGGCTATTTTTAAGGGTCTGATGTAATTCTACTATCATTTATTCTAAAGGTCATGGCTGCCCATTAATTATGTAGGTTTTTTTGCACTTGGAAGTATAACAGACATAAATTGGGTTTAATGTCCACTCAACACAATTCAGCTCATTTTGAGACTAAAACATCAATAATTAGCTTACATGTAGGGGTCTTTGGCAGTGGGAGGAAACTGAAGAAACTAGAGAAAACCCACGAGGTTGGACAGGCGACCCTACTCCTTGTCACACAAGCTGGGGATCGAAACCATGCGACTTGACTCAACAACAGACCTTGTAATCTAAAGAGTACATATTAAACCAATCGACCTCCAAATCACCCCTTATAATATTGGTCTTTATATTAAAATACTATATATATTTTTACATTTGTGAACCATCTGGCTACCTCCCTCTATAGTAGACACTAACAAACATGTTCTACTAATTAACACCAACAGCAAAATGGTTCTTTCATTTCAAACATTTTTAATTATATCTTTGTGGCAAAACATGGTACAAAGACAGCAGGAGTATTTAATTATAATAAGTAATTGCTTTCTATTTGTTTTATAAGTTTTTAACAAGAAACTGGTAATCATATTTATACAATTAATTGATTGAAACAAGGCTAATTATTTCCATGTTAAAAAAAATCATTCACAAAATCGACTACATGTAACATCAATTTTCTATTCAATTCAACATTTCTGCTTTCGTTGCTCTCTAAAAAAGCAGATCAATTTCTCAGAGCAGTACTCATGTCACTATCTCGTATCAGTTTACAAATGCTAAATTGGAAATACCGCATTGTATGAGAGAGTAAAAAAAAGTGTTTAAAATGAAATACATAATGTTTATTCTATTGTAGGCCAATGTATAAGACACTTCTCAAAGCAGTGGTATCACTGCCTTCATCATGTACTCCTCTGTCTTCAAAGGGGCTAATGGAGAATCTCGGGGAGGGGGGGGTATGGATAATCTCTTATGATAGAGCTATTGGAACCTTCATATTCTTTGGGCAATGCAATCAATTCCCATGAATAAAATTCTGAAGATATTTCAACCTAATATCCACCTCATAATTTTGAAATAATAAAATTAAATTTCACATCTTTTCCAAAACCTATTTTTCTGTCCCTACCATAAATTCATAAAATATGTCCCCCACAAATCTAGTGTTTATATTTCAGCAATATAACCAAACTGATTAGCTGAAATCTATCTATTCATGAGACTTATGCTGCAGGAATAGACAGTATCTTATATTAATGTGATAAATTATGATAGTGGAATATCTGACACCTACACAGATAGATAATATGACATGATTGACAGTCCCATACTGACAGATATATCTTTACACCACCACTTGTTAATACTATATCTACTAAAACTTCAACAAATATCTCTCATATTCTGGGGATTTTACTTCAACCTAATTCTATGAAAACAGCTGAACATGTCAATTATTTTCCTCTATGCACAAGCTGGCTGGAATGATATTTGGAAATCCCAGGCTATATATGAGTTTAAGCTTGATATTACGAGTAAATGGCATATGATTTGGATGACATTTATTTGAAAATCAGACTTTAATTCTAGTTAATGGGATTTTTAAACAGATTAAATAACTTTGAAAAGTAAATGTTTGATTGAAGTCAGTTAAAAGGTTGGAATTTATTAATTTCAATCACCTAGGCAAAATAGACAGTTCCTTTGAAATAATATTTTTGTCAATTTACAAGTTATTTCCTTCCATAATTAATCCAGTGGTTTGCCTCATGCAATTTAGGAATTATTCTAACTTATGATTACCACTCTTAACATTACTGACTGTTTTTAAGTGATGAGCTGCCACACAGATATCTTGAAAATCCTGTAATATTATAGACAAGGCAGCATTAACTGCCACATAGAACACAAAACACTAACAATCCTTTAATGTTCATGTGAGTGGCAAAGGTCTTTACAATGTCATACAAGTAAACCACTAGCAAATAACTAGAATAAACAAGGTCATTCTAATTTTGAAAATATTCCATGTACATGTATATGTGTCCAGCAAGTGGCATTGTATGAATTTCAAACATCCAGTCATTTGGCAGACCGTGTATGATGTCTCAGGTGAGCTGTTTCCACTATAGATGCTAGTTTAGTCTATATATCCCAACTGTGTAAATCTTCTAAGTATATATTAAAATTGACTATAGACCTGATTGAAATAGAAATTAGTTGAATAAATATAATTTTATTTTTAAATAAAATAAACAAACATGATATGTTAATGTCAAATTAATACTAAGCTTATCTCATAACAGACCTGGTAAGTAATTCATAAACAATACTATTTTCCAGACAAGAGACTGGAAACAGTGAACAGTAATGTTTAACAGTACAGATTTAATAGCATTTCACATCTGTCATTACATTACTGACTACAGTAGACCAAATTGTCATGCAAGAGACAACTGTTGACAAAATTCTTCATTAAAGTTTCACTATGCTGTTTGATAACACTCTGACATTTGACTTGCCCTCTGTGATATGTCACTATTCAATAATCAGTGTTTACCCAGCTTCCATCTATAACCCCACTCACTATCACAGCATCAAACTCTTTAATAGTTTTAACTAGAGAACTGTACTCACTCTTCACTAACCACTACAACCTCATATCCTCTTAGTTATCTACAATATGTATAGTACTACCAACAACAGTATTAATTCAGCTGTTTAGAACAATATAATCTACCTAAACAGTAGCCTATACAGTATACAAGTGTCATATTGTGTTATGCAAATATAACAAATGTGTAGTATCTATATAATCAATACAATTCACTTCAAAATATTAACCAAACATTGAAATAACAATAAAAGAGACATATTTCTCTTCAAAGCAGCTTCCTGAAATTTGGACACTTTGGATGTGACAGTATATATAAAATGTGAAATAAATCTGAGACCTAAAAAAAGAAATGCTTGTTAAAAGTGATCAGATAATGGAACTAAAGCTTTTAGTTTAACAAGACAAGATATCAAGAGGATCGAATATAATCGATAAAATTTACTCTAAAAAGTGAGGTCCATGTAACTGACTCAACAGAACGCAATAAGAGAAATCAATTTGACTTGAACTTTACAATATAATAGTTGTGAATAACACATTCTATCAATAGAGGAAATCACCGGTAACATTCCACTGATGTAATGAGGACTGTCAATCTTACCTATTGTCAAATCTTTAAAGAGGTTCAAGGGTCAAGATGTCAATCAGGCCAAGGTAATCATCAAATAGCGTGTCTAATTGATATCGAGTAATGATGTTTATATTACAAGTGTTTCAATTTATTAATGCTATTTTACCCACAGTTTCTGATCAAACAAATTTCAACTTATGAATAAATATTTACAATATGTTATGCCAGATCTTCTATTTTCCATGTCAATAAATCTTTTATCAAAACAAACCTTCTTGCCTTTCAGACGTGTAAATTTACATATAAGCTGTATGATAATGATCTGACAAAGGTAGGTAAAACAATAATAGCCAAGATATATTGATATACTTATTAAAGGAGCTAAATCGCTAATATTTTGGATCTAGAAATTGACAGAAATGGGTCGCAACGTATTGTAATGTGAATGTATATAAACTGATTTACATTCAATCGTTTCTGTTTTTACTGCAATTTCTACTCAGTTATGTTCGTCTCAATCCAATGGCAATCTCTAGTGTCTGGTTATTCGACTCTATACCGATAGTATTTATTGCGCATGCTCTCCAGATAAGAATATGACGTGACCGTTTGACATGAATTGTGGAATATATCTAGCCTCTTTCTACAAGTCCCTGGTTAAAAATGGCGCTAAGATGCACCATGGTACACGATTCGTGTACCAACGGAAAAATGTTTATTTTGTCTTAATTATTGGATATCAGAAGCCCATCTTTTCCAAGTAAGATCACAACCTCAATGTTGATTTAAATTGACAAATAATTCGTGTTTTCGATGTCGAAGATTTTGGATGATATTGAGTTAGAGACTTTGCTACTTTAAGGTATAAAATGAATGAATGAATGAAATGGGATTTAATTTTAAGGTCCTATTTTTTTGCACGACCGGGCTAATGAGGACGTTATAAAACATCTATATGAAAACCTGCTCTTTTTCACCATTTTACAGTCAGATCTGTCATGACTTTTTGAAGTACATGTAAATACAATGTATTGAAATCTGGTCAATGGATACTCTAGGGTGCCACAGCTATACACTCAGACGCTTTGACAAAAGAAATACTCATGAAATGAAAGGTGCTGAAGTCTGTAAATTCCACATCCTAGCACATTATACAAATCAGGTTTGTGTACAACTATTCTTGAAGTCATGCTGCACTTTGACCAATATATTACTCATATCAGTTCATTAAAATTGACGACCACAACTCTAAACTGAAACAAAATATGCATTCTGTCTTTATCGAAAATGCAATTCTATTTCCATTTTCACAAATTATAAAACATTAGACACAAGTTTGTTTATTGTAAAACAATCCACAAACTAATACACGTCATACACACATCAATATACAGAATACACATGTACTACATGTATATGTGTAAAGCAATCCACCAAACACATCTTAATGTACATATATATTATACAGGTCCATGATTAAAGTAATCCACAACACCATCTAATACATATGTATATATGGTAAATTAATACACAAAACACACCTAATGTATGAGATATACACATTATTACACAGCACATATTATAGTAAAGTAATCCATAACATACATTGAATATGCCCCTCAATTACCCTTAACAGATCAGCAATACATAAAACACATCTAATACTCCTATATACACTGCAGATCAACACAAAATACACATCTACAACTTCCATAGAATATTTTTTTCAAATATCATTTTATGCATATCTTATAATATGAAATACATTATTAACCATAGTAGTCATTTTTCATCAAATAATTACAGGTTGCCATCATCTTTATAAAATAAAATACAGTCTACAATATACTTATATTCTCACACATGGACTCCAAGATTGACATATAGCTTAATAAACAAAACTCAACAATTCATTCCGCATAAATATATTTCACCTGTAAATCATTATTAGGACTCGCCGAAATACACTACTATATATAGTCTGAGAAATTCACGAATTATGGAATCTTATCCGATCTGTAAATCTTTCAAGATGTGGAATACAAACAAAATAAAACCCACTCCATGTCCAGTTAAGACATATTCTTTGTGACACATTACAGTACCAATCTGTGACTGATTTCAGGGGTTTTGTTTCGTGTTCATAATTCTATATTTAAAAATAAAATGTGTTATGATGTATGCTGACGTGTCACTTCCTTTCCAAAAGCTCAACAAATTTGTATGTGTCATTTCTATAAGGATGTATTATTACAAAATGATAGAGATATCCTCCCTTAAAGGAGCTAAATTCCTAATATTTGTTACCTAGAAATTAACACTAAGGGGTCGCTGCGCATATAATAATGTAATATGAATGTATATAAATCGATTTACATTCAATCATTTCCGTTTTTACTCTATTTTCAAATCAGTTATGTTGGGCGAAATATGCCAGAAGTCTCAATCGAATGGCAATCTCTAGCGTCTGGTTATTCCAGTCTATACTGATAGTATTTATTGCGCAGACTCTCCAGATAAGAATATTGCGTCATCGTTTGGCATAACTTGTGGAATATGTCTAGCCTCGTTCTTTGGGTTCCTTGTTACAAATGGCGCTAACACACATTATGGTACACAATTCGTGTACCAATGGTAAAATGTTTATATTGTCTTAAATATTGGATGTCAGAAGCCCATCTTTTCCAGCTAAGATCACAACATCAATGTTGATTTAAATTGACAAATAATTTGTGTTTTCAATGTCAAAGGCTTTGGATGATATTGAGTTAGAGACTTAGCTACTTTAAAGTAACTGGATGTGATCTCAAATTTCTCACAGCTTAATCTATGCCAATATGTACTCGGAGTGATTATTTAACATTCAATTAAGAAAACAAAATCAAAATATCGACTATTGATGCTAGATAATCTCCCCGCTTGGATTCAATTGAATTAAAAATAGGCCATCATTTAGATTTTGTGATATAAAGATGGCAGCAGGCTTATTTACATTGGCAAGCATAGACTGAAGGAATTTCAATTCACCATATCTTTGTAAATACTGAACGGAACTGAACCAATTTTGGGCTGATATTCCTATTAGAAATTTAACTTTTACAGTATTCCTATATCACTCAAATCATGCTGAAAGACTTTAAACTGAGTAAATGGTTTATTTTATGTGTCATTCATGATAGGTTTATTGATGTTTAAGGGGGTATGGCTGTATTGTTTCATTTTTGGAACCTTAAAATAGACGAAAATGAGTCTAAAACTACAGATTAATGTAATATGAATGCATATAAAGTGATTTATATACAATTTCAAAAAAATTTATAATAGTTTCTATCAATTGAACAGAAGTCGTTTATGTCTGCTTAGTCCATTCTACACATTTTTTTATGCTATTTTGTCATTTGTGAATAAGCCATTACTAATTACTTCTGCAGTTTCATGTAGGATATGATTTTCTTTGTTCATTACAAATGACATCCGGACCCATAGAATACATGACTCGTGTATTGACTATAAAATATTCATGATGTCTTAAATATTGGATATTATGATTGCATATATTCACGGCAAGTTAACAACATTAATATTGATTGAAATGGACCAATATTGAATTTTAATTTGTGTTTTTAATTTTGAATATCAGGGAAAATATTGATTTAGAGATTTAGCTCCTTTAAATGCATTTATGCAGTTTTTCTGTAGTCAATTGACTTTTTAATAAAGTATCTTAATTCCTATTTAATTGTAAACATCTTGTAGGTAAGAAATTGTAAACAATGAACAGATGTGTTTCGTTGAACTGATAAAATAAATAAATACAACATTTATCAAGAATTCAATACACCCTCAGTAAATATGATCATTAATTAACGACCCCAGGCAGCTGCTGGACACAATGACACAATATTAATAAATATCTGCACATTGACAGGACCATTATTAATGTTTGGTTATTGAATTACTGTTCCAACTTATAACCTTTACTTCTAAATGTTAATTAGCTTCTACTGAATCTAGCAATATTGATTTGAGCGAACTCTTAAACTCTTGGGTTCAACAGACCCAAATCCTAGGAAATCCTGGTTTTATGATAACATCAAAATATAGTTCTGCTTCACGACAGGGATTACATGTGAAATATCACACTCTTGAAAATCCTTTGATTAGGTTGGTGCCAGCGGCTTTCATGCAATCATTCTGTTCCCAATGCATAGCCACAAGGTACACGTATTATAAGATTAGAAACACTGATCAATCTAGTTGCTGAAAAATAGCTTCCGTTATCACGAAAATCATATGATTGATGTTCTGTCAAATATTTTACTCAAAATTTATCAGAAAAATTGAAATACTGGTTGATTCTAGCCGCCAAAATGTCTCAGTAGATTTTGATATTGATATAGAAAATTAATAAAATCATGATGCTTGTTGATTGGTTAACATCTCAACACTTAGAATATCGGAGTTCTATTGTTATATGTTTATCTTGGTTCACCGTCTAGTTGGATGTGAGGTTGACTGACCCAATGTCTGGCTGCAATCTGATTACTTAGATAACATTATTACTCAACCAATTCAAGTCTTAACATAATGTTTTCCTATTTTTGCCTTTGCTGGTTTATCAGTTCTTGGAATATCTAAATCAATTTAATAAGATGAAATATAAAACTGCTTAATCCCTTTTTACTAAGTGACACAGAGATCAATACTGTTAAGTACTTGCGCAAATAAAATAATCTGCACAGATTCCTAAACATTTGAAAATAAATCGATGGGGTTATGGCTAAAAGACAAGATCTTCCTTGGTCAGTTTCACTTATTTTATTAACCAAAATCCAAATATAATAACTAATGGGTTATAGACTACAGACACAGAGCAATATTTCGTATCTAATTATTTTAGTGACATCTTTTTCATTTCCAAACACCACACACAAACAACATTTACATATCCGAAATCAGAATTTGTGACACAAGTGGCCGCATATTTTCGTTTAATGATAAGCAATTGCTAAATGCTGAAATTTGAATGTCTTGTGAAAATGAAATTAGTTCCTTAAAATACCCCAAACAATTTTATTCTGGGGTGGGGTGAGGAGGGTTCCATGACCCTGACTCAAGTTTACCATATTGAAAGATAAAAGTTATTTCAATAATCTGTAGCGAGCAGACATTAAATAATAACTCTGTAAATGAACTGGCAAATCACCATTAGAGCTGATTGGGTGCTTATGATGAGGAGGCTCGCAGCCAATGCGATCAGTCAACCAGCAACAATCAATAACTATTCATGGTCATAAATATTTTGGACAAAGCCTCCAGCAAATGTTGCAA